ACAACTGTTTTCTCCTGTCCTGACAATAGAAAATGATCCACATATTTGTAACATTAATCATAGAATCATAGAATATCCTGAGTTGGAAGGGACCCTTAAGGATCATCAAGTCCAACTCTTGACACCGCACAGGTCTACCCAAGTTCAGACCATGTGACTAAGTGCACAGTCCAATCTCTTCTTAAATTCAGTCAGGCTCGGTGCAGTGACCACTTCCCTGGGGAGCCTGTTCCAGTGTGCAACCACTCTCTCTGTGAAGAACCCCTTCCTGATGTCCAGCCTAAACTTCCCCTGCCTCAGCTTAACCCCGTTCCCGCGGGTCCTGTCACTGGTGTTAATGGAGAAAAGGTCTCCTGCCTCTCGACACCCCCTTACGAGGAAGTTGTAGACTGCGATGAGGTCTCCCTTCAGCCTCCTCTTCTCCAGGCTGAACAGGCCCAGTGCCCTCAGCCGTTCCTCATACGTCTTCCCCTCCAGGCCTTTCACCATCTTCGTTGCCCTCCTCTGGACACTCTCCAACAGTTTCATGTCCTTTTTATACTGTGGTGCCCAGAACTGCACACAGTACTCGAGGTGAGGCCGCACCAGCGCAGAGTAGAGCGGGACAATCACCTCCCTCGACCTGCTAGCGATGCCGTGCTTGATGCACCCCAGGACACGGTTGGCCCTCCTGGCTGCCAGGGCACACTGCCGGCTCATATTCAACTTGTTGTCTACCACGACCCCCAGATCCCTCTCTTCTAGGCTGCTTTCCAGCGTCTCATCGCCCAGTCTGTACATGCAGCCAGGGTTTCCCCATCCCAGGTGCAGGACCCGGCACTTGCTCTTATTGAACTTCATGCGGTTGGCGATCGCCCAGCTCTCCAACCTATCCAGATCCCTCTGCAAGGCCTTTCCACCCTCATTCGAGTCCACAACTCCTCCAAGTTTGGTGTCATCAGCAAACTTGCTCAAAATGCCTTCTATTCCTACATCCAGATCGTTTATAAAAATATTGAAAAGTACCGGCCCTAAAATGGAGCCTTGAGGGACCCCACTGGTGACCGCCCGCCAGCCTGACGCAGCCCCATTTACCATAACCCTTTGGGCGCTGCCCGTTAGCCAATTGCTCACCCATCGTATGATGTTTTTATTTAGCTGTATGTTTAATACCTCCTTGGGAGGTTGTAATTGCTCCAAAATCTTTTTTAGAACTTACCCAAATAGATAGGTGGCCCTGTAAACCCCTGAGGTAAAATTGTCCACCTATATTGTTGCTTCCGCCCCCATTTCAGGGTCTTTCCAGTCAGAGGTGAATATACATGCATGTTTGCTCTCAGGGCCAGAGAGCACTCCATTAATAACACTGTTATTCCAGTCTAACAATTTACTAGTTGAATGCCAATTTAATCATCAAATCCCTTCCCAACAAGTTAGTCCCTGCCTTGGGTACATACAATAATTGCTCAGTGATCATTTTATCCCCTAGTCTCAGCTTGGTATCCCCCAGAAGCAGCACTGTTATCGCAGCCCCTTCTATCCCCATCACTTTTTAGGGTTTCATTAGTTAATTTAATCCCTGATACTTTACAAGTCAGTAATGACCTAGCTGTTCCCCAGTGTATTGGGTTTGATGGCAAGGTTCGGGGGGTGTGGGGGTGGGAAACTGCAGTGGCAGCCCCCGTGAGAAAAACCCAGAAGCCTCCCCATGGCAGGTAAGGGACAATTTCATCTGGCCCCAAAGGGGCCCACTGCTGCCCAGAGCCAAGCCATGAGCAACACAGTCCTTGCCTCTGTGAGAGCACATCCACGAAAACAAACAAACAAAGAAACAAACAAAAACCTGCTGCTCAACAGCAGTTGGGAGAGCGAGAAACCCGCCCGCAGGCACCAAAGTCAGTGCAGAAGGAGGGGGAGGAGGCGCTCCAGGCGCTGGAGCCGAAGCCCCCCTGCGGCCACTGGAGAGGCCCCTGGTGGAGCAGGCTGTTCCCCCCTCCCCGATGCTTGGGAAACTGACCAAACACCACAGCAAATACGCAAATATACCAAAACTTCTAGACTGTGTGAGAAACACTCCGTAGCCAATAACTTAGGCTCAGGCGAGGATCTCAGTGAAGTAGTAATTTATTCGCGATTGCAATGGCGGGCGCCCCACAAGCAGGAGAGAGCGCATCTACTAGTTCCAAAACACAGTTTATATACCTTTTGATGGCAGGACCCTCCCCTGTTTCCCCACTGAGTGGGTAATCCAGGTTCACTATCTGATGCTTCACAAACAATGCATAGTCTTCAGTTGCCGGCCTGTTAAATTTCAAATTTCTTTTGACATTTTTACTGCTTGAAGTGGTAATGTTTCTTCACTTATCTGACTTGACTTGACACCGTGATTTTCACCTAATTGTCCTAAGGAGTCTGGTTGTCTGCATTTCACAAGGTCGCCTGCTAAACTTTCTTATCACTGTAAGCATATCTCAGTACCACATTCCCTCCTTCTAAACAATGTAACTCTGCAAAAACAACATTTCTGTTCCCACAACTGTTACTTAGATAATGCCTACATCCCCTTTCCCTGCTCATTCAACTTCAAACAGCTCTGTTAAATACTGCATGCCACACCTTTAACACCTTCAGCAACCCTTTTAACACTTCCTTTATCTTTCTCCAGCCCGTACTTTTCTAATACCAGCACCAAAGGCTCAGTCAGGGTTCTAGCTTAATTCCATACCTTTTCCCTCCAAGATACTGAAACAACATATCAATCAATATACCACATTTCATCCCATTTTCCTTCTTTCCTCCTTCCACTCCGGATATTCCTATTCAAAGTGGCCAGCCTGGCCACACTTAAAACATCTTATCAAAGCCTGTCTCTGCTAGGACTCGGGCCACAACACAGGCAGCCTTCTTTGCCTGCCATTCCTTCATCTGTCTTCCTCTCCTTTCCATCCTGGCCCTGACTCCTCCTGAGGATTTTCTTCCTCTTTCTCCAACCCTCTGCCTCACTACTCACTGCACTGTCAATACCATTAGTTTCGCTCTCTGCTTTTCGTTCTCATCACCCCTCCGGACACACACCTCCAGGGCCTCCCACAGGAGGGTCCCCCAAGTGACTGTTCACTACATCCCCCCACCTTCTGAAGCATTTTCTGCGTATTTTGCCAGGCTTTAACCACACAATGAACTTTCAAGAGCCCTTGGGATACCGGGTCCTTGGGACTCATCCCCGAGTACTTTCTCATTCTGACCCCAAGTCTCTCATATGATTTCTGTGTTGCACACTATTATTATTCCAGCCAGGATTGGCAAGTGGGTATTTCTGCTCTGCCAGTATTACCCCTGGTCCTGGAGGATGAGCTCTTTCCCATTCTTGTATAGCAGCTCTCCTCCTGATCATTCCCGTTTCTTTCCCTGTAAACAACATACTTATAGACGTAATTCCCTCCCCCAAGAGTATAGTATGTCAGGTCGTAGGAACTGGTCTAATTGTTCAACTAGGCTGTTGGGGTCCTCGAATAAAGACTTCCTCTCCTTCTTAAAAGTCCTAACCTCTCTGCTGGTAAGGAGGGGGGGGGTAGTTCACCTAAGAGGATACACAGTTAGTGTTAGTACTTTTAGTATCAGGGAAGGCAAAATTCTCAATATATCTTCTACCTTGTTCTAATTCTTGTCAGAGCCTAGAGTATGATCCTTCTTTAGGGACAGTGTTAATTACAGTCCCTGTCTCCCTTCCTGGAGTGATTGCTGCTGCCACGGGTACAATATTAGGATTATAGGGAACATAACTTGGCTCCTTCTCCGAAAAAGGAATCTTATTGTTTACACATAAAATTTAAAGCCTGAATTTTCATCAGACCTGTATTTTGGCCAAAATACTGCTGTTTCCTTAATTGGTTCTTTTGTCCAGACTGATACACAATATTTAACCTTTTAAAAATTATTTTTCTTTTACAATCCCTCTAATTTTGGGATTATGTTTCCAATTTCTTATCATTCTTCAGGAAGAACTATTAGTAGGCACTCCCCCAGGGATATCTCCCTGTCCCCTGGAACTCATATTTCCCATTTTTCCTAGCCGTCGCCAGTATGTTGATACAGAAATTTCCTTTCTGCAGTCTACCACACCCTAACGTTTGAAAAATGGGGGTGTACCACCAAGCACTTCCCCGTGCCAGCGTTACCGCATACCTATGAGTTTACCAGATTCCCTGGTGTACTTCCAAGCACTTCCCCGTGCAAGGATTACCGTACACCAGATTCCCCTGAATGTAGTGCCAGCACTACCCCGTGCAAGGGCTTACCATACACCAGATCACCCGACCCCCAAGGCAATACTTAATATTTCTTACCTTGGTCTGTGCACAGAGTTACTGGATCGATTCTCAGTTAAACTGTTGCATAAGATGTATGTTTTCCTTCTTAGGAATAAGCATATACGATAAATACTTGGACTATATATGCAATATAGAAGATTGATAGAAAACGAGATTGTTGTAACAGTTATTGGAAGGCTAAGAACACATGGGCTGCTGGCAGGTGTGTGTACCGAGACAAACTTGGTTCCCGTAGGTTAGTTTGAGGCTGCCTGCAATTTTTTTTGTTAAAGAAAACGGGGATTATGTTTTATTTGTTAAAGAAAACGGGGATTACTGTGTTGCAAGCTGAATCCCTTCCAGAGAACAGGAAGGGTGGTAGCTTCTGCATGCTGCCACTGCAAGTAGAGTGGAAACAAGGAAGAGATTAGGCAACTTTTACGTTCTTTAGGCTGTATAGCACCTAGGGAACAGATGACTCTCAAAGACACTTGACTGCAGTAAATTGAGAGTCCTCTGGGTTGTCTTTGGGGAAACACATCCAATGGGTTTGAGAAGAAGAAAGTGCTTGGGATGTTGACCTGAGGGAAGGAGAAGGAGAGGAATGTCTGCGTACCAGTCTAACTTCACAGCAGCTGTTGAAGAATAAAATAAAATGCAAAGCTCATAATACATGGGGTTGTAATGGTGATTTGTTTTTCTGTCCTGCAGGCACACATATCATTCTGTTTCGACACCTCCTGTTTGCCCTCAGAAAAACATACCTGATGTGAAACTCCAGACAGGTTCCACGTCTGTGCAAAGCTCTGACGCAGTTGTTATCCACCCTGGTGCTATGCTTGCAATGCTGGATCTCCTGGCCTCTGTTGGATCAACTACACACCCAGAGGTAGAGAAAAAATCTGCTGTCTTCAGCTTTGAGAGAGACTAGGTTAAAGGATGGCTACAGAAAGTAGAAAAGAGGTGGTGTAAACTTAATTCATGCCAAGAAGCTAATATGTTTCACAGAATTATCAAGTTATGTAGTTGATTATATAGGAAGAGGTCTGATAGAAATTTTCTTATGTTAGCTTGGATTCGCTTATTTCTTTCAAACGCCTGGCAAAGATATATAAGTTCAAAAATACTGCCTGAAATGGCTGTCAGATATGCTTCCAAGCATTGCGATGAGTGTTTGTTTGCCCTAATGTGTAGTATGCAGAGGACATGGGGTTGGACATTGCAGCTTGGTACATATGATCTGTTTGAAATAGCTGGAATAAGTTCTGTCTCTGAATGGTACTACCTGCTTTGTACAATTCCCAATCCCAAACCCCTACTGGTGGTTTGTATGTGAAGGATTTGTTGCAAGTTTTTAGCAAAAAACTTGCTTTAATGTTTTATATTTGAGATGACTTCCCTGAAGAACACTTTCCATTAAAAAAAAGTTTGAAAAGTTTACAAGAATTTACAAGGCCTTTTATGTTGTCCTCTACTGGTGATGAGCATGGAGATGTTGTGTATTCAGGGTTTAAATTTGGCTGTTCTGTTGTGTATACCTTGTTTTCTACGGATAATAATGCTGATGGGTTAGTAAAAATAGCTTCTCTGTCAGAAAAATAATTTAGTGCACTTTAAGCAGAGCTTCTAAACTGACTCTCTTCTCTTGGGGAAAGTAGAGGTTAGAGTAACCATCAGTAACCATTTTTTTTTCTTCACAAGGGCCGTGGTAGTCCTTCATATCGCTGATTTTTTTTTTTTTTTTTCCTCTTCAAAAAAAGTGATGGAAGTGTTCATTGCTCCTGCAAGATGCACATGCATCTGAGGACTGGATATTTTGTGTATCAGTTGCTTAAGGGTAGTTTTCCTTTAGTTATGATGCATAAAGGCTTCCTTCTATTTGTCTTCTCTGTTTGTGTCCTCTCATATCTGTTTGTGTCCTCTCAACTTGAATATGCTTTTTCCTTTTTTTCAGCATGCGCTGGATCTCCAGCTAGCAGTGGCCAATATCCTGCAATCTCTTGTACACACAGAGCGAAACCAGCAAGTCATGTGCGAAGCTGGGCTTCATGCACGACTTCTACAAAGATGCAGTGCTGCTCTGGCTGATGAGGACCATTCTCTGCATCCCCCACTTCAGAGGATGTTTGAAAGACTGGCTTCCCAGGCCCTGCAGCCAATGGTGCTGAGGTCAGAAAGATGCCATTGAACTCCTGCAGAGCTGAGTCCTTGTGCCTGCATTGTGGCTGGCTGGCTGTAAATCGCTTGGATTGTTAGAGAGCATAAACGACCTTGTGTGGTAGTGATGGCACAGAATCCTGTTTTACATTTTCTTAAATAGACCATCTCACTTCTGTTAAGTGCTGCGTACCCCTGGAGATGTTGGGCACCAGGGGAAGGAGGAGTGTGGTGGGGGGAAATATGTTTATTTTTTTTCCACAGAGGTTGCACTGAACTTCTGTAATTCTTTCCTTCCTGCAAATAATGAGTAGCTATCCAAAATGCTTTTCCTGGCCAGGTTGTTAGGAAGAGGAAATGTGATGAATGTAAAATGATACTGCCATAGAAGGGAATTGATTCCTAGATTCTGTGCAATGTTAAATATCTCAAATAACAAAAGTTTCAGGCTAGCTGTTTGATTTGGCCCTTTACTTTGTGTGAAGGGAACATAGGATTGCTATAGAAGAAATGTCTGGAAAAATCAACCCTTTGTAGCAAGAGTTGGGCTTGCTGCTCTCCTCTTCAACTTTGGTAGTGCTGTCTGGCCTTACTTGGGACAAACTCTGTTGTGAAGTAACATTTTCTGAGAACAGACAAAGGAATAAGTAAAAGAAGTGGCTTTAGGTTAAAAATTTGCATAAATTGTAATGATGCATAGTGATGCATAGCTTTGAAAAATTCATCTTTTAAAAAATTTATAAACATTTTAAAAACATCCTGGATGTTTTTATATCCGTGCTGCTTCTAGAGAAGCACATCTGAAAAGTTTGTCGTGAGCGTATTTGGAAGCATTTGATAAGTACATACGCAGCATTATGATACTTTGAATTGCTTGCTGGATCTCAACTAGCATAAGGAAGGATTTAATTTTATAATCTCCTGGGGGCTGCTAAGTGGCTGACCTGTAGCCAGAACAACTTGTCTGTTCCCTTTAGTGGCATTTTGTGGTACTGCAGTGAGCACGCGTGTTGTTAATCTCATCACAGGGACTTCATCTTCCCCAAACCATAGATATGGATCATACAGATAACTGTAGATACAGACATTAGAGACATACATAAACACAGATGTTGGTAGCTGCGAAACTATCCTCCACCTAAAATGGGACAGATGGGTTAACCAATGCACAGGTCGCTTTCTCACATCAGCCTGTGGCCTGTACTTACAGGTGAGTTCAGCTTGCTGGGTATGCAACAGGGAGCATCCTGATCCTCACCCCTAAGAATGCGGTAGCCTTATTGCCAAGAAATCGGGTGCTTTGTTCAACTATTGAAATAATGGTAATGAAATAATGATTGAAATGAGGGCAACTTTTGATAGTATGTCTTCAAAATTTGAGTTGTTCCAAATGGATCAAGTGTGTTTCTTGGAATTATTCATTACTTTATTCAGCTTCTTGGTTAAAAATCTATTTAATACAAGAGATTGTCATCTTCTTGTTTGAGTGGTGTTTTATTTGGTTTGTTGCCATTCTGGGTTAAAATCTTTATGATACAATTTGTAATTTTTTAATCCTCTTTCCTAGGGAATTTTTATGCTTGGGAAATCCTTTAAATTGCGGAGCTTGGGACAAAAAGCTGTTGAAGCAGTACCGAGTGCACAAACCGAGCTCACTGAGTTTTGAACCGGAAATGAGAAGTAAGTGCTGAAGTACTGGAAATTTGTGTAATGATCAATGATATCCCTCTGTTGCATACTTACATATATTAAAAAAAAAAAAAAAAAAAAAAAAGCATAGATAAACATGCAGAAGGACCTCACTTTGCCCCAGCCTTGTGTGAATGTGAAATCATCAGGACAGTTAGATTAGAATTAAACATGGAGGGACCATGGTAATTTATTTCATACACATACAGTGAGGTAATGATAATTTCTGATTTTATGAATGTTAACTATTAAATATGAAGCACTTGTTTACTGGGAAGGTGATGGAGCACTGGTATAAGTTAGGTTGCTTAGAGAGGTTGTGGAGTTCCCCTCCTTCCAGATACTCAAAGGCTGCCCAGATGTGCTCCTGGGCTAAGTACTAGGTTGCCCTGCTTGAGCAGATTCTGTGATTCCATGGTAGTGGATTGCTTTTTAGGTCTTTAGTAAATGCTGAAATCGTAGTTACTTAACAGTAAAAAGAAAAAATATTCTCAGATACTTTTATGTGCCCATCATTTCATGACATCTGTGTAGCCTCTCTCACAGGTACAGCAAAGTGGCAGATAAAGTAACTGAAACTGCTACATGCAAGCACAACTGTGTTGATTTTAGCTACGCTTTGGAGCTTGGGTCATCATTAGCATCACTACTAATGATTTTTAAACTCTACGTATTTCTTTGTAACCCAACAAGAAAAACATGGCAGAATCTCAATTTCATAATGATTTCTCAAAAAGAGGTAGAAATTGGATTGGGGGCATCCGCTCTGAATTACTTAAAATTCAGCAATTCCCTTTTTTAACCATTCACTATTTTTTCGTAACAGATATTTATGTTTTCCCTCATTGCTCGTTTTAAATATGCTTACTTCCCTGATGTATTAAAACTTAGATATTTAATATTATGTGGTAACCATGTTACACTTTAAGGGAGTGGTAGAGTAAAGATTTTAATGGAAAGCACAGTCACACCATCCTTGGGGAAAAAAAAATAAAATCAGCTTTGGTTTTACTCATGTAATTAACTTTGAGAGAAGGTATTAACAATGTATTTTGACAGGATACTCAATAGGCATTGTTAGATCATAGATGCATATGCACTGTGAAAATGTTCATTATACCTTTGTGGGGTTTCCTGTCACTATCTGTCTTATAGAATACCTCATACAGCAATGGCTCGTCAGCTACAATTATCGCACTAGAATAATTACATCTGTTTTCCAGATACTAAATGAATCAGCCTTGTAAGCTGTCCTGAATGTCTGTAATGGGCTGTTTGAGTTGAATATCAGTGGATTCTTCTGGCCAATCTGATCTCTTTCACACCCGCTCTTCCCTCTTATTATCTATCTGTTGTAAAGGTTGGGAGCAGCCACTCATGTAGTAGAGGAAAGACACAGTGGGTGGTAGTACTAGGAGAATATTGCTAAGTTTCCAAAGCATGTGATATTTATTTTGATAAATAAGTCATTGTCTTGGTCATCATACAGCCAGTCGTAAAGCATTGTTAAAACTACTTTAATTGAAACGTTTGAATTATTTATAAGGAACTAGCATGTGTCCTGGATGGTGCTAAGCTAGAAGCATTCAATACTTTCCCTCCACTGTATATGCAACCCTGATACTTTCTTTTCTATCTGTGAGGTAGAAAAACGTGACTGAATTCCCTCCAGTGTGTGTGATGTCATCAGGTTAGGTATATTGGAAAAGAGACGAGAGATTCAGATTGTCTCTATGTCAGCCCTGCATTTCTGTATTTATGTTTAGCAGGGTATTATTACAGTGCAGGGGAGGAGTAAATGGTGAAAACTGACAGTGTGAGCTGGAAAAGTTACTAACCCGGGGAGGGAAGGCAAAGCTAGCTCTCTGGATATACCAGCAGTTACCGTGTTAAATTACTAGGCACAGCTTTTTGAGTCTGCCTGCTTATTGTGAGCTCCGATACTTTGAGTTTAGAGCTGTTACATCTGATAAACAGAAGACAGAGGTTTTCCTGTTGGTTAGGCCATGTAACAGGAATGCTTCCAAGGCTTGTGGAAGGAATGCTTTCTGGTGCGAGGTAATGAGGTGGGTTGTTGGCTCGGTTTCTGGCATTACCGCTGACTTGCTGTGCTGTCCATCATATGAGATGTTCCTCTCTTGGTGTCAGCTGAATTGTTTGATAACAAGATCAGTGCTTCCCAACTCCCAATCTCCTAACCAAGAGGCTCAACCTGACATTGATTGTTCAGCCGCTGCACTGGAAGCAGTTCCTGAACAGTCCCAATCAGTGGCCTGTGAATGCCTCCTTTTTGCAACATTTTGTTTCTTGGCTTCTTACTGTAGATAGCATGGTTACCTCGATGGAAGGTCTGGGTTCAGACAGCGTCTTTGGTTTGCATGAAGACAGCCACTATCGGATAAGCAAGAGTCTGCTCAAGCCAGCAGAAGGCAGCACTGTGCCCCTGACAAGAGTCAAGTGCCTGGTGTCCATGACAACGCCACACGACATCAGGCTTCATGGATCATCCCTTACTCCTGCCTTCATCGAATTTGACACCTCTCTCGAGGGGTTCGGGTAAGGTAACATGTGCCTCTCGAGGAGCAGAGGGCACAGTGCCATGTTTCATTATCTTCTTCCTTCATGGTAATTTTTAAGGAACTATTCTCAACTATTCTCAAACTGGAAACAAAACGATTCTTTAAAGAAAAGACAGGAATACTTAATGCTGCATAAACTTCCATTCTGTCATTAATGACTTCAAGCCAGTACTTGCTTGCCATGTGTGCAAGTGTAAGCCCATACATATGTAAATGTTGATAGTACCCCCCTCTTGGATCTAGATTTTGTGCGCCTTTTATAATGAAGAGATGATAATATACCCTTGCACACAGTATCTGCTAGAATTTCCATCCAGTGTCTTAATGGCCCAGGTGCTCTGAAACCTGCTTAAAATTGCTGAAGAACTTGGAAATGGGGAAGCAGGAAAAGCAGATAGATACATCAAGCAGAAACTATGTTGAGTCCCAATAAGAGGAAAAATTGTTAATTAACTGGAGGCGTAACGTAAATGTAACACATTAACTCCTTCTGTATTGTAGCACCTGGTGTCACTAATGTCTTGCTTTTTCTACCATGATTTAACTCAACTGTTCAGAAGATTAAAACATCACACCTTTGTCAGCATATATTTAAGCCAAATATTTTCCAAAATGGCATAGAAGAAAAAAATTAAAATCTTCATTTTGTCCCATGCTAAGCACTAAAGATCTCCAGACCTGCTGTTGAAATTCAGGCTGAGATTATGATAAGACAGGTATTCCTTAACTGCATGTGACCTGATCCATAGATGGGCAGAAAAGATTTGGAAAAACAGTATCTCAAAGAGTTCAGTGTTGTCGGGTGCACTCAAGTCAGATGATTGAGGATGAAATCCTGAATGATAAGTAATTGTTCTGAATTGTTCAGAAGCTTGATTAAAAGAGAAAACATCTTGACTAGAATATTTTAGTGAAAGGTGTTTTTAGTTGTACAAACAAACAATAATGGAAGATGGTGTGAAACCCAAAAGCATAACAAATTCTAATATAAGAAGAGCTTCTTCTTTTTCACTTTAGTCTGTTTTTATGATAATTCTGGGAAAGGCAGAAATCACCTGTTTTCCAGAGCTGTTCTACAGTTTCATAGCAGCAGCACCATCTGACAGAATTATTTCTCTTGTCATTTTCTTCCCAGATTTAGTATTTAGGTTACTCTTTTTCTTGTGTCTTTTTCTGTTCTGATATGGCCTTTGACAGAACCAGTTGCTTCCGAGTACTGAAGTTCCAGTTTATTAGGGACGACTGGTGTGAGAGCATAGGCTAGCCTGGGTAGTTTGGGACTCCAAAAACTCCAAGACAAATGTTGGTCAAAGTTCTGCTCTATTTGCTCAAAAAGAGAGGAACTTTTTCTCCTAAGAACGAATTGAATTAGGCTTGCAAGATTAATTGCCACTGTGATTGCTCTGGGAGATTTGTATCTGCTGCTTACACACCCAGAAGTAACCCACATAAGGCACCTGTTACTCCTTGTAATTTCACTGGGTCACCTATGAACGATGCCCTGATCAATCAAAAGATGTAAACATATTTTGGTCTGTTTTCAAGTGCCTAGGGTGGTTCATGAACCCAACAGAGTCGATAGTTTTTTGATGGACCCCTGCAATGCTTGTAATGCCAATGATGGTAGGGGACTTGCCCTGCAAATGACATTTTCAGGGATGAAGGAATAAGTGTATGATGAGAACTGTAATCAAGATGAGGATAGCTATGACCAGAACAATGGACTGAGGGTATATGTCAACAAAGTGATGATTCCCATGGGAGTTCACTTCACCACGGGTAGGCTGATCAGTGAAACCCTCTGGGCTCATAAAATCCTCTGGTATCTAGGGGAGGTACTCCTTATATCTGTTCCCATTGTGTCTGCAGCAGCGGTGGCTCTTGTAACGACCATACTTAGCTATAGTTCTGCAAAACAGCGCCTCACTGTGAGTGTAAACATACTTACAATAAGGACACCATTCTAGACATCTCCCAAATCCTTTGGATCTTTAACTAACTGAGTTTTTCAGAGAGAGCAGAACATCTCGAAGGCTGCAAAGGGAGTTATGGTTGTTATGGTTCTGCAGGACGGAACATTTTATGCTGTGGAGCAGCATAAGCATAAGTCTTTGTGCCTTTGCACCAAAGACACATGCTGCCAAAAGTCTCTGTATTGAAGATAGTTTTACCTCACAAGGAGAAATCTTGAGGATTCATTTCCATATAAATTCAAGGAGAGTGATAATATGCTTATGGTATGTTTTTCTAGGCTGTATTTTGTTTGTATTAAACTCTGGTTATACTGACTTTGATAAACTAGTTTGTTGCTCATCTTGTATTTAACAGCTGCCTGTTCTTGCCAAGTTTGGCTCCACATAATGCACCTACCAATAACGCTGTCACAACAGGACTTATTGATGGTGCAGTTGTCAGTGGTATTGGAACTGGTAAGTATTCAAGTCTTGTTACTGTTAGCAGTATTTTCTATCTGATAATGTTTAGTTCTCTTTTATTTCTTCATAAGACAAGAAGTGATGTTATGGTGTTGGATGTTGCACATTAATAGCTGAGACCTTTGTGTATCTTGATGTTTCTGTTGCTGTCAATTTTTGCCCTTGAGTGAATGAAAAGCAATATAAAATACAAATGTATGATGGCTTGAAAATACAAGGCTTTGAGCAGAAGGTCATATTGTTAGAAAGAGGAGTATGTGGCCAGTTCTCCTTTGCTTTTTGTTCTCGTGTTTTCATGCGCTTGTGTGTAAAGAATCTGGATGTGTTAAAAACAAGTTGAGGTACCAGTGGTCAGAGCAAAAGAAACATGGGATGGGTTGTAATGCTGTCCTTGTGGCTTAGTTCTGCTGAACTCTATTGAATTTATTACAGATGTAGTTACATACATTATGGTATGCTGTGGTGCTAACTGAATGTGATCCGTTAATTGAAATAAGTGTTAAGTATTAAAAACAAAGCTAAAGTTTCACTGCAGTAAGGTGGAATTAGTGTTACACAGTGTGAGAAACACTCCGTAGCCAATAACTTAGGCTCAGGCAAGGATCTCAGTGAAGCAGCAATTTTATTTGCGATTGCAATAGCGGGCGCCCACAAGCAGGAGAGCGCGCCTACTAGTTCCAAAACACAGTTTATATACCTTTTGATGACAGGCCCTCCCCTGTCTCCCCACTGAGTGGGTAATCCAGGTTCACAATCTATCTGATGCTTCACAGACAATGCATGGCCTTCAGTAGCCGGCCTGTTAAATTTCAGTTTCCTTTTGCCATTTTTACTGTTTTGAAGTGGTAATGTTTCTTCACTTACCTGACTTGACTTAACACTGTGATTTTCACCTAATTGTCCTAAGGAGTCTGGTTGTCTGCATTTTACAAGGTCGCCTGCTTAAGCTTTCTTATCACTGTAAGCATATCTCAGTACCACACTCCCTCCTTCTAAACAATGTAACTGTAAAAACAACATTTCTATTCCCACAACAGTAATTGATTTCTGTGAGTTCTTTGTTGTTCTGTGGGAGCTCCCCTAGAAACAAAAAGGGGTCAGGTGGATGTGGGAGAGAGATGTTCATCAAGGAATGGTGAACTGTGTTCAGTTTTGGGCCCCTTGCTACAAGAAGGACATGGAGGTGTTTGAGCGAGCCCAGAGAAGGGCAACGAAGCTGGTGAGGGGTCTGGAGAACAAGTCCTATGAGGAGCGGCTGAGGGAGCTGGGCTTGTTCAGCCTGGTGAAGAGGAGGCTCAGGGGCGACCTTATTGCTCTCTACCTTAAAGGAGGCTGTAGCGAGGTGGGGGTTGGTCTATTCTTCCATGTGCCTGGTGACAGGACGAGGGGGGATGGGCTGAAGTTGCACTGGGAAGGTTTAGGTTGGGTATTAGGAAGAACTTCTTTACCAAGAGGGTTGTTAGGCATTGGGATGGGTTGCCCAGGGAAGTGGTGGAGTCACTACCTCTGGAGGTCTTTAAAAGACCTTTAGATTTAGAACTTAGCGGAGGACTTGTTAGTGTTAAGTCATAGGTTGGACTCGATGATCTTGAGGTCTCTTCCAACATAGACAATTCCGTGATTCTGTGAAACCCCTCTGAGTGAGGTTGATGTGATTTTTTTGTCCAGGCTTCAGTCAGAAAAAGAAAGAAGTAACACTGAATTCCACAAAGCAAAAAACTTGAGAAGTTGTAACTGGTATCAACTGAGGGACTGAACTGTTGTGGACAAAAGGATTAGGAACAAGTAGGTGTCCTTAGTAGTGCTTCTCCAACTAAATAATGAGTTTTTCTTTTTGTTCTCAGGTGAACGATTTTTCCCACCGCCATCTGGTTTAAGCTACTCAACTTGGTTTTGCATTGAACATTTTAGTACACCTCCTAATAACCATCCTGTCAGACTTCTTACTGTAGTGCGGCGTGCAAATTCCTCAGAGCAGCATTATGTGTGCCTTGCCATTGTCCTCTCAGCAAAAGACCGATCACTAATTGTTTCAACTAAAGAAGAATTACTTCAGAATTATGGTAAGAGTTGTATTGTGTCATCTGTTAATCCTGACAATATTAGCGTTGTTTGATTTCTAGACTAAATGGAAGTCTAGTGTGTAGAAATCGTGTGTGATAGTACTTGCAGCTTGACTAGCTTCTCTGGCCCGTTATTTGAAGGCAATCAGTCATTTGCTTTAAGTTTTAATGCTGTGATCAGTTTGCAGAAAGATTTGGTAGGTTCAATTGTCATCTGAGATGGACTGAAATTAAGTGAAGTGCTATGAAGAGCAAAGCAAAGCTGTTGAGGCCACTGAATTTGCTAGGGAGAGCTATCAGGTGTGATCAGGGTCTTCAGGTTCAGCCATCTCCTTTGTCCTGCCTTGTACTTCTTCGGAGCTCCCAAACCAAATGGTCAGTTTTGACGGGTCATGACTGTGGAGGAGCTGAGGGGAGAGGAGAAGCCGCCTGTGAGTTTTAGGCTTAACTCTTTACCAGACCAATATACTTCATCTGTTCTTTCCTTTTGAGTAATAGTTAATAATAAAGATTTTTCTTGACAACTGTAATTTGTCCAAAAACCTATGCAGGCTGTTATAGAATATTCCTGTCATGATCAATGGACATGGACATTATTTCTCCTTCTCTTCTAAGCAGAAGCTCCAAGTCATTGCTCAAAACCTTAAACTTGAGCTGAAGACCCATTTTACAAGGGAATAACTAAAACTATACATTAGCAAGATAGCTTTTCTTTCTCAGAAAAAAAATGAATTCTTAAAAGAAAGAATTAAATAGTTTTACATTCATATCAATTGCTTTAGCCTGCATTGGAGCAGTAAACTGTATGCTTTTAGTTTGTAAGCCCATACGCCTAACACTTAAAAGGAGATTGGGTTTGAAGGGCCTTTGTCATAGAAGATCTGAAGGCCTCTGAATACAGAGACTCCTTTTTAATTGAAAGGGGTACTATGTTGTGGTGGGCTGCTGCCCTGTCACGGTTACTAGTAGTTGGTGATATACTGTCAAGTCCTGAGATTGTCAGTACCTGAAGAACTGAGATAACAGGTCTGCTAGCATGTGGGATCAAAAGTGCTGACAGCCTGTTGTGAGAATAAAGAGAGCATTTTTAAGGATTCTTTTTGCGAACAACAATCACACTTGTGTTTGGCTGAAGAAGAACAAATTGAGGAAAGATTATCTTTGTATCTGAAAGTTCTAAGTACTCTTCTCTTATCATTTTCCTTGTGCTATTTATAAAGAAACAAGTGTCCTCCCGGTATGTTCCATTACTGAAGTAAGAGGATTAGTGGATTCTTTTCCTTCAACATGAAAGAATAAAGAGAGATCTGAAGATCCTGCTTTCTGTTTTTTGTTTTGTTTTGTTTTGTTTTTCTGTTGAAGTGTTCCCTAGTGTAGAAATTTCAAGCTTTGTCTTTTTTTTTTGCTTTCGAGTAGAGTGTGGGTGATTCTGGTTTGTAATGGAGAAAATAACACACCTGAGTGCTGCAAATTAATCATGTCTTCTGGTGTGAAGTCTAAGGATGTGTTTTAGAGAAATTTTAAAATTGTGTATGGAAAACTGAAGTGTGTTGAAATATTCAGAAGAAGACAGTTCTGCAGCCATTAGTGAAGAAAGACATGGGAAATAGTGAAGAGTATAGGTAGGTGAATAATTAGTGATGGGTGGTCAGTAATGTGGGATGTGCAGTCCCTGCTGGGACACTGGGAATGGGTTCCTCTGGCTGAAAGGCAGGCATATCTCTCTGACCTGTCCTGCTGTTGGTGCACAGGTAGGTGGTTGAGCTGATGGAGCGGTGGATGCACATCACCTTGCCCCACAGCAGGAGCTGCTCGCCTCAGGTCAGCTGTGCTATGGCCCAGGCACCACTGATGGGACTGTTAAGCAAAGTCCAGGGGTTGGCCTCTGTGGGAAGAGGCCAGGGCTGCCCCATGCCAGCCATGTATGGTCACAGCTGCCTCCATGGTGTCCCCACTGCAGGACAGCTGATCAAATTAGCCAGGCTGATGGCACCTCCCAGAAAGCACATTTAAAAAAAAAGGCAAAAGACTGCATGGAGTGAGGGGTAAGGAAAAGTAATGGTGAGAAACTGCAGACATTAAAGTTGGAGCAGGAGGATGCTCCAGGGTCCAGAGTGCAGGTTCCTCTGCAGTCCTTGGAGAGGAACACATGGAGGAAGCCATGGTGGAGCAGGGAAATATGTGAAGAGGTACTACAAGAAGTATGGGTATCTTTCTCTCTACAGTGTGAGTTAGGTGAAAAATAGCTTTGAAGGTTTAGAGTGGCATGTTATTTCCTGCAAACTACTTCTGTAAATTTTTTCTCTAAAACATCTTTTTGTGACTTAAATGGTAGCATTAGAAAGTTAGTAAAAGCATAAGTAAAGGAATTACATGTAGAATTTCAATTGGAAGGTAGAAGGGGAGAAGTAAAATATAATTGTCAAAAGTATAGAAGTATCCTGAGAATTTTCTTGGATAAAATATAGGAGGAAAAAAAACCACAAACAAAACCAACAGAACCAGTAAAAAACATGCTGTTGATACCAGCAAAACGATACGTGTCGGCTTATATGCAAGTATTTGCAGAAGTTCAGCCTGTTGAACTGTGATAAGGTGCTCTGAATGGTTTTTCAAAAATTAGTTCTTGTATTTGAAATTTTAAAGGCAATATTTAAGAGATTATTCCTATCTTGTCAATTGTATCAATTCATGTGATTTTAATTGTTTTTTTGTGACTTTGTTATATATGTACTTTCTGAAATTTTGGCTTTAACATGTCACTGTAGATTTTTTTGAATTAAGTCTGATGACATAAAAACCTTAAAACAGGCTAATGACATTTCTGCTGTTGCTCACTAAGTAGTACTTTCCCTTTAGTTGATGACTTCAGTGAAGAATCATCATTTTACGAAATTCTTCCTTGTTGTGCCCGTTTTCGCTGCGGTGAGCTCATTGCAGAAGGCCAGTGGCATCACCTACTTCTGGTCATGAGTAAAGGCATGTTAAAGAACAGCACAGCTGCGCTCTACCTTGATGGACAGCTTGTTAACACTGTTAAGGTAAAATAAATCCTGACATGATCATTTTTACTTGTTGGAGTGATCTCGTCTCTCTGCATATATATTTGTGTGCAAAACAAGAGGAGCCTTGCAAAAAGAAATCTTTGCTCACTACACAGCTTTGATCCAACCATAGTCGTGTTAACAGGGGAACATAATGAACACGATACTGGATGAGCAGTGCAGTGCTCAGGGGAAGCAGGCATGGTGCATTGCATGTGAAGCAAGTATGGCATGGCTATGCTGACGACTAGGTTAGAACAACAACAAAAAGCTAAAAAGGACACATTCCAGGACCACCTAGTAGATACATAGCTTTCAAATGAGGGGGAGATTACAAAGTAAGAGACATCTTAAAATTTCTCCTTGTTGTTCCTTTCCCAACCGTCTTGCAACCCCAGAGATAGCATGCCCTTGTCAATTGATTGCCACTGAGATGTTTAATGTTGTTACTAGTTGACTGTGGATGAAATACAGTTGTACAGGTCAGTATTTCATTATTAGCTGGAACTAACTAGGAGGCCACATCCACAAATCATGGAATAGCACTGGTCCTCTCCACCAGTTGCTCTGTATTCATGACCTGTAACTGATAACGAAAAGAGTTTTTAGCACCTGCCCACTATGGAGGGAGTAAGCTAATCCTGTGATGGGGTGCAAATTAGGTAGCTTAGCGTGCTGCTATACATAGAATGATACTTTGCCGTGCAAATTTTGCTTTTTTGTATACCTCAATATAGTATTATATTAATTGCTTAATAGAGCATTATATTAAATGTTAGGCTACTTGCTATAATATACTAATTATATCTGGCTCTATGTGACTACATTCAGTAGCTGGTAATAGAATTCTAACATGGTAGATAGAAAATGCCCATACAATTCTTGCTACCATTATATATATATATGCCAGCATCTTATCCATACGTACATTTTATCCATACATTTGTCTAAATGCTGTCTGACAATCTTACCGATTTGAATTCATTGGGTATCCACTTGAGAACAAAACAGCATTAATTAATAGTCTGAGATATTTTCACAAGCTGAAGAAGGAGGGGGAAAGGACACCAGGTTTTGAGGTAGCAGTATTGATTTAAAAAAACAAAACAAACAAACAAAAAACACAACAGTGACAGTCAGAAAGGACCATGGTTTTAGAATAATGAGGCAGCCTTATTGTTCAGTGTTTTTAAGCATAGAACTCGCACATTCTCATCCGGTATTTCTATATACACCTTCATGTTTGAAAGCCACTTCTGATCTTTGCATTTACCTTCTGGATAATGCTCTTCGCTAACTTTTACCATATGGTGTCAGGCTACTATGCATTACATACCAATCATTTGTATGTCCCTGGTTTGCAAATTGCTTGCCTGAATTTCTAATCTATCTGCTTGCTTTTGATGGTACCCCGGCACTCTCAGTGACTTCACTAAGATTTTCTGAATTTTTATCCCTTACAGCTTCACTATATTCATAGTAGTCCTAGTGGCTCTGGTTCTGCTAATCCTCCTGTAGTCAGCACTGTCTATGCCTATATTGGCACACCACCTGCACAGCGCCAGCTCTCTTCGTTGGTGTGGCGTTTGGGCCCTACACATTTCCTGGAGGATGTTTTGCCTGCCCCAGGTGTTAGTACCATTTATGAGCTGGGACCAAATTATGTTGGAAGCTTTCAAGCAGTATACGTACCGTGTAAGTACAATGGTAACATGTAACTTGATCCAACTTAGTTGAGTCTTTTGCATGCATATTGACAGAAGAAGTGAGAAAAAAGAATATGCAGTAGCAGAGAGGCAAAGCTGTTCATGTGAAGAAGATTAGCTGTTGTTGAAGGGGATGATATAAATCCAAATTACCATTGTAACATACTTTTCTGGTGGTTCTGATACTGAGGTATGACAGAAGTGCTGATATTCCTCACCTGGGTTTTAAACTAGTTAGAAAACTTAAACACTGTTATTATTCATGCTGTATATTGTATTTATCTGTAAAAAAGTGAAATTGGAAAGGCATTTGAACTTGTCGGTTTTTATTGATAGCACTCATGCTTATTTACACATCTGCCGTTTGTTCTGTGCTTTAAACGCAGCTGTCTTGAAATAAATTGTTTGTAGGGCCTAGATCAGTCAACTGAGGGATGAGGGGAAAAAGAAACAGGAGGGATTATAGTGCAGCAGATAATCTTAAATCATGTATTGGGAAAAATTCTGGTTGATTTCATTACAATTTGTAAGTATTCATATTTGAAACTTAAGGTATTGTAATGCAAAAAAGTATGGAAATGTGCAACTGGGGCAATAGATTCTTGAATGACTCTGGTAAGATGAGCTGTCACAATCAAGATTTTCCTGTTCTGTAGTGTTCCCTGTCTTTCTGTGGAGTTTACATTTTTCTCCTCACCAATATCAGTATACATTCATTGCTTTATGTAGCTATCACTAGACCTTTAATGGAGACATAGAAAAGGGGAACATATCAAGTTGTCTTGTTTTTGGGTTGTGTTTTCCTTTGAGCACCTCCATGCTTTCTAGCTCTTCCAGTGAGAAACCATCCCCAACTCAAGGAAGGAAGTGCAGAGTGCTAAGAAACAAAGTATGTCAAGAGAACACATAGTTGTAGCATTAATGGTGAATGTTTTCCTCAGAGTGGTGATGGAAAAAAACTGCAAGTATAGATAGTGTCGAGGCAGCGAAAGACCTAAGTATTCAGGACAAGTAGATGGTTCTCCTTGCATATCCTGAATCAGAAAGTGTGGGAATGGCATTAAGTTGTGTGCAGATTTGTGTTTGCACTGGCTTTTTTGACAGATAGTCAAACCTAACAAGTAAGTCTGGGTTTACTTACCAGCTAGTCGTTTACTATTTCTCCCAGAATGCACATTGGATCTGTGCAAGTTTTAATTAGCAAACCACATCACTAAGCTCTACATCTAAACGTCTTTTAAAGACCTCCAGGGATGGTGACTGAACTACTTCCCTAGGCAGCCCATCCCAATGCCTAACAACCCTCTCGGTAAAGAAGTTCTTCCTAATACCCAACCTAAATCTTCTGTAGCACAACTTTAGCCCATTCCCTCTTGTTCCTATCACTGGGCACGTGGGAGAACACACGAAAGGAGCCTCCTTTAAGGTACCTGTAGAAAGCAATAAGGTCACCCCTGAGCCTCCTCTTCACCAGGCTGAACAAGCCCAGCTCTCTCAGCCGCTCCTCGTAGGACTTGTTCTCCAGACCCCTCACCAGCTTCGTTGCCCTTCTCTGGGCTCGCTCAAACACCTCCATGTCCTTCCTGTAGCGAGGGGCCCAAAACTGAACACAGTACTTGAGGTGCAGCCTCACCAGAGCTGAGTACAGGTGGACAATTGCTTTCCTAGAGCTGCTGGCCATACTGTTTCTGATACAAGCCAGGATGCTGTTCGCCTTCCTGGCCACCTGAGCACACTGCTGGCTCATATTCAGCTGACTATCAACCATCACTCCCAGGTCCTTCTCTGCCAGGCAGCTTTCCAACCACTCATCTCCCAGCCTGTAGCTCTGCTTGGGGTTGTTGTGCCCCAGGTGCAGGACCCGGCACTTGGCCTTGTTATTGAACTTCATACAGCTGACCTCAGCCCGTTGGTCCAGCCTATCCAGATCCTCCTGCACAGCCTTCCTACCCTCGAGCAGATTGACACATGCACCTAACTTGGTGTCATCTGCAAACTTACTGAGGGTGCACTCGATCCCCTCACCCAGATCATCGATAAAGATATTAAAGAGGACTGGCCCCAGTACTGAGCCCTGGGGAACGCCACTAGGTGACTGGCCTCCAACTGGATTTGACTCCATTCACCACGACTCTTTGGGCCTGGCTATCCAGCCAGTTTATAAGCCAACGAAGCGTACGGCAGTCCAAGCCACAAGCAGCCAGTTTCTTGAGGAGAATGTTGTGCGAAACGGTGTCAAAAGCCTTACTGAAGTCAAGGTAGACCACATCCACAGCCTTTCTTATGTCCACTTAGCGCGTCACTTTGTCATAGAAGGAGATCAGGGTTCATCAAACAGGACCTGCCTTTCATAAACCCATGCTGACTGGGCCTGATTGCCTGGTTGCCCTGAAAGTGCTGCGTGATGACACTCAAGAGAATCTGCTCCATGAGCTTCCCTGGCACTGACGTCAAACTGACAGGCCTATAGTTTCCTGTGTATACCCTCTGGCCCTTCTTGTAGATGGGCATCACGTTTGCTAGCCGTCAGTCAACTGGGACCTCCCCCAATAGCCAGGAGTGTTGATAAATGATGGAGAGTGGCTTGGCCAACTCTTCCCCCAGTTCTCGCAGTACTCTCAGGTGGATCCCGTACGGCCCCATCGACGTGTATACATTCAAGTGCTGTAGCAGGTCGCCAACCATTTCCTCGTGGATTGAGAGCCACATTCTGCTCCCTGTCCACTTTCCAAGGAAATAAAACTAAGAAGTTAAAAATCCAATACTCTTCAGGCCTTGTAAAGAGCCCTCAAAGAGCAGTTAGTTCAGAGTAGATTACGTCATTTGTTTGCTGAAATGCGGCAGTGTTCTCAGGGGATCCCTGTGAACAGAACATTTTATTAGGATTTCATTTTTTAGGAAACTGAGACATCTGAAATTCACTCAAGTGAGACTTAACAGAGATGTGATAGGTACTGAACAAATTGTGTAGACCCCCATTTTTGTCACTTATTTCGGTGTTAGATGAGGAAACTTCACGCTTTTTCAATTTTATTAATATATTTCACTGGTGTTGGAGACACCTTTTGACTTGGAATTATGATGTAGAAGCAAGCAAATCTCTTTGTGAATCTTTCTGGTGCTATGTCATATGCACTAAGTATTGTACACCACCATCGCTTGTAGTATTTGCAGTGCCTCACAAGAAGCCTTCGGTCTGGGAGCAGCAGATTTAAAAAGAAAAAAAAAGATAGTGTTATACCTCTCTGCAATGCCTGATCTTTTTGATCTTTATTCACTCTTGTATCTCTTGTACCATTTTCTATATGCAGTTTGCTTAGCAAATCATTGTATAAAGCCTGTTGTCACACGCACAGATGCAATTGGACCAAATAATATCATGTTTATTGAGTAGTCCCTTTCACTTCATCCTGAAGAATGGCAAAGTAAACAGCCCTTAGGCTGGACACTAATCTAGAATAGGAGTAATGTTGCCAAAAATTCAGATGAGGAAGAGTTGTGTCTTTTACTTCTTGGCCAAGCCACAAGCTGCCAGTTGCCATTATGTGTTAGTATAGAAGAACTTACTAAAAGGAGAAGGTTTTTTTTATGTTGTCTTTTAACTTTAATAGTAGACTTGTATGCCATCAGCAGACTTGAACGCCATCATGTTAGTTTTGCCTGTGGTGAACAAATACACAAAAGCAGTATCAAATCTCAGATGTCTATAAAAGCTCTCTTCTGTGCATGTTCTGAAATGTAACTTCCAAATTTTACTGTTAAAACTGAAAATAAGTTCATTTTTTTAAACGAGTTTTTATTCTGTCTTTAAGGCAAAGATTCCAAATGTGAGGGAAACAACCCATCTCCAGTATCTTTAGTACCTGAAGAGAAGGTCTCTTTTGGTCTCTATGCTCTCTCGGTTTCTTCATTTACAGTTGCAAAAATAAGGAAAGTTTACAACAAGTTGGATAGCAAAGCCATTGCTAAACAGGTACGTTGGAAAATGAGTTGGTTGGTGTATGACTTTTCAAGTCAGTTTACTCATAGAAACTAGGAAAAGTGATGTACTTGTCAGAGTTGCCTACAATGACTTAAATCTTTAAAAAGAAGTGTGGGGGGGGGGGAGTGGTGAGATTGTAGATGTATTCTTCTTCAAATTACTAGTAGTGATGTAGCTTGCCTTCTTTTGGAGGTGTTACGTCTTTTTAACGTAGATAGCAGGTACTAAGATGATATAGTTGAACAATACTTACTGAACTACAGTTGCAGATGAACAAAACTGATAGCTTAGTCTTCCGACTGTGATTCAGTTTTGGAAATCTCTGTGTTGGTTTATATTTTTCGTTTAAGTAAGGAACCATCTGGATTTTTTTTTTAATTAGATTAATCATCCTTAAACTTTGGAGAGTCCGGATTTCACTGTAGAGAATGTACTAATGACTACAGCATTGTTTAATTCTATTTTGTGTTATTCACTCTATCACAGGAGGAAAATAGGTTGAGTTCAGGCTCATACAGGAAAAAAATCTTCCCTTCATCCTCCTTTTTTTTTTCTTATTCCTTAAAGCTGGCAATTTCTTCTCATGAAAATGCCACACCTGTGAAGCTGGTACATAACTCAGCAGGGCACTTGAACGGACCTGCACGCTCCATTGGTGCAGCTTTGATAGGATATTTGGGTGAGTTGAGTATTTGAGAATTATTAGGTTTAAACATCATTAAGTACTTGTCAGTAAGAACTTAGTACCAGAAGATGAATCATATAAATGATCAATGTGATTCTTCTGGTACATTGTTAAATTGATTTTACATTTTTATACTTTATTGACATACCGTTCATCTTTTTTCTTTTTACTGATACGGGATGCTTGTTTCTGTTTATGTAAGTACTGTTGTGGAAATGCACTTAATTGATTTTAGTTCATAAATTATTTTCCAATGTAAAATTTCCATCACCTCTCCTTCTGAGGTGTCATGATACAGTGATATTGTTTTAATAAATTAAGCGGGGTAGACTGCAAAGTATTTGCTTGAACTCCCAATTAATTTATACCAGAATAATACTTGATTTTAATTAATATATTTCCACTGCCTGTGCTCAGGAGTAAGAACATTTGTCCCCAAGCCTGTTGCCACTATACTGCAGTACATTGGTGGAGCTGCTGCTATTTTAGGACTTGTAGCCATGGCTTCAGATGTAGAAGGATTGTATGCAGCTGTGAAGGCATTAGTCTGCGTGGTAAAAAGCAATCCACTAGCCAGCAAAGAAATGGAAAGAATCAGAGGTTATCAGGTATGTAAGAAATGTCTTTAAACAGACCAGGCTAATTGAATTTCATTGTCTGTGCTCTCAAGTCCCATTGGAATGTGTCATGGTAACCTGAGTTTCTGCTCTTAAGTTTGCTGAGGTCTCGGCTCAGAACATAGATGAGTTATTTAGGATAGCGTTCAAGGAACAGGGTGGAAAGTTTTTCTAGGTAGCTGTGTCTATTGAGCTGCTCTGCTGAATCTGACTCTTCATTAATAGCAAGGAAGAGCACAACTTAATGGTACTACCCTGTTAATGTGAGCCCGCAGCTCCAAGCCTCTGGAGCTTCTGTCTCAGTGGTCTACCAGCAAGAGAGAAGGATTTGGACACATCAAGGAAACCAAACAAGCAGACTCCTAGAATTGTTATTCTGAGGAGATTGCACAGACTTCATAATTAGTGGTGGTGTTCACTTGCCAACTTAACACCTGTTAAATCTCCATTAGGGTGAAGAAAGTACAATCAGTTATGCAAAAGAGTTATTCAACTGACTTGAAAAAGGTGTTCTCATGACCAATGAACTTTGTTTCTCATGAGGATGACTTTATTGAAAGTGAAAATTTGTCGTGTGGTTTAGGCAGCATATTTACAAACTTTGTAATGCTAATAGCTACATATAGTTATGTTGAAACCTAATATTCTGTTTAGCCTGTTGTGGACCGTGACTTTGAACAAAAAAATCTAGACAGTGTTTCTTGCATGGTAAATGATCTGTGGATCATCACACAACTTATATTCTGCTTCTATTGGCCTCACAAAATAGCACAGTTTGGGGAAGAGTCATGGAAAATTGTATGTTTTTTACTTGTTGTTTTGAAGTGGATGGTGAAGTTGAGAAGAGCAAGCCAGCATTTAGCTCATGCCCTTGGCTTTGACAAGTAGCAAGGATCTGAGTTTTGTTCTGTTTTGTTTTTCTAGTGTGTCACTTAATGGGACAGAAAGTTGGGGTTATTCAGATCTATCTAGTGATGGATACTTTTCTTCAGTGACAGAGTACCTCTCATTTGTATTTATGGTGCTCCAGAGGTGCAGACTGGTCTATTGAAGACTGCTGTATCCGCATGTGTCTTGCTTTCCAGGAACACACATGTGAGCCCGTATCACATGCTGCCTTAAGCTGTGGGTAACTACCAGAGAGCTGAGAGGTGCATGTGCCTAACTATCAGGGCCTAGATACCATCTGCAGTTTAGAACAGAAACTTTATCATGACCTGGAGGGGATCCTGGGTACACTCTTGTTCTAATCAACTGTAATGCCATTTTCAAGCTTTTTTACCAAAAATTTCAAGCATCAGAGGTAATTTATGGGCCTTCTCAAAAGAGATGCAGCCATTCCACCCATGCTTCATTATGCGTAGATTACGTGCTTGCATTTTCATAGGGTAATAGTTTCTTATCTGTTTATTTGTTCAAGTTGCTGGCGATGCTGTTAAAGAAGAAACGATCCCTTCTGAACAGTCACATACTTCATCTCACCTTTTCCTTGGTGGGAACTGTTGACAGTGGGCATGAGACCTCTATTATTCCAAATTCTATTGCCTTCCAGGATCTGCTCTGTGATTTTGAGGTATGTGAAGCTATGCAGAGAAGTCCTCATGATACTGGCTAATGAGTACTTGAGTAAACTGACAACATGCCTTAAATACTGAGCAACAGCAGATGAGGTTGTTATCCTGCAAACTTACTATTCTGTATATTGTACAGAACAGAAGCTCAGCAGCAAGATTATTTGTAATTTTTCTTGCTGAAATGGCTTGAGTCATTCTAAAAGCCATTAATGTGTACCAAGCATGTTCATGTTTTTTGTTGTTCTAGATGTTTTTTGTTTTCTATTCCACAGTAATTTCCTTTAACGGTGTGTTCTACTGCAGTAGATACATTAAGGTGTGAAAGATGCACTGAAAGTAACAGTAGGAGGTAGATTTTTCAAAATAGCACATGGGAATCACTTCATCATGTGTCTCCTGCAATGTTAATAATAAGGTAGTTAAAAATCTGCTTGCACAGCCTATTGAAATATTGAAGTGTTCTTGTTTTAAAGTGGGGAAAGTAGACAAGTTCAGAATGAAATGCTAGTGTAAAAGAGGCTGATTGACAGTGTTAAACAATGCAGAGAACTCACCATTTGATGTTTGTCCCTTTTTTATTGTCTGTATCTGACACAGACTGAGTGAAACTGTTGTGATTCTCATACACTTCAAATAAATAAAAGATACAACTACAAGATATTAATGACACGTGTCCATTTTTCACAAATGGCTCTAAAACGCAGGATTATTTATTTTACTGTTTTTATATATGCATTTAAGTATGTAAAAGCACTCCTGGAGTCTTTAAAGTGTCCTCCCTCTGAAAAAATGCCTGCCACCTAATATAGCCTTCATATTAACAAAATCAAATGGCCTTGTTAACTTTGAGAGTTTAGAAGACTTGAACACAACTGAAAAAACTATCGCCAAGATTGGTAATACACTACAATTACAGCATAAAAATCAGGTAATGAAAACTGCTCAAGTTTCTTCTTTTTTTGATAAAGAACATTGAAACTAGAAATAAGTTAATGCTGTTTAAACAATAATTCTTCAGTATTAAAAAACAACAACTATTCTTAAACAAATCTTTTAAATAACAACGGTTTCTTTGTGCTTGCTATTAATGAGCAGAAGTAAATGTACATCTAATAGAAGTTCTTACATGTACCTGATGTAGTATTTGTGGTAGAGGTGTTAAGTTGGATGAACAGTTTAGGAGAGAGAACACACACACACACACGTTAAGGCAAGTAATATGTCTGTGATTCATTAGGAAGATTTTTTTGAGAAGCCTCAGGAAGTCACACTTTCTGACTTGTGTTTTTATAATTCCCATTTTTCAATTTTATGTATTTAGAAAGCAGTGAACCAAACATTTCATTAAAATTGGATAAATTAGGTGTTCTTAATCCTGTGCTAAGCATGGTAAAGGAAAGATTGTTTTGATCATTTTAGATAATATTTAAAGAACAGCAAAAGCAAGGAAACTTTCATTTCAGACTATCTTACACACCTGAACACAAATATTAATAATACTTTCTTGAATAGCAAGCCAATTTTATGATTTTAAATTATAACTTGGAGTTTCCTGACTTGATGTATTTTATTACTACTTTTGAATAATAGTTTGGGGTGCTGTTTTTTTCTTTGTGTGTGTGTGTTGTTTGTTTTTTTTTGCTAGTAGATCTAAATTGTTGAAAATGCTGTGCAGAAATTTCTGGGTAAAGATTAAAATGGATGAAACAAAACACCACACAAAAAAAAAATCAGGGAATGCCTTGAGTTCAGTGATGGCAGAAGACAGTCAATTTCACGAAGAGAATCTTTGCTTCAGCCAAATCATCATATTGGTCCCATTCAGCATTTCACATCAGCGCTGTAAATCTCTAATAATTCCTTTGGAGCCAGTGGCATTGTACCACCTCTTTAAAGAAGAATTCCAGAAAGTGATAAACATTTTTGTCTATAACTCTAACATTCTACTGTAATAAATTTATGGAGACTATCAATGGGTACCAATGTGTGTTTCTTTAGTCTTTGCTAGTATGTTTAACAGACAAGTGAATTTGAAGAAGGAACAATTGAGAGGCTTGCAATCAGGCCAGGTAAATAGTAACATAGGCAACAAGTTTTACTCTATTCAAGCTTTTCATAACTTTCACTGTATGAATCACAGAATCACAGAATTTCTAGGTTGGAAGAGACCTCAAGATCATTGAGTCCAACCTCTGACCTAACTCTAACAGTCCCCACTAAACCATATCCCTAAGCTCTACATCTAAACGTCTTTTAAAGACTTCCAGGGATGGTGACTCCACCACCTCCCTGGGCAGCCTGTTCCAATGTCTAACAACCCTTTCGGTAAAGAAGTTCTTCCTAACATCCAACCTAAAACTCCCCTGGCACAACTTAAGCCCATTCCCCCTCGTCCTGTCACCAGGCACGTGGGAGAACAGGCCAACCCCCACCTCTCTACAGCCTCCTTTAAGGTATCTGTAGAGAGCAATAAGGTCACCCCTGAGCCTCCTCTTCTCCAGGCTGAACAAGCCCAGCTCCTTCAGCCGCTCCTCGTAGGACTTGTTCTCCAGGCCCCTCACCAGCTTTGTCGCCCTTCTCTGGACATTTGAAGCTCAAATGTCACCTCTGAATCTTGAACTGGATTTGTGTGCCAAACTTAATGTTGTTTATTCTTTATTTCAGGTCTGGCTTCATGCACCCTATGAGCTTCATCTGTCATTATTTGAGCACTTCATCGAACTTCTCACAGAGTCCAGGTATAAGTTGATGCTGGTGTACTGGTGAGACTTCCAGGATTAGGTAATATTTAAAGGGAGCTCTAGTTTTAAACTGACACCTCCTTCCTTCCTTCCTTCCTTCAGTGAAGCAGCGAAGAATGCTAAGTTAATGAGGGAATTCCAACTTATCCCAAGACTGCTCTTGACTCTTCGAGATACGTCTCTGTCCCAGCCTACTATTGCTGCAATTAGTAATGTGCTGAGCTTTTTGCTTCAAGGCTTCCCCAGCAGCTACGACTTGCTCAGGTAGCCCACACCTATGTTAATTCTGGCTTATGCGTTCTTATTATGTTGCTGACCTTGGTTAAAAGTACTTAGCGACAATACTATTGTGGAGTAACTAGTGTCAAATGTTTATATACTGAATATTTTCTTTTAAGTGACTGAGTGCATAGGTATAATAGTTTTGGTAATGCCTTGATTTCTCTATTAAATTCAGTTTATATCTCAACTAATACAACTGAATGATTAAACTGGCGTAATGTTTTTCAGGCAGGTAGCATTGATGCTATCCATTGTTGGTGTGACATACTGAACGCTTTTAAATACTGATTTTATTTCAGGTGGAATATGAGAATACTTCAGTTAAAATGCAGTTTTGATCACTCTCTCTCACTAAAGGCTAATTCAAAGATGTTTTTTCTAAATTATGACTACAGAAAAATATTTGTCAGTTATAGTACTATTAATTATGACTGAAAATTACATTAATAGTTGCAACTCATACACACAGGAGTATTTGAAGTCCTTTTAAACAAGTTAAACTCATTGATAACTTAATTTTTTCATCTCCTGTTTGATTATAATGGAAATGAATAAAATATTGCCAGGCTTAGATACTCCTTGTGTATGAATGGGTCATAATTTCAGGTTCTTATGTTAAGTACAATTAAAGGTTTTTGAAAGCATCAGAGAGTAATTCAAGAATAAACAGTGTAGATGTCATGCTTAAACTCCAATGGAATAGATTCTACAAATAAATCTGAGTGTTCTGACATAACTTCTTTTGCTTCCTGGAAATAAAAATGAAACATATTTTACAACTTGAGATAAGTTACCGTAACTAAGGACTTGTTGAGGATTTTTCCAGAACAAAGAGGAATGTATTCAGTCTCCTTTCTTTTCATGGTATATCATCATCTTGTTCTTGAAAACCGTGACTTTGTTATATCACCTGAAGCTGTAGACGTGAATGTTATACCAGATGAATGATTTTTTGGGATGTAATACTTGTTTGGCTGTAAAAGTTGAAGAACAATGTTTTGTTCTGTTCTTTAACTTGTGGTGTTCATTTTACTAGGACTTGGAGGTATCTCCACATTTGCTTTCTTGAATTTCAGAGTTGTCAAGTCCTGTAACTACAGACTTGTCTGCCAAGACTCTATTAATTACTGTACATTACTTCAGTTTTGGGCGAGTAACTTTAGACTGAGGCTATTTTTATCAGCTTTTAGGTGTTGGAAGGTTGATGCTTTTGGATAATGCCCTTTCACTAGTGTTGTGATTTTACATTAGATGGAAATTATTGATAGATCTGAGTTCATCTGTCATATCAATGCATGATGTTATTTCTGTGTGTGTCAAGGTTTGGACAGTTCATCTCTTCCACTTTACCTACGTTTGCAGTCTGTGAGAAGTTTGTAGTCATGGAAATAAACAATGAAGAAAAGCTTGACACCGGTAAGTCATTGCATGCCTTAGAAGCAGTAGAAGAGAAATAGTTTATGATCTCTTCTGTACTTAAATACTTAAAATGTACAACAGTATCATTAACAGTAATGCATTTTAGTTATAATATGGCTGCCAGGTTAACTGTGGAACTTGAGATTTGTGTATTGCATGCAAAGCGGTGCAAAGCCCATGCACTCTTATTTTGTTTTCCTTCACTTAATACCGAATGTTGTCCTTCTGCTTCACCCACTTGTTCTTTCCTATCAGTTGTGCATCTCTGTTTTGTTATGGGGAGGGAAAAAAAGAAAAGAGAATGGTTTGATAGGTGCATCTGGTAGGTGTGCCCTCCACATGTGGAGAAATGGGAAAAATAATTCACGCAGTGTAATGTGTTTTTTTCCTCCTTAAATATATACATATATATATGTGTGTATGTATATATATATGTACTTCAAGAGTATTTCTATTTATTTTTTGAGAACATTTATAACCTTTTTCTTTAAGGGAAAGAAGCTTTTACAGTTGTGGATTTGATTAGTCTCCCCTAGTCCAAATGATTTAACTCAGCAGTGGATTTGAACCAAATAACTCCAGTGGGTGCTCTAAGATGCTAAGTTTCTGCATCTCTTGCAATGCAGGTAGGCAGGGACCAGAGAGAGGAACAGGGTTTCTGTTGCACAGTTAGCTTGATTCATGTTGTTTCCTGAAGAACAAGGTTAGGTGATCTGCACATTTATCATTCACATGTCTCTCTTCTTTCGGAACACTTTCTCTCATTGCATTCTCAGAGATGATGAAATTCCAACAACGTTTTCAGTAAAAAACAATGTCTTGAGTATAGGAGAGAGATCCAAATTCATGTTCCCTCTGCAGGCTGGCCATATTATTTTTTTTTCTAAGCTAAGCAGAGCTTGTGCTGCTTTTTGTCTACCAGGAACACTAGAGAACCATGGGGAGAAAGGCACGCTGTGTCAGGAGTGCTAAGGGAAGCTTGAGGCAAAGGACAGTAGATTTATAGGTTATTAGTCTTGATCAGTTATGCTGTATTGCTGCCTTTGGAGATGCTTTGTTTTCTTGTCTGTGCCTTAGGCACTGATCTCTGGCCCAGTATGTGTCTATTTATCTGTCTTCCTTTTTTTCGTGTCTCCGCTTGAGTAGTAATTTTTTTTTTTAACATTGTGGAAAACCTGCTTCTCCTTACATAAAGTAAGGTACTAATAGAGAGATTTAATGAATAGCAGTGAAGTTAACCTTGAGCTGTGTGTATTAGCACATTTTGGAAGAAGTGTGTTTGACTGATAAGGGGTTTCGGGTTCTGACTTGATTGAAAAGGAAATTAATTGTTCTTCCATTTCTTACATTTTGTATAAGCCAGAAAATGTTAGCTTTATTTTATTTTATTTTATTTTATTTTATTTTATTTTATTTTATTTTATTTTATTTTATTTTATTTTATTTTATTTTATTTTATTTTATTTTATTTTATTTTATTTTTTAATTTTATCCCAGATTGCATAATGTTTAGCCAACTGTTTGGAGTTTTTATGAATCCCCTTTTTTTCCACACCCTTTCCTTTGTCAGTTTTTATGCATCGGCCTGCCAGGAACCAACTGGCTTAGCTAATGTGGACCGCCTCAGTTTAGATAACTGTCTGTGCTATCCTTCTGCCCATCTTTCAAATCGACCAAATGCTGTGTGACAACGATAATGGGGCACCAAACATTCCTCGGCAGTGTGCGCCAGGTCAAGCATATCAAGGCTGTCCACAATAGAACATGGCTTTTTCTTGACCTGAGTAGGAACAGATCGAGTTTACTTGTGTATGGAATTTTTGAATAGCATTTAAATGGTTGGAGTTCTAAAAAAAATTTTTGCTTAATTCTTTTTTTTTAATTCACATTAATTTTGCTTAACTTTTTTTGTACTTGATGTCTAGGAACAGAAGATGATTTTGGAGGACTTGTTTCAGCTAACCTTATTCTCCTGCGGAACAGGCTTTTAGATATACTCCTGAAACTTCTATATACATCTAAAGAGAAGACAACTGTTAATTTGCAGTAAGTACAAAAAACTTTAGATCTAGAAAGGATATTATGTTTTTAATTTCAAAGGAGAGAATTATATGGTCCACACTCTATTCACTAGTTAAATTGTGTAATTTCATAGGAACTGTTGAAGCATTTACACAGATTTTTTTTTTCCCCTTTATTAGGGCTTGTGAAGAACTGGTCAAGACCCTGGGTTTTGATTGGATTATGATGTTCATGGAAGAACATCTGCATTCCACCACGGTCACAGCTGCCATGCGAATTCTTGTGGTCTTGTTGAGTAATCAGTCCATCCTTATTAAATTTAAGGAAGGTCTCAGTGGTGGAGGCTGGCTTGATCAGACGGATTCAGTCTTGACCAATAAGATTGGTACTGTGCTAGGTACAGTATGAAAATTCTCAGATGGATACATCCTTTCTGTTACTGTTGTCTCTGCTCTGATCAGATGATGTTGCCCTTCATTTTCCTTAGAATTAAGAGTTAGATTTGCTAAGCAAAAGAGAGCAACTGCCCTTCAGCTGACATTGCACAGATATTGTTACAGTTCGGTCTTAGCTTTTTGTCTGCACAAAGCCTGCATAGCTGAACTGCAATTGGTGTCATGTCACCATCAATGTATAGTTAAGTAAGTCCCATGGGCAGGCACATACGACCTAAATGCTAAGGCAGCATAGCATCACACGTGTTGTTGCAAGGTGCTACACTCAAACTAATTAAGAAAAATGTAATTGTTACATTAGTCATAGTATCATGCAGTTTTAAATCTGTGCTGCTTTGTCTAGTGAATTCTGTGCCAATAGATATACCAGTTGGGATTTGTTCTTCCTTGGGAATTTGTGTGTGCAAAGCATCATCTCAGTCCTTCATTTCCTCTGCCTAGCTTGCTCTCGTGATTTCCTGGGCTCATGTTGGCCCCCTTGGCCCTTATTAAAGATTTTCTTTGTGGATTCTTAGAGCATTGTTATTAGATTATTAGACCTTTGTAGGAAGTCAATCTCTTTGCACTGGTTTTCCATAATATATCTCTCAGGGTATTAAGTAATATATCATGATTCTCTGCATCAATAATGAACTACAAAAGTTTCAGCAGAGTTTTTTATGAAACCATATTATGTGTGCAAAGATGTATTGTTAACATACTGTAGCAACTGTTGTTGTTTGGCTACCGATTCAGGTCTTAAATCTTAAAAATGCTTCTCAGTTTGCATGCACATGTCTTAAAATTTTAATCCCACTGATACTTTAGGACACTGACTTTTTTGTTTTTTTATTTGAGATTTGTTTCAAATGTCCCATAACATAATTTTCTTCAGTCCACAGAATCTTTCTAAATTAGATGTGCAATCACAGTTGGAGAACGTGTGTAGTCGTCCTTTTTGGTTTTGTATTATAACGTCAATTTAACTGATGCCAGGCTAGACTGTGATGAACAAGATAATTCTAAAACTGTATCTCATCAAATGCCAACGACTTATCTGATTACCTAATCTTCATGCTCTGTTTTTTTTTTTTTTTATTGCCTTGCAAAACATTGGCTCTGAGACTTCTCCTGAAACCATCTGAGAGCGATTTTTGTTTAAGCTTACTGATAGAGTTAAGTGTGGCTTTGTGGCAAGAATTTAATTCGTATATATTCTTTTAAGTAGTCAGTTTCTGCTGAGAACCATCTCTGTATTAGAGCCTCACAAAAACAGCCTGACCAACCTTACCTCTGGCAACATCAGAAAAAAATATCTGGCGGTCTGCATTGACCCAGAGACTGTTATCTTCCTGCCTCTGTGCTTACTGCAAAATGAGCACGTCTGCACTTTCTATGTGATGTTCAAAGGGGAAACGAAATGACTAAGTACAAAAGGGTCACAAAAGGTGTTTTGTGTTTCTGGCAACACTTAAGATAAAAATAAGAGCATTTGGTGCTTCATACTGGTTGATCAGTAACAAAGCAGCTAAAGCAAGATCCCTGTGAAGCGTGCATGGAAATCATTCAGCAGCCTATTTACTTAAATCAGCTGTGGGATTGCTGGTTGTTAACATAAATGAACTACGCAATTCCAGAGATTAAGGTGTGATTTTCCTCTCAGCTAGTGAAATAACTTTTTTTCAGAAGCTGAGGTATCTTAAAAATCTTGAGTTTCTGGTAGCGGTCAACAAATGAATGAAGTGTGTCTGGAACAGCATTAAGCAGTCTTCGTAGTGCAGGGTTATCTACATGGTGTGGTACTGGAAAGCAATTTTTTCCTGTCGTAGTAATTAAATAATTAGATACCTGAAGTGAATTGCATTGTATATGTGTGATAACCAGTATGCAAGTTTTCCATTGTTACAGTGTTAGATTTATGTGGAGGTACCCTCTTGAGCTCAATACTTGATTTAAGAATGAGCTTCGCAAGCATTTTTCTATTAACATTGTTGTCTCTTTGTCTTTTTATTTCAGGGTTCAATGTTGGCAGGAGCGCTGGAGGCAGATCAACAGTCCGGGAGATTAACCGGGATGCGTGTCATTTCCCGGGCTTTCCTGTCCTGCAGTCCCTTCTCCCTAAGCATACTAATGTACCTGCACTCTACTTCCTCCTCATGGCCCTTTTCCTGCAGCAGCCAGTCACTGAACTGCCTGAAAACCTGCAGGTCAGTGCACCTGTCATCAGCAGCCAGTGTAATCAGGGGTCCCAGGTAGGGATTATCTAGTAAGATGTAAGTGTAATTCTGTCTGTCATCTAAGAAATTATGGATTAACAACCCCAGTCCCCAGCAGCTGACGCAGAAGTCAGTACAACTTGTTTTGTGCTGCTCTGTGCAGGAGTGGGAGGACAAGATATGGTGGGAGTACGTGGAAGCCAGCCTGGTATGGCATAGATGAAGCTAGTTTCTTTCTGGTCTGATCTGAAGCCAGGGTGACATGGAAGGGAGCATTTATTTATTTATTAAGAGCAGGGAGTTGCTGTATTAAGGAGTGTTCACAAGGTTACAGGAAAAAAACAAGGTACTTATTACAGAAAGGTTTAAGGGAGACATCTTAGTTCTCAGTGGAAAAATAAAAGTGTATTAGCATTCTGTGTAGGTTGATTTTGAACTTGTTTTAATTGTATGTAAATAAATAGTCTTCAACAGAAACCTAGGAAGCCTTAGTGTAGTCTTTTATGGAGAAAAGCCACACTCCAGGTTTACAGTGTACCTGTTTAGAACAGATACTAACAGTGCTAACATCTGTTTTTTGGTGGTAAAGGGAAGGTGAAAACTATAGACCAGAAAGTATTCGTCCTGCTTATTTTCTCAAGAGGAACTAGACAGCACAAGCAACACTGTGCTGTGGGAAAGTAGAGTCATGAAGCTCATCTTCTGCTTATAGCGTTTGAAGTACAGCAATGCTAAATTGAAATCAAATGCAGCTACCTAAAATATATAGCAGTAGGGCTGTTAATGCTAGAGATTGGCAGTTTTTCCTTTTCTTACTTCTAATGGCTTTTTGTTGTTGTTGTTTAATTACTGAAAAATACAGTGTAGTGTATTTGTTTCATTCATGTTTTTCCTGTGGGACACCATGTGGGTTTTATTAGTAGATGTGCCAAAGGCAAGTATTGATGGTGCAGCATTTGTGCTGACAGGTCGCTTCTTGTTTCAGAAGGCTTAAATACCTTGAGAAGGTGAGAGCTGCAGTTAAGTTTGTCCATGGTTGAAAGGAATTTCTTCAGTGCCTCGTGACACATGATCTCCCCATAAAGTTGTAGGGGCTGAATTTTTTCATATCCTCTAACCTTTACTGTTTAGACACTGTCAAATGAATGCGTTATAGATGTAATAAAAAGCAGTATCAAATTGCACTGCAGAAAGTGTTTGTCTTTTCTGTTTCATCCTTTACAGTTTGACTTAGACTCTATTTGGACATTTATATTTGGAGTTCCTGCCTCGTGTGGCACCATTACCTCTTCAGTACATAGTGTTTGCACAGAAGCTGCCTTCTTGTTATTGGGAATGCTGAGGAGCATGCTGAATTCTGTAAGAATAGAATTTTTGTACATATTTGTATATATGGAATTGCTTGGGTCTGCCATGTGGTCACAAGCCAAATTAGAAATGTGAATTTTTTGTTAGTATCATAACCAACCCATCTGGGAGTTACTCGTAATACGTGTGTAAAAAGAAAACATTGTAATGAGGTTATTCTTATCTTATTTTGTTTTTCATTATCTGTGGAAATATTACTGACCATAAAATTAGCAGTGCTTTTCACAAAAAGGCTAAGCTTTACATTTTGCTGCAAATAAAGCAAGACAAGGGATCAGAAGGATAAAAATGCTTGGCAGAGATGACTGAATTACTTCCCTGATTAACATCACAGGGGAATGTTTTAGACTCACTGTCCCATCTGCTCAGAGTAATGCGAGATGCTGATTTTTTTGTGCTTGGGAAGTCCCCTGACTATTAATAGCCACATGCTGGAGGAAATGAACTAACTGCCAGAAAAATGTATGTTCTTTTCATTTTTTAAATCTAGTGTCAATGTAGTCAAATGTAATTTTCTCAGTAGGAAAATTTTGTATTATGTGGGAACTAGAGCACTGATTTGCTGAAAAAGATCTCATGAAACATTTCCCAAGTAGTACCTGTTTAGATGTTACCTGCTTGGTCATCACGTTTGTGAAACCCTCTGGGAAGCATTGACTACTTGCTGCTCATGTATTGGCATATCCAGGTGTGACCAGTACACACATGTAGAAAGCACATCTAATGATGTGCTGGGGGTACACATTGCTGTTGACACTTGTTCTGTCTCCTGCTGGCAACCTGTTCTGTCCTTTTTGGCCCTCCACTTTGCAGATGCTCTTGACCTGCTCAGAGACATGCTGTCTCTTGCCCTGCTGTGTTGCTCTGTACCAGTTGATATATGTTTAGATGTGCTGTTGGGTTTTTGTTTAATACGATTCAGATCATGCTTTGCAACGTATTTTGAGTCATCACCCTAGAACACGTGTTCTTAGCCACATAGATGTGTTCAGTCTCCTCCTTGTGACATGCTTGAATACATGCTTAGGTAGAGGTTACTGTCAAGTGTTGGGCTGCCATGTGTTCCTGCCATGTGTTTATCACGTTTAGTCATGTTTGATTACATTTCTTTATGTGGTAGCAACCTGTTCTGGCCTGTTTCATTACATTTTTCTTGTCACATTTGTCATTCACTTCTGCTTCTTATGATTTCACAACACGGTGACATGTCTGACAGGCTTGGACATGTGTTCTTGAAAAGTGGTTTGCATGGTTTCTGCAAGCTCATGTGTTAAAAACTGTTATATGTATGCTTGGTCACATGTGGTCAGGTGTTTATCATACAGTGATGTGCCCAGACAAGTGTTTTGTCACAGTTAGCAACTCATTTGTCACATGTTGGTTAGATGCACAGGCATATAGTCTGTTCATGTTTGATCAGACATCACTTCAGGTGTCTGAACAGCATGTCTTCAGTCATGTCTTCTAGGCAGCTGTTTGGCCATGTGTTGTGACACATTCTCCGGTATGTTTGACATGTTCTGGTTTTGGACACTGACATGTGACTGAGCAGGCAACCAGACACATTTCTGCTCTCTTTGAACAAGCACTTGACCATGTTTGATCACATTTCGTCCCATCTCTGATGATGTGTTTAACTGCATGTTTGACAATTTGTTTGGCATACTTGATCCTACCAGTCGTCCTCCCATGTCTCTCTTCTGAAATGCGTATCCTTCAATTAACGCCATCTATGTTAACATGCTGTTTGTTTTTCAACCCAGCCTTGGCAGTCTGAGGAAGAAGGCTCTTGGCTTCGAGAATATCCTGTCACATTGATGCAGTTCTTTCGCTATTTGTATCACAATGTGCCGGACCTAGTTTCCTTATGGATGAGCCCAGAGTTCCTGTGTGCATTGGCAGCAACTGTGTTTCCTTTCAACATAAGACCTTACTCTGAGATGGTAGGAAATGCAGTGAGTTGTTTTTTTTTTCCTTTCTTTTCTCTTGGATGCTATTTTTGAAGATACACCAATTAATAGTCATGTGAAGATAAAGCTCTAGTTGCCATGCAGAAAAGGGTGGTCTTAAAGGCTGGGCTGGAAATTTTGTACTTGGGTTTTGAAACTGAGAGGGGTGCATGCTCAACTGTTGTTGCACAATGATACCTGAAACTTCATTTTAGGGGGAATGTACACCATTTCTTTTTTTCTAGTAGGCCATTTTTTTTTCATATACAGGAATCAAATTAGCTCAGATTTACAGAAGGAAAATGACAGAGTCAGCTTGTCTTTCTCCTCTTTATTTTGGAAGATGCGATAAAATTGAAAAATGCTGTCTCCTCCTACTTCTGTTGGGGGCTTATCCAACAAAAATATTCCTATCTGACCTGTAACTGCTGAGTTCAAGCTAGAAGGGTGTGAGTTCATCTTTGATTGCATTGCCGCTTTCAGCAGAACTATTACAGGTTATTAATTTACATATACTTTAAGTGTTATTGAAAAGCGCTGCTATTTCTAGACCATGAAAAGGGAAAGAAATAAACTGTTATTGTTAGCTGGCATCTAAAAGTAATCCATGCACTAAGAGCATGGAAGGACAGATAGCTGACTGGTTAGCAAATGCTATAACTAGGGAAAATAATGATAAAATACTGTAGAAAATATTTATTGGTGAAATACTGTCTTTTCTATTATGAATAGAAACAGATGATCAGTTTTTGCAGATATGTCGAAGAGTCTTATAAGATTATTGATTTTTGCACTTGAAGTAAATGATAGGAGTTCTTGGAGGAAAAAAAAAAAAGAAGAAGAAAAGTGCCATTTTCAAGCTTGTAATGCTGACTTGGCATTGACCTGTGTAAAGAATTTAGAACAGTCTTGCATATCTCCAAGTACTTTTTTAGTCCTTTCAGTACTAAGTGCACAGGTGAAACTTTGTCTGTCTGACAATTTGAACTCTACCATTTGAAGGCTTTCCTGACTCCAAATCTTTTTGCTTCTCCAGCATTTGTCTATCCAAATGAGGTAGACTATTCAATTCCATATGAAATAAATGCTAAGTATAGCAACAAAACATGTTAACCTAAGTTCAGCATTGAGAGAAAATTTTTGATTGATCTTCCAGCCTTTCTCAGATGTGCCATTAAATCCAGAAAGTCTACATCTTTGGGTTTTTCTTCATTTCTTGGGAATTTTCTCATTCTGAAGCAGACAAAAATTCAGAACATTTGGTTACTTCGTATGGAAGCTGGTGATGCAATAAGTCTTTTTCAGGGAAGTCATTGTCTCCTCTTGTGTTTGGAGGAAGGCATTACATAAAAATACTTTCTCCTTTTAATTTCTTTTGGACACGATCATCTTCAGTACTGGGAAAGTAGCTTTTACTCATTATTGCACTCTGATGAAGGTACTGCATTAAAAAAAGGGTGAGTTTGCTTTTGCTACTCTATCACACAAACTTGATAGCCTTTTTCAGTCAGCTTCTATCTTGGCTTTTTGTTCACTGCTTTAGCTGCTAACTTTTTCAGAACTTCTGTCTTTTTGCTATGAGAATCTGTATTCTTGCGTAGAAATTAGAAATTGCTCCAGAAGTTCTCGTTGGTAAGCATCTCCCATGTGATATGTGATCTCTGGTTCAGGTAACTTGTGTGAGCCTTTACTGATTTCTTTTTTCCTCGTCAATTAGAAACTAGAATTTGGATGTTTTGCATGTTGTATATTGGGCACCCGATACTGAACATAATCTTGCTGAAAAAGGCTTATTAGGAAACCAAATATGAAGTGAATAGCCATAGAAAGACATGTAAAGGATAGAAGAGCAAAAGCACTGCTGCTAATCTGTTGAGCTCTGGAGTTCTGACATGTTGTTTTTCACAGGTCTCTGATCTTGATGATGAAGTTGGGTCCCCAGCTGAAGAGTTCAAAGCCTTTGCAGCTGATTCTGGCATGAACAGGAGCCAGTCGGAATACTGCAATGTTGGCACCAAGACGTACCTAACTAACCATCCTGCCAAGAAGTTTGTGTTTGATTTCATGCGGGTACTGATCATTGATAACTTATGTCTCACACCAGCCAGCAAACAGACTCCACTGGTAGATCTTTTGCTAGAGGTAAAACTGATTTTTATGATTTGAACTTAGTGTAACCCTTTTTTCTCCTCAATATTTCTATTTATCTTCACCTTACCATTCAGTGGAATCTTAAAAACAGTCATGAAGTAAGAGTTAGAAAATTGGAACGCTCTTGGCTCATAAATAAGTTTGCTTGCTGTTGTCAATACTTTGGAAAACCTAAGAAAGCAAACACCAGAGGTTTTTGTTTGTTTTTCTCAGCCTTCCTTTCAGAATGCTTTCTGGACTTTTTTTCTTCCTCCTGGCATTTGCAGTGTATTGGTGACAACCTGAAATGATTGAGCAGACAATCTGTGTGACATTTGTTGTTTTTTTTTTTTCTTTCTACGCTGTGTTCTTCCCTCCACATGAGTCCTACTATCAGTTATGTTTGTGGACTCCGTAGCTTTCATTTGTGTAGTCAAATGGCTCTGTTAGTTGCCACGCATGTAACTGAGTAGGCTGCTGTCAAGGTTTGGTTTATATTTTGTGCTCTTTTTGGAGCTATTGTTTTGTCATCTTAGTCACTAACTCCATTTGTCTGGAAATGCAGGAATTGGGTTGCAACAGTCGATGTTCAACAGTGCAGCATGAGAAGTTGCAGCTTTCCTCAAGTTTTATTCTTGCAGAGTATGATTCATTTGTTATACTTCCATTAGCCTGGGACAGCTGTATTAGTTTTGCTCAAAATATAAAATCCCTACCAATCCCTAAAGAAATATTAATGTCTCAGTTTTATTTGTGTTAGAGAAAAACAAGTGCCAGATGTGCTGGTGTCATATGCTATAAAAATTCACGGAGTTACTACATAATCTTTCTGTTAAACTCTGTTAAATTTGGTGACGCGTGTGGAAAGCAGCATTCTCGTAATGCTTAGGCTGGCAATGAGGAGTTCAATTGCTGCTTAACTGCACTACTGTATCCACACCTTCTTCAGACTGTCTTTTGAAATGTTCAGTTCAGGAGTCCATGTTCTCCTATGACTTAGCTCTTTGTTATGCTGCTGTGTCTCCCTGCTTTCTTCAATAGCTGCAGGAATTTTAGAGCATCCTTATACATAATCTTAAAAGTTCCTGAGTTAGCTAGGTGTCTCTTTGCTGTCACTGAAGCTAAGTAAATAAATAAATAAATAAACTTTCAAGAGATGCATTTATACATGCACATTGGGAAGCATGTTTGAGACCATGGTCATTCTGTTTCAGTTGCTTTGCTGCTATTTTAATCTGTTACAGTTTTTCAATGTTAGTTACTGGTCTAGATGGGCAGAAAATAAATATACTGGGTATAAATTGGAGTAACGCTCACTGTAAGACTGCATACAGCTGATGTATACCTGATGTCCATCCCTAAGTTTTTAGATAGTGCCAAGACTTAGTGGAGATAAATTACTGTGGAAAAAATAAATGATAGTTCATGAGACTTAAGAAGAACAAAAATTCACCTATAACACCTCCTCTTCCTTTTTGCTCCCTCAGACATACTCATTATTTTTTCACTGTGTCTCTTGAATCAGGCTTCCCCTGAAAGATCAACACGAACACAGCAGAAGGAGTTTCAGACGTATGTTCTGGATAGCGTGATGGACCACCTACTTGCAGCTGATGTTTTATTGGGTAATATAGCAATGCTTAATTATCAGTCTGTCTGACTTGAGGGAAAGTTTTTTGATATATATATTAATTTTATTTTTTCTTTATTAATTACCTAATTTTTTAGAAATTTAATGCCTTCATATTTTTTTCTGCCCTTTTTCTTTCCTTTGATGTGTAAATGGCACTGCTACAATTACATGTTCGCTCTGAGTCTCAATTGTACCAAAGCTATAAAACAAGAGTTTCTAAAAGAAATTGCATTAGGTGAATCTTTTGGATATGGAAACCTGACAAATTTCAGTCCGTGGGTGTCAGAAAGAAATGCAACTGAGTCTTGTTATCTCAGAATTATCTCTCTTGTCCTTCTTGCTTTGGCAGATGATCTGGAGCTTTTGTCAATTTCTTATGGCTGGGACGTAGGTTTTTAAAAGTCACCTCAGTTTTCTTTTCTTCCTTTTGTAGAAGCAGCCCAGAAAAATTGTCTGGGATTAGTACTTCATTGAACCACCTACCAAAGAAATGCTCAGGAAGAGTTTGAAAAGCTTTTAAGCTAGATGTCAGTAGGATGGGCTGACCTAGCAGAGCAGGGGTATAGATGATTGTGAGGTGGCCTGTTGGAGTATCTCTGCTCAGGTGCCTGCTTTGATTTCATGGTGGCCTGCTGGACTTGCCAGGAGCTATCAGTCTGCTCTGTATTCATCCTAGAAGTCCTTGTTAGTACTTTATGTACACTAGGAGCACAATTTTGGTTTCCCTGGGTGTTTCTTATTCCAAGTTTTGTCTGGCTTCTTCCATGTATGATGCGATCAGCCACTTTGTGTGCAAGTAGTGCCAGAAATTAATAAATCTAAGTGAACCTCAGGCAAAATCAGTACCTGCTGCTTTTCTGTGAGAAATAATCTGGAGCAGACTTCTCTGGCATCCTTCTGTGAAAGCAGTAATCCAAGCGGTGAGTCTCAAGTTGTGAATTGAATGTACTCGCACACAAAGTACAGTCGACCTTGAACAGAGTCTCAGGCGATGTTTAGTCCTCTGTCAGACATGAATCCAGAAAAGAAACATTTGAGAATGTTGATGGTTAATATACCTCTCTAAATGGTAAACAAGAGCCAGTAGCAAAATCCACAGAAGATTTTTGTATTTCACCCTGGTTTGCACAAGATATTACTAGTTCCAGTAAGCAGGTTGGGTTTTAATTCTATGTCAAATATTTTCCTTTTAGATAGGTGCAAAAAGTTAGGTAAGTGTATAGCTGCGCAATGTATTTTCTAGTGTGTTTGGTGTGTTACCTGTCCCTCTCGTTTTGGTCTTTTCACTGTCAATTTCCAGTGATTACTTACCATCAAAGATCAGCATAGGTAAGTGACAACCACAAATACAGGCTGTGCGGAGAATGGATTGAAAGCAGCCTTGAGGAGAAGGAGCTGGAAATGTTGGTTGACAAGAAGCTCAAGCATAACCCGGCAATGTGAGCTTGCAGCCCAGAAAGTCACCCATGCCCTGGGCTGCGCCAAAAGCAGCTTGGTCAGCAGGATGAGGGAGGTGATTCTTTCCCTCTGTCCTTCTCTTGTGAGACCCCCATCTGGAGTGGTACTATGGTCAGCTTTGAGGACCCAGCACAATAAGGATATGGATGTATTAAAACAAGTTCAGAGGAGGCCACAGAGATTATCAAGGGCCTAGAGCACCTTTCCTAGTAAAGACAGGCTGAGGGAACTGGGGTTGTTCACCCTGGAGAGGAGAAGGCTCGAGGGAGACCTTATAGGATCCTCCCAGTGTCTAAAGGGGACTACAGAAAACCTTTTGTAGTCTCCTTTCATCAGGGAGTGTAGTGATAGGACAAGGTGTAACAGCTTTAAACTAAAAGAAGGTAGATTTAGATTGGATATAACGAAGAAAATCTTTACTCTGTAGGTGGTGAGGCACTAAAAAAGGCTGTCCAGAGAAGTTGTGGGTGCCCCATCCCTCTGAGTGTTGAAGGCTGGGGTGGATGGGGCTTTGAGCACCCTGGTCTGGTGTAAGGTGTCCCTTCCCATTGCAGTGGGATTTGGAACTAGATCATTTTAAAGGTCCCTTCCAGCCCAAACCATTCTATGATTCTATGACAAGGCTTTAGCTTTTTGACTAGGCTTTAGCTTGACTATCTGACTCTTCTCTTTTACAGAAGTAGAAAATACAGACTAATGCCAATATACTTATTTCTTTTTACTGAAGAAGCTTTATTTTGCTGTTACGTAGGTGAAGATGCATCTCTGCCTATAACAAGTGGAGGAAGCTACCACGTGCTGGTGAACAATGTGTTTTATTTTACACAGCGTGTGGTAGATAAGCTTTGGCAGGGCATGTTCAACAAAGAATCCAAACTTCTTGTGGAATTCATAATCCAACTCATTGCACAGGTAACAGTGTTCTCCTATTAGCCTACTTGAAAAACATTTTCACTATTTATGATAAAATCCATGGAGTGATGTCACTTAGCAGCCTGTGTACTACTTGGATTCCGCCTTTTGCTAATTGTGCAGTCTGGGTAGCTAACACTCCAAGATTGTAATTGTTCGCGTGCTGGTGGCCTGTCTTTGGTTAGCTCATAAGTATGCCCTTTTTTTCTTCTCTTTCACTTTTTAATGAGCTTTCCTAGCATATCTTGTCAGTGTGGAATGCTTTATTATGGGGCAGTTGAGTTAAAACTGCTTTTAGATGAAATTATTTTTCTAAAAGCCTGGAAAGCTTCCTAAATTCACCTCAGGAGATTTTCGGAAAGCTTCCTTGTGGTCTTTTATTGGAGACTGTTGAAGACCTCTGCTGCTCGAAATGAGAGGGAATGAAAATAGGCTGATTATTATGGATGTTCAAATTTTAAGTGCATCAGCATCTATTAGTGTCAATTTGGCCCTTGAAATCCCTGGAATTGACACTACCTATTTGGAAAAAACAGCATGGATCAATTTGTGCAAAGATTATCTGCCTGTAAATTTTTTCAGCTGACATCTGATGGTGCGTGGGTTTTTTTGTTTGTTTCGTTTCTATTAGTCAAAAAGAAGATCTCAGGGACTATCACTGGATGCTATTTATCACTGCCTGAACAGGACCATCTTGTATCAGTTCTCAAGAGCCCACAAAACTGTTCCTCAGCAAGTGGCTCTCCTTGATTCTCTGAGGGTCCTTACTGTGAACAGAAACTTAATTTTGGGACCTGGAAATCATGACCAAGAGTTCATCAGCTGTCTAGCTCACTGCTTGATTAACCTGCATGTGGGAAGGTAAGTCTCTCAGACAGAAGTTTGTTCCAGAACCAGGATAGTGACATAAAAATCACCTGTTCCCTCTCAGCTCTTACACCTTGTGAATAAGTCAGCAAATTCCTGACAACTGTTTATAACTTTCAAGTCAGTGAAATGCAAGCAAGCTGTAGTGATACATTTTAAAATAAAATGAGGTTTGAAGAGCCTTAGTTTAGAGAACAGTCTTACCTCCTGTTAAACAGGTATTTTACAGTACTAACACAAGTGCTGATCAACCATTATATTACTATGCTTTGACAGTGTGAAATATTTTTAAGTAGAAAGAAGCTCTGGTGTGAAATAATTAATAGTTAAAGGGATCAGTCACTAGACTTAGGGTCTATTGAATATGTATTCGGTATCTTAGTAATTGGATGTATTCGAATAAGTCAAGAATTAAATTGGATGGACATGACAAATGCTGGTAACACCTGCTTGTCTGCATTGCTACAAAAGCCTGACTGGCGTTTTCATTTTTCTTTCCAAAGAGTTGTAGGACTTGGGTTTTATCCCAAGACACTTGGGAAACATGATCCACAAAAACTCTAGTGTTTGCCATTCATGGCTTTGGCCACACTGGTGTTTCCTGAAATATTTCTGCTTCCTCCAGCAATGTTAGTGTCCATGTCATGTCCTTTTTTAAAAACCTTCAGTTTGAGTTGTGACTGCAGATCATCAGAAATCAAGTGGACAGAAATGAAGATAGTTGCTGTAGCAGTACACATTACTCTTTGTAGTGCTTTTGTTTGTTTCTGGTGGTTGTTCATTCACTGTGTATTTGTAGCAATGTTGATGGGTTTGGATTGGAAGCAGAAGCCAGGATGACTACTTGGCACATTATGATCCCCTCTGATATAGAGCCAGATGGAGTCTACAATCAAGATGTCAGTGAAGGTAATCTGAGTGATGAATCCACAGATGTCTGCTAATGATGCTGCTTTATTGTCATCAGTAGTCTTTTACCCTAGTTATACTTTGGGCAGGAGTGGGTGTGTGTGTGTATAAACACTAAAAACAAACAAAACACTTGAAACACCAAAACAGATACATTCAAAATAAGCTAGTGTTTTGTTAATACAGCAAGTGGACTTCATTTTTCTTACTGGACATGAACTAGAATTAGATTCCTTTATGTGTACTGAGTTGAATGCAATGTAAATGGATGCTTTTAAGTGTGTGCCATGCTTCTCTATCTGACAAATCTTACAGGAGCATAGTTAAGACGTAACTGTTATAAGATGTTGAATTATTACTTACTGGAACCATTAGGATCTTCCTCTTAAGAGAAACTTATGAACTAGCTGGTAGAAGAAAGGATCGTGGTTTTGCTCTTCTTATATGTATACATTTAATATTTATGTACGTGTCTATCGGTGTATACAGATATAAAAAATACATTTGTTATTTGTGTTTGGAATTGTATGTTTTTATATAGACTGTGTATATCTGTAAGATTTGTATTTATCTAGTGTTGTTGATGTACACATGGGTATGGGAGAAGAATTGCAACTAATTAGAGCCAGTGTTTCAGATTCGCAGAGGAAAGAATTTCAAAATTCTAGATGTGTACGAATAGGGTACAAATGATAAAAAAGACAGGTTGTTAAAATGCATTTCACAAGTCCTACAAGAAGGGAAGAATGTGGAGTGTAAATTGCTTAATCTATTCATTTTGCTACTATAAAAATACAAATTCAATAAGCAGCTTAGAAAACGTACTGTTTATGGTCTTGTACTTAACACAGGTCGCCAGCTTCTTTTAAAAGCTATAAACAGAGTATGGACAGAGTTGATTCACAGTAAGAAACAGGTGTTAGAAGAAGTTTTCAAAGTGATGCTACCTGTCAATGATCGTGGCCAAGTGGATATAACTGTTGCAAGACCTTTAATTGAGGAAGCGAGTTTAAAGTGTTGGCAAAATCATTTGGGTAAGTGCAACTGAGGATTTACCTGTCCAAGATGTTAGATTTTCCCAAAGGGAACCATGTGCATTGGGTATTACAGTATGGACTTACCTCTTGAGTATGTGTAAATACTTTAACCTGTTATAGCTGAACATCTGTGAAATAGTACCGGGTATGGGATATATTTACTCTGCCATACACAGGGCCTTTAGTCAACAGTTTTGCTGATCTCAGCAGCTTCCTGTGTTTGTGTGTGAGTGTGTACCAAATAGCATCCTGTGAATTACAGTGGCAGAGGACTGTTTTATTTAGCACCTTTTCATGAGCACTTGCCTTGTGGTGACCTATTAGACCTTACTGAGATTTGGATGTGCCAGGCAGGAAGGGAACCCATCTTGAGCATGTCCGGGTGCAGCCTACAAACTCTCCCCATGGTTGGTGAAATTGGAAATGTGTGACCAAACATCACTTCTATGGCAGCAGCAATGCTCGGATTTTTCCTTGACAGTGAAGTCAGTTCAACATTGGAAGCAGCTTTGCAGGAAAAGGACCTGGTGGACAAGTTAAGCTCATAAGCTGTGTGCCTATATTAATAAAGGCCAACTGTTGTTGGAATGATTAGTATGAGTTCAGACAGCAGATACTCAAAGTTCATCTAAAATTGAGTGGACATGTTCCTTTTACAATGGAACGGTTCTGAAGTAATTTGCTGGAAATACAATACAGTTCAGAGAAAGCAGTCTAGGAGGTTCCTGGAGAGCATGGCAGATAGCTTCCTGATGCAGCTGGTTAGTGAGCCTACCAGGGGAGGTGCCCCTCTGGACCTTCGGTTCACAAACGGGAGTACTAGTGGGAGATGTGGTGGTTGGGAGCTGTCTTGGGCAGAGTGACCACAAAATGGTAGAGTTCCCTATTCGTGGCAAAGTCAGGAGGGGAACCAGTAAAACTGCTGTCTTGGACTTCTGTAGGGCTGACTTTGAGCTGTTCAGGACACTGGTTGGCAGAGTCCCTTAAGAGGCAGTCCTGAAGGGCAGAGGAGTCCAGGAAGGCTGAGAACACCTCAAGAAGGAAATCTTAAAGGCTTACGAGCGGTCTGTCCCCATGTGCCCAAAGACGAGCTGGCATGGAAAATGAAGGCCCAGTCAGCATGGGTTTATGAAAGGCAGGTCCTGTTTGATGAACCTGATCTCCTTGTATGACAAAGTGATGCGCTAAGTGGGCATGGGAAAGACTGTGGATGTGGTCTACCTTGACTTCAGTAAGGCTTTTGACACTGTTTTGCACAACATTCTCCTAAAGAAACTGGCTGCTCGTGGCTTGGACTGGCGCACGCTTCGTTGGCTTATAAACTGGCTGGGTAGCTGGGCCCAAAGAGTCGTGGTGAATGGAGTCAAATCAAGTTGGAGGCCGGTCACTAGTGGCATTCCCCAGGGCTCAGTACTGGGGCCAGTCCTCTTTAATATCTTTATCGATGATCTGGGTGAGGGGATCGAGTGCACCCTCAGTAAGTTTGCAGATGACACCAAGTTAGGTGCGTGTGTCAATCTGCTCGAGGGTAGGAAGGCTGTGCAGGAGGATCTGGATAGGCTGCACTGATGGGCTGAGGTCAACTGCATGAAGTTCAACAAGGCCAAGTGCCGGGTCCTGCACCTGTGAGGCAATAACCCCAAGCAGAGCTACAGGCTGGGAGATGAGTGGTTGGAGAGCTGCCAGGCAGAGAAGGACCTGGGAGTGATGGTTGATAGTCAGCTGAATATATGAGCCAGCAGTGTGCTCAGGTGGCCAAGAAGGCCAACAGCATCCTGGCTTGTATAAGAAGCAGTGTGGCCAGCAGCTCTAGGGAAGTGATCGTTCCCCTTCTACTTTGCTCTGGTGAGGCCACACCTCGAGTACTGTGTTCAGTTTTGGGCCCCTCGCTACAAGAAGGCCATGGAGGTGCTTGAGTGAGCCCAGAGAAGGGCAATGAAGCTGGTGAGGGGTCTGGAGAACAAGTCCTACGAGGAGCGGCTGAGGGAGCTGGGCTTGTTCAGCCTGGAGAAAAGGAGGCTCAGGGGCGACCTTATCGCTCTCTATAAGTGCCTTAAAGGAGGCTGTAGAGAGGTGGGTGTTGGTCCGTTTTCCCACATGCCCGGTGATAGGAACAAGGGGGAATGGGCTAAAGTTGCACTGGGGAATTTTAGGTTGGATATTAGGAAGAACTTCTTTACTGAATGTATTGTTAGGCATTGGAATGGGCTGCCCAGGGAAGTGGTAGAGTCACCACCCCTGGAGGTCTTTAAAAGATGTTTAGGTTTAGAGCTTGGTGATATGGTTCAGAGGAGGACTTGTTAATTGGTCATTGGTTGGACCATGTGGTCTTGGAGGTCTCTTCCAACCTAAATGATTCTGTCACTGAGGTTAATCTGGATATACAGAAAGCGTTGTTGGAAATATACAGCACTTGGTTTTGTGGTCCATGTATTTCTAGATATGCTATGTCCCTGGCTGAATTTTCCTTTCGTTTCCACTGTCTAGCTAATAGTATTTAAAAAAAAATAAAATGTTTTGAGCAGAGTTGAGGATCTTTGGAGAATATATTGGCTTGAGAAAGTAGTAGTGGATTTAAAAGAAGAAAATAATGGATTTTTTTTTTAAATCAAATGTAACGGATATACAGTGAGGTCCATTAGATGAGTGTGGGGAGAACATGAAAATTCTGAGAGCCGAACTAATCTGTGATTTTTACTAAAGTTTTAAAGTAAACATGCTAGTGTTTCTGGACTTGATGATCAACTGGGATGGCTGTATGTTCACAAAAAGGTGCACTAGCCCACCTAACTTTTCCTCTCAAAATGGCATACTTGTGCTGACAGACTAGATAGCAGTGTCATGATACAGCCCCTTTTTGGGTGTAGGGAGGGGCGCAATGATGACATGCTCAACTGGGTTACTTTTCATTTGTGTCTGCCATTAATAACAAATAGTATAGATTTCTTTATTTTGTAACTGTTTTGAAAGAAACTGTTTCATCTGACATTGTCTCCCTTCTTTTGACTGCTCTCTTGGTCTTTAAGGGGATGTAATTCAGCAACATGGAAATTGGTTGGGGTGTGGAGGGAAAGGGAGGTGACAACTTTGTTCTACGTACCAATTTTTCACTTATTCAGATGAGGACAGCACTCACAGCTGTTAGACCCTGTTTTTGATAATCAGTGAAAGGAATCATAAATCTGCTCCTCATGTTTCCTTTCAAAATTAAAAACAAAAACAAACAAACAAAACAAACAAACAAAAAACAACACGATTTTCTCTTCGGAATCTTTCCTTCAAAACCAAAACTGAAAAAAAAAACACCACACACCAGAACCCCAAGAAAAAAAAACAAACACAAACAAACAAAAAAACAAAACAAAGAAACAACAATAGAAAAGGTTACTCTGTTTAGTGAAATGGCAATGACAGTGAGAACAGAGAGAGAGAAAAAAAAAAAAAAAGCCATCCCACAACATAAGATCTTTGTTTTTCAGCCCATGAGAAGAAGTGCATCAGTAGAGGGGAGGCCTTGGTTCCGACCACACAGTCCAAACTTTCACGAGTTAGCAGCGGGTTTGGCCTCTCTAAACTAACTGGTTCCAGGAGAAACCGGAAGGAGAGCGGGCTCAATAAACACAATCTTTCTACACAGGTAATGTCACTTAGTAAAATGAAATCTAAAATCCAGCATTGTATGTTCAGAGATTATGGTAAATATTGCAATATAAATGATCTTTCAGGGTGTTAGGTAAGATCTTGTGCTCGTTTCTTTTCATTGTTGAATATTGAGACTGAGCATTCTCACTTCTGCGTGTCCTAATCCAGCAAGCACAGCTGTCTATCTTTAACTTTAAAAGGAGAGTTAAGCTTTTATATATCTGTAATGCTTTACTGCTTTGCTAGTCTGTGTACTAATTCAATTTGCCTCACCACTTTGTAATGGAAGCCAAGATAGATGCTTTTCCTTTTTCAATGGAAGCCAAGATGATGTGCTTTTTTTTTTTTTGAAAGTCCTTATAAGTATATTTTATGTATCATGACTAAACAAATGCTGCTTTTCCCTATTTTTATTGTACTATAGAAAAGAGCTCAGCAAAACATTATGTGATGGTGAAATTGTACATTTGCATTTCAAACCTGCTTGCATTAAAAGAAAAAAGACTCTAGGGTTAAAGCTGTGTGATTTCTGTCAGAAAGTACTTAGTAGGGCATTGTGAGGAGTTAGTATACAATACTTTAGGTATCGAAAACAAAGGAAAGACGGGTCTGAAAGTTTTTGTAGGATGGAGTTCTTACTGTAATTAGCACTTGGAACAGCAGGGAGACTTTAGGTCATGGACAGCAGGTGTATTCCTGACATAAAGACATGCTGTAACTGCTGTTGACTTCATCAAGAGTTATTGGTGTCCTGTGTAAGTTGAAAAATAGCTTGCCTTTTCACTTACTGGTCTGAAAGTCATGCAGTGGACTTCTTTACAATAAAGAATTCTTAGTGTTTTTGGTCTTTTTCCTGGCAAACACATGAAAATGAAAAGGAAGAAACCCAAAAACTGAGTTGACAGGAGTGGTTGTTAGGCACATTGGCGAGGGAGCAGGGTGTGAAAACAGTTGTGTGTCAGTATAGAATAATGAGACCTGTAAAGGTTTCCATCAAATTGAGCAGCATCCACAAAATATTACCTGGAAATGGAGAAAAGTAGTAATTTTTGTCATCTACTGTCTCTCTTTAGCTGTTTGGGAATTTTCTGATCCATTAATCATGTGCTTTCAATATTTGCCAAATGTTTGCCAGTTTATCTTAAATAATGTCCTTGTACATGAGTTTGCTGCCTTAAAAACAACCAAACAAAATAAAACAAAAAGCATAAAACACCCTTAAAAATATTTTTGCATGGAGTAGTTTGAAATTAATCCAGAACATATTTTAGGAAGCTAGTCTTTTTGAACAAGTTAGCAAGGTGATGCATGGGCTTTCCATTCAAACTAAATCTAAGCCTGATTTATAAAGTCTGGTTCTGTCTGTCTCCTTATCTCCTATTAGGAAATTTCCCAGTGGATGTTTACCCACATTGCAGTGGTTCGGGACCTGGTTGATATGCAGTATAAGGAATATCAGGAGGTATGGTTTAGAGGATTACCTGAAACTGATATTTTTGACATGTTAGGCTGTACAGATCCTGTTTCTCAATATGTGGCTTATAAAATATTAGGAGGTTGGTGATTAAATGCTTAAATATATAGATACTATTGTTATTTTAGGGGTGTTTCTTTAATGCAATCGAATAAAGCTAATTTTGATTTAATTGCAGCAGTAGTACCTAAGTTAAATCTTAAGTTTTTCGTATGCTGTTTTAAACAGCCTGCATGCTCTAACATGTTTCCACCTTTTTCTTATTATTCTTATTATAAAAGAGTACTTAGGCTTCTTGAAAAAAAAAAAAAAAAAGCAGAAGACATGGGAAAGCATTGTGTACAAATGCTACTTTTATAGTAGTACAAACAATTTTAAGGCACCTTTTTCACATCATTATGCAGCAATAGAAAAATGATGCTCTGTGTTTTATAGAACAAAATCATTGCACCCTGCATTTTCTTTCAAGCATCCCCACAGTCCTTTGGTTCAAAGTATTTGCTGAGGTGTGTTCTAAAAGTCTAAGAAATCAGCTTCCCAGAAGTTCACGTTATTGAAAGTGACTGGCAGAAATCCACCAGATAAGCTTTGCTTTGTTCAGTTTCCCTCTTCTGTTTAAATGTAGGCAGAAAGAGCATCTGAAGTTATCTTTTTTCAATTCCTAAAATCCCCAGTGTATTAATGTTACATTTTTTCATATTTGCTGTTTACAAATGCATTCAATTATAGGTAAAAATCAAAAGCAGAGTTCATTTGTTGTTTTTTTCCTCTTATGCTTAGAGGAATACAATGTGAATCTTGCTTTTATAGTAGCTGAGACTGGAAAGCGCGTTAGGGTGCATTATACAATGCTACTGTAATTTTCAATGGCAAGGTTTTCTGTAATGTAGTGAAAATGACTTTGCTTGTATCAGATGTAGGCTTAAAAACATCACTGTTAATGGATATGGTAATATCTTTGTATTCAGCGTCAGCAGAATGCATTAAAATATGTGACAGAAGAGTGGTCTCAAATTGAATATGAGTTACTACGAGAGCGAGGTTTGTGGGGTCCCCCCATTGGTTCCCATCTTGACAAGTGGATGTTGGAGATGACAGAGGGTCCCTGTAGAATGAGGAAGAAGATGGTTCGAAATGACATGTTTTATATTCAGTATCCCTACATGCCTGAAGCTGAGCAAGAAACAAACTTGCTGGTAAGTAATTCAGCATTTTGTTATGAGTAATTTCATGCCCAGTTGTAAAATCCACTTTTTTTTCTTTTTTCTTTTTTTTTTAATAAAAAGTTTCTCTTACGCCTATTTTACTCTGTTAGTTTACCAACATGCCTGTTAGCCCTAAATGCTTGGTAAGGTTCAGTTATTCTTTGTAGTATATTTAGGGGCGGGACTGACCTGCTCACCACTCAAAACAGTGAATTGGAAAGCTCTACCAGTTCCAGCATGAAACATGGTGTGTATGCATTAGCCAAGCAAGCATGCTGGTGAACACCAGAAGTGTCTTCATGAGCACCAAAAGGCTATGAAATGCCATACCTATGGATGGGAGGTTTCACTATGAGTTCTTGGCATAGTGCTACATAACAGCTGAAACAGATCTGAAAAAAAAAGCAAAAACCAAATAGGCCTATAGGCCTTTGTTTGGATGTACTTCTTTCATTGATAATCTGTGAATATGAACATAGGCTACTTGGGCAGAAATGTATGTGGCCTTGGAAAGTTTGGCAGTTCGTTTCTCTTTGCTTTGGAACAGCATCTTGAGGAAATGGAGCAGTCTTTATTGTGTCTTTTAGGCATGCATGTATGTATGCATGCAGGATTTTTTTCCTCAAATCAAGAATAAAAGCCATGGTACTTAAGAAGCACAAACAAAAATATACTGTACAGCTAACTTTACACCATGAGGTGTATTTGTCTACTTGTTACCTGACACACAATAGTTTTAGCAACAGTTAAGTTCACAGAAAGCGGAGAACATATCATCATGCCTCCTTCTAAAAGTGTTCTTTTTCTGATGCATATACTTAATGCCCTGTTTTCAGTATGACCTCTCAAGTAGACTTCCTGAGACATCTGATGATGGCATTCCTCAAAAGGTAAAGAAACACACACACTGAGAGAATGTAAAATAATCACAACTTTTACAGTTTCTCCTGCATGTTTGGCAGTCTTAATCAATGCTTCTACATTTGGCTTTCAACTTGCTCTTTCAGTATTTCCAGGCCTGAAGGTGGTGTTTTCCGTATTCACATTAGAAAATGTTACTGTGCTCTCCTCAGCCTTCACCTAATATAACTTTCTGTAGATCTTCACTTCTTTGCTGCACACTAACAGGCTGTGTTGGGCTGTGCTGTCACTGTTCTCACTGTGTTCAGAGTTGTGGTTTGGGGTCTGAACTAATGGTCTATGGAACGTGTTTAGTAATGGGCAACATGATCATTGGGAAGCACTGCTAGGAAAATGGATGTTGTTTGCAAAGGGGACCTGGTGAACAGGGGTTTTTCCCCTTTCTAATCGTAATGGTCTGAAAGAGGCCTATTTTTGTTAGCACCACATTTGTTAACCCGATTTTGTCATTCCTGATGGTCTTCATTTTTATTGTTAATGATACGTATGCAGTTGTTTCAAAATATGAATCCTACCTTAAAAGTACCAGATCTGTTAGGAACTGACTGTCCTGCAAGCATTTATCTCTTACGAGGCTTCTCTATGAAATTGCAGTTAGTCTTGCCCATCACTAAGTAGAGTGCACAGTGCATTCACTGATTTTGAATTACATTCAGCAATGAACTAATACACATAAATGAAAGTAATTGCTATACAGAAAATGAAATATAATTTGTTACTGATTTCTTTATGTTAGCAGTGCTAGTTTGGATTTTTCTTTGTAGACTTTACGTTACTACAGAGGTGTTAAAGACTGAAGACTTACTAGAGCCCAACTTGGCAAATCTGATCACAGTGCTGTACATCTTGGATTTCTGGGGCAGGCAATTTGACCTGAAATAAGGAATCTCCATGTTGCTGCTCTTAATTGCTTAGTCATCCCAAACATCTACTTGTAATAAAGCTGTTTTGTTTTTATGGGTCACTTAGTTTCCTGCTACATCATCAAACAGGTGGACAGCAACAAAGAAAGGAACATCACATGTTATGTATTTGCAGTTACAACCGCAGAAGGGAACAAGGAGAAGTCTTAATTGAAACGGCAACTAATATTCTGCAGTTGCACATAATTTAAAGCATTTATCTGAATTTATGATATTCCATTATTATCTCAATCTAATTTGAAGAATCATGGGGTATATTGCTACAAAGTAACAAATTGTTTTTGTGATAGAGAGCTGAGCATGTTTACAAACTGAACTTTCTAGAGTTAAGGTGTTGGTGTTAAATAGTACTCAGAGAAGAAGATTTTTGACTGAAGTATAAAAACAATGGGTTTTCTTCTGTCCAGGTGCATCAGTTTGTTTTAATTTGGGAAAAGTTCTTGGCTGTGTAATAGCTCTTATCCCCATCTGCCTCTCCAGTGATGTTGCTGACCTTGTCCTCATTTAGTGGTTACTTTGATTTCTAATATTAACTCCATAATCAAAAGAGGAATGTAAGAATTAACCTGCTAAAAGAAAGCCAACAACACACCATCACCATAGTGAAACATACCATAATCCATTGTGCTTACCCAAGGATATAAATGATGCTTGATGAATTACTTCACTTAAAATAATCCTCTTGTGCCAGTTGCCTGCCTGCAGGCCTTTAAAATCTGTATTAAAAAAAAAAAGAAAAAAAAAAAAGAAAAAAATGAATTAAGAATTTTTGAGCCTTCAGATCAGGTCTCTGGCTGCTTTTAGTTCATATCAACCTCCACTTACTTTCATCTTGTCTTGAGGAAAATTTTTACTCAAACTACACCTAGCAATGAATTTGGCTGTCCAATGAATGAACTGTAGGGAGTGATGAAAGGTGGTAAAATAGCAATTTGATCTATCAATCTTAGAGCAAAAGTATCCCAGCAGTCTTTTGTGACAGTTGATAACATACTGACCACACTTAATACGTCTCTGTGTTGTAGGTTTAGCAGCAGGCATTTCTGCAAACCCATCATTACTTCAGTGGTTCAAAAGCTCCCTTGCAAATTAGATGATTTACTGGATCTAGTGAAGAGTCTCTGTTTTTGTATGTTTTGCTGTATGTCTGCACACACACTGTCCTGGTTTCAGTTAGGACAGAGTTAATTTTCCTCCTAGTATCTGGTAGGGTGCTATGTTTTGGATTAGGATGAGAAGAGTGCTGAAAACACGCTGATGTTTTAATTGTTGCAGAGCAGTGATTACACCAAGCCAAGGACGTTTCAGCTTCTCATTCTGTCCTGCCAGTGGTGGCTGGGGGTGCAGCAAAAGCTGGGAGGGCACGGACCCAGGACAGGTGACCCAAACTGGCCAAAGGGATATTCCATGCCATCTGGGGTCATGCTGAACGATATATAGGGGTGGCTAGCCGGGGTGGGGGGTGCAGCTGCTCAGGGATGGGCTGGGCTTTGGTCAAGGGAAGCTCATGGAGCTTCCAGGGAAGCTCAAGGAGCAGATTATCTTGAGTGTCATCACGCGGCACTTACAGGGCCAGCAGGTGATCAGGCCCAGTCAGCATGGGTTTATGAAAGGCAGGTGCTGTTTGATGAACCCGATCACCTTCTATGACAAAGTGACGCACTAAGTGGACATGGGAAAGACTGTGGATGTGGTCTACCTTGACTTCAGTAAGGCTTTTGACACTGTTTTGCACAACATTCTCCTAAAGAAACTGGCTGCTCGTGGCTTGGACTGGCGCACGCTTCATTGGGTTAGAAACTGGCTGGGTAGCCGGGCCCAAAGAGTCGTGGTGAATGGAGTCAAATCCAGTTGGAGGCCAGTCACTAGTGGCGTTCCCCAGGGCTCAGTACTGGGGCCAGTCCTCTTTAATATCTTTATCGATGATCTGGGTGAGGGGATTGAGTGCACCCTCAGTAAGTTCGCAGATGACACCAAGTTAGGTGCGTGTGTCAATCTGCTCGAGGGTAGGAAGGCTGTGCAGGAGGATCTGGATAGGCTGCACCGATGGGCTGAGGTCAACTGCATGAAGTTTAACAAGGCCAAGTGCCGGGTCCTGCACCTGGGGCACAACAACCCCAAGCAGAGCTACAGGCTGGGAGATGAGTGGTTGGAAAGCCGCCTGGCAGAGAAGGACCTGGGAATATTGGTTGATAGTCAGCTGAATATATGAGCCAGCAGTGTGCTCAGGTGGCCAAGAAGGCCAACAGCATCCTGGCTTGTATAAGAAGCAGTGTGACCAGCAGCTCTAGGGAAGTGATTGTCCCCCTGTACTTGGCTCTGGTGAGGCCGCACCTCGAGTACTGTGTTCAGTTTTGGGCCCCTCGCTACAAGAAGGCCATGGAGGTGCTTGAGCGGGTCCAGAGAAGGGCAACGAAGCTGGTGAGGGGCCTGGAGAACAAGTCCTACGAGGAGCGGCTGAGGGAGCTGGGCTTGTTCAGCCTGGAGAAAAGGAGGCTCAGGGGCGACCTTACCGCTCTCTATAAGTGCCTTAAAGGAGGCTGTAGCGAGGTGGGGGTTGTTCTGTTTTCCCACATGCCCGGTGATAGGAACAAGGGGGAATGGGCTAAAGTTGCACTGGGGAATTTTAGGTTGGATCTTAGGAAGAACTTCTTTACCGAATGGGTTGTTAGGCATTGGAATGGGCTGCCCAGGGAAGTGGTAGAGTCACCACCCCTGGAGGTCTTTAAAAGGATGTTTAGGTTTAGAGCTTGGTGATAGGGTTCAGAGGAGGACTTGTTAGTGTTAGGTCATTGGTTGGACCATGTGGTCTTGGAGGTCTCTTCCAACCTAGACAATTCTGTGATTCTGCGATCGGTCAGTGGGTGGTGAGCAATTGCATTGTGCATCACTTGTTTCGTACACATTAGTAGTAGTACTATTATCATCATTATTGTTGTTATTATTATTGTTGTTATTATTTTTGTGTCTTAATAAACTGTCTTTATCTCAACTCACAGGCTTCACTTTCCCATTTCTCTCCCCATCCCAGAGAGGGAGGGGGGAGGGTGAGCGAACGGCCGTGTGGTGTTTATCTGCCGGCTGGTTAAACCACAACATGCACAAAGCACTTCATGGGCATGCCCTGTGCTGCACACAGTGTTCCTGAAGCTTGTTTACTGAAGCAAGCGAGGAGTTGACTGACTAAGCGATTGTGTTCAATTATTTCTAAGAAACCTGCTCGCTACCGGAGGGCTATAAGTTATGACAGTAAGGAGTACTACATGCGCCTAGCTTCTGGAAACCCTGCAGTCTTCCAGGACACCATAGAAGAAAATACAGTGGGTGAAACCACTCAGCAGGAGCCAGAACACGGAGAAGACACGATTGCAAGAGTCAGAGGTTAGATCATTTCTTTTGTCCCAAACTATTCTCTTTAAATATATCTGCCTTTATATCTTCTCTTGCATTCATGTTGGAATAAACATAAGGATCTTGTGGGACTCTATTTTCTGTCTTAGCATTGGATCAGCAGTTTTAGACTTCAAAAGGTTTTGCACAGCAATTTTTTTTTTTTTATTCTTCTTTGTTCTTCTTTTCCAGGCCTAGTGAAGCCTCCCCTGAAACGATCTCGCTCTGCTCCTGATGGAGGAGATGATGAGAACCAGGAGCAATCACAAGATCAAGTTGTTGAGGGGAGTTCAATTGATGAAGAGGAGAAGACTGACAATACAACTTTGCTTCGACTTCTTGAAGAAGGAGAGAAGGTACTGTGTACTGCAAACAGACTAAGCACTTACTGTATTGGAATTTCTGCCCTGCATGTAGCAAGCACAAATCAACATCCTAAATAGCTTCCCTGATCTAAAGCTGCACCTGCTTAATATTCTATCAGCTTCTTCTTGCAGCATCCTTGAAACCAAATGTGTACTTGAGTTCAAAGAGGTCCTGAGCCCAAAACCCCTGTACTGGAAACGTTCTTGCTTTGCTTCTGCCTGCTGTGGAGGAATTCAACCTGTTGTAGAACTAAAGTTGCAAGCTATCCTGTGATTATTACAAGGATTATTACACCGTCAACCTAATGAGACCTCATAAAGGAAATATACGTTGAACATGTAAATACTGCACACAATAGACTTTAAGTAATTCTTGTAATCATTAGAATGAAAAATTTTGACAGTAAATGTTGTATCCCCATGAACTGTGTTCAAAGGCTGTTCTGGTTACTTAGTATTTCATACTGTCTGTCTGAAGTATACCACTAAATAGATTTGGGATTGAGGTTGAAAGGGCTCCAGGTTGCAAAATACGCCCAAGAAGCAAAGCGAGAGTGGAAAAGTCAGTAAACATAAAAATCTATTCTATATGATGGAGGCTTTATTTAAACTACCTTTAAAATCAATGATCACAAAGGTGACGTACAACCTCAATTAACAGGAAAAATAGCAGAATTTTTGTTGTATCCACAAGTAATAAAGCACTGTTTAGGTCTTGTTCTGACAAAGCAATGGTCTGAGTCTGAGCTTGCTGACCTGCTTTTGCTCACTGCGTGTTTTTCATTTCAGATTCAGCATATGTACCGCTGTGCTCGAGTTCAGGGCCTTGACACTAGCGAAGGGCTTCTTCTCTTTGGGAAAGAGCACTTCTATGTGATTGATGGATTTACCATGACTGCCACCAGAGAAATACGGGATATTGAGACGCTGCCTCCAAAGTGAGTGGTTTAATAAAGAGTTTCATGAGTCTTTAGAAGGTGAACAACAGGTGTTTAATGAAATTATTTTGAGTCAACTACAAAAACAGATTGTGGAAGATCTCAGGAGCAGATTCTTCTGTTGCTCACAAAATGCAAAATGTGGTGTGTGGTGTATCATGAAATAAGTTTCTTTCAATAACTTGACTCTCACAAAGATGAAAAAAATAATTTTTATAATTCATGTTCTTTTTAATCACTTTCCTGTATATACCCCATCTACAGGATGCACGAGCCTATCATACCTAGGGGAGCAAGGCAAGGTCCAAGTCAACTCAAAAGAACGTGCAGCATTTTTGCCTATGAAGATATCAAGGAAGTACATAAAAGGAGATACCTTTTGCAGGTAACTTGGACACAGTATTCAGATTGAGATGCCAACTGTGGAATTTTAACAAAGTAAAATAGGTATCAGATGAGTATTTGGCAAGTGAAAACTGTTTGTTGTGTTGAAATTTAAGAGATTAAGCCTAGCATCTGATCTGAGCCATGTTTGGCTTGCTGTAGTTTATTGTGTGAATTAGTGAATTGTAGTATTCTGAAAAGAGAACGGTTGGCCGCACTAAGCAGCGTGTGTTGCAATAAGTTTGAATCATGTGTCACTTCGTATGACTAAACTGGCCTACTTCTGACCTTCAGAGATGACAAGCAAAGGTGTTAGTGGTGACATATGTTTGTCTTGTTTGTTTTCAGCCAATTGCAATTGAAGTTTTCTCAGGGGATGGACGGAACTATCTTCTGGCTTTCCAGAAGGGGGTTAGAAATAAAGTTTATCAAAGGTATTGTAAAATAACTAAAGTTACAATATTTAATCCGAATATTTGCCATTATCTGTTTTGAGCAATATTTGAATCTCCAGTGATCTGACAATGAGAAGTAGGTTGCAAGTGGTGTGAGACACTGCATAATCCTGTAGCGAACTTAATATTGCAGAGAAAAGCCACTAGGAAGCGCTAATGACTTCATGCCAAACTTGCTGTACATAATTAGTATGAGATATACAACTCAGTGAATGTGAGTTTAGAGCGAAAAGGGCTATTGCAATGTTTCTGAAGATGTTATGTAGCTGCTCAAAATTAGATCACTAATTGTACCAAATGTGTTCTAAGTATGAGACAAACCTGGAACAGACACGCTAACCTTAAACTCCATTTAACTCTTGATGCAGGTTTTTGGCTGTGGTGCCATCTCTAACTGACAGTTCGGAGTCAGTGTCTGGACAGAGGCCAAATACCAGTGTAGAACAAGGGTAAGCAATACTATTCCTCACCAGCTTTTTAGCTTAATGTTTTCCAATAGATGATGTTTACGTTAGGGTCCAGTTACCCTGGGGAGTATTGCAACCTCTATTTAAAACTGGGCATTACCAAATAAATAAGAAAACAATGATTTTATGTTCAGCTACTTTAAACGTTTTAATATCGTTGGCAGCATTGGTATACCTTCCTACAAATAAATACATGTTACCAGGATTAATGTTGTTGGTGTACAGGTACATTCTGAAAGGAACTGGAGTACCAAAACCGTTTGGCTTGTCCAAGTTTTTAAACATATTTTCCTCAGCAGCGGCCCATCAGTTTTAGTTGTATATGCACTGAAATGCATGGATAATGTGCATTATTATGTCAGTCTGTGTTCAGAAACAAAATAAGTACTACTAATGCAAAAAGGAACTAAGACTGATTTGTTTAAATGTAAAAATTCACAGGTTTTAATCTTTACACTGTGAATTGTCTTGTAAAGATTTAACACAGGTCTTATTGGTAAGTTAGAAAATGTACTTAATTCTTCTTCCTGTTAGGTCTGGATTGCTTAGCACTTTAGTGGGAGAAAAATCTGTTACTCAAAGATGGGAGGTAAGTATAAATTATTTTTATATTAAATTGCACATTTTGTAGCGATACATAATTAATGCATGTAAGTTGCATGCTCTTGCTAGAACAAGTGGAATATACTGCTTTAGAAAATGTATCTCTGTATTTTAATGGGTTATATTTCATGATATCATCATCAAATAGTAAATGGTTCTACCGTAGAAATGTAAGCTTAGAGTAGGCATTGTAACATTGAATTAAGTTTCATATATTTGGAGAGAGCTGAACATCTTGAAAGTCTGGCAGCTTAGTTGATTATTGCCAAGTGAACTGTTCAACACTGTTATGTATTCCTTCAGAGAGGAGAAATCAGTAACTTCCAGTACCTGATGCACTTAAACACTCTGGCGGGCAGATCATATAATGATCTTATGCAGTACCCTGTCTTCCCCTGGATCCTCGCAGACTATGATTCAGAGGTAAATAAAATATCTTGTCAACTTAGGAGTAAACTTTTACGCATTTGATGCTTGTAAATACTACAGCTGGCTTGCACTGCCTTGGTAAAATAGTCTTATCCTTATTTGCAGTCTTTAGATTTTATCTGTTTTACAATGTCCAGCCCACGCTATCAGTGAGTAGGATATTAGAGGTGCTTAGCTGTCCCATGCAGGCTGGTCCTTGCCCATCCTCATTTTACAGTTGCTATTGGGCTGTGCACAAGTGCACGGCATGTTCTAAGGCAATTGCTTCTCCTTCATGTAACAATGTACAAGACTGCAGCTATTTGTGTAAGTCTGCAGTAGTTTTCTGCGCTACATCCTGAAGGATGTTATGCCTATGGAGAAAGCATTCATTTTTAAATAGAATTGATGTTCATTTTATTTTAAAAGGAATTGGACCTTACAAATCCCAGGACATTCAGAAACCTGGCCAAGCCCATGGGAGCTCAAACAGAAGACCGGTTAGCCCAGTACAAGAAACGATACAAAGACTGGGAAGATCCCAATGGTAAGTAACAACATATTCTGCAGGAAAAAGCGAGGGGCATATGCCTGCCATGTGATGGGAGGGAGTCACGGATTTTCATTATAAGGGTAAAGAGTTCCAGATTTGGATATACAGAGCTCTACCATGTGGGTGGGTTGTTTTTTTTTTTTTTTTTTTGTGACTTGGAAACAAGTATTAAATTGACGCAAAGGGGTGGTGATGATGATATGTATGTTGTTGTTCCATTGTTGTTTTTTTAAAATCCGAACGGCATGTTTTTATACACAAAATTGAAGAGAAAACAGTTGTATATTGAGAACAGTTAAACCTTGACTAATTGTTAGATATGGGCAAGTACATACTAAGCATGCGGTCAGTTGTCTCCTTGACTAATGTTTGAATGCTGCTGTAAGACAATAAATTGTACAGAGGAATATGAATACTTTTGCATTATCAGGGCAGTAGTTTTTTCATTTCTTGGTTTACTGCATATTTTTCTGTTAAGGAAGCATCTTCTTCTTTGCTACCCATCCCCCAAAAGAAATACATGTACTGTTATGTTCTTAAGTTTGTAATGCTTCCAAATGATAAGCAATTGAGTTGTGTATTCTCCATTTAGAGTTTTCTTATCTATTGAATCTATTGAAAATAAAACTTGTGAGTTTGTCAAAACAGCTATAATACACGATAGTTATTTTTCTGCGCTTTTATATGCAGCACAAGCTTGTTTAACTACTGTGATGCTGTTCTGGGTCAAACAGCAGGTGGCTAAGATGGTCATTTTCAGAAATGAATCGTGTTCTGTGTGTATTTATGAAGATTTTTTTTCCCAGGAAATTATGACAGTGAAAGCTCTACAAATTCTGTAGCCAACAATTCTGAGATGTATTTCTGACTGAGCCTTTAATTCCAGAGCAACCAAAAAAAAATCACTGTTGGAACATTTGAAGTATTTAAAATAAAAAATGAGTAACCATGCAGTCTTGCTGGACAGAAGCTCACTGAATTAAAGCTACTGCACTGCAGCTAGAACTTAAGTGGTGGCCATGACAAAACATGATGTTTTCAATTTCCCAAGAATGAAAATTGCAAATGCCAATTTTAAATGTGTCTGAGGTCACAGAGTAAATACAATGCATCACTAATTAGTACTGTCACCAGTAACTGTTGTCACCTACTGTTACTTAACTTCTTTATTTCTTCTATGTTGATGATTTTTAATTTTTGGCAGGTGAAACTCCAGCTTATCATTATGGGACCCACTATTCATCTGCCATGATAGTGGCTTCTTACCTTGTCCGGATGGAGCCTTTTACACAGATTTTTTTACGGCTGCAGGTAAGAAGTACAAGACCTTATATCCTGTTGCTTTCCTGCTGTACTTTTGAGACCTACGTGAAAAATGTGATCGGTCTGCTGATCTCATGAAATACGTTAGAAAACATATCTTGAGTGATTGCAGGTGGGATAGGTCCAAAAACCTTCAGGATGTTTGATGTTTATTTGTAATAGATTTAATGGAATTCACATTTCGTCATGTAGTTCAAACATTTAGAAATATGTATGGAACAAAATAGCTCCAGACAAAAAACCAAAGGTTTTATTATAAAGACAAATACACTTCTCATTGTGCTTTATTTGTCTGCCATTGAAAGAATCTTGTGCCAGTTCTTCAGTTTACTATGGAGGTGTTGAAAGATGCTAAATTTAAAACCTATACTTCTATCCCAAGATGCAATTCAGTACTGAGTGTTAAAGTAAACCAAAATTTGCAGAGCCTGGCATCTTTTGGCAGTCTGACAGGTAACTGGGCTCAAAACATTGTTTCCAGTATTTTCCTGGACAGAAGCCACCAGGCAAAATATGTACATATGTGTGTGTGTGTGTGTGTGTGTGTGTGTATATATATATATATATGTATATATAATTTTTTTCCTTTGGCGCAGCGTTTCACCAGAAGAGACTAAACTTTGAAGTAGAACTAGGTGTCTCTCTCCTTCAAATCTGGTAGATCTGTCTTCATAACTTTGTGCACTATTACTGTGTTTCACAGCATAAAATAATGCAGCATTTAAAATTCTTTGTGTTAAAGGAAGAAACATGCTATGTTTTATGATGTATTTATTAGGCAGAGTATGTTCTGGTTTGCCTTCTTGCAGCACAGCAAATTTGTCCAAGCTACTCCGATGATCTTGCTTTGTCCCACAGGGTGGTCACTTTGACCTGGCTGACCGAATGTTTCACAGTGTCCGGGAGGCCTGGTATTCGGCGTCAAAGCACAACATGGCAGACGTGAAGGAGCTCATCCCGGAATTTTTCTACCTCCCTGAGTTCCTGCTCAATTCCAACAATTTTGACCTAGGTAGGCCAAAACACTCCCTGACAAAAGTCCCTCTCATTTTTCCTATGTTAAAATCTTGATAATTTATTTTAAGATATACTTTACTTTCACATATGTAAAATAGACCAAACATGGTCTATTTTTCGCAGATTTCATCCATTAAAGAAAATAAGACTCAATAACAGTTTGAAATAAGTGCTTGGAGTGTGGGTGACAGATGATAACAAGAATCAAAGAAACTAATTCTAAACCTCTGCTTTAACTAAGTGAAGTTAACAAAGCTGCAAAACAGATCAACGGTGTACAATGGTGTGAGCAATCACCAGTAAAGAATACATCTCTGCTAAGTGAATCTCTCAAGTCTTGCAGTGCATTATGATGGTAATAGAAATAATATAACTCTAGGTTTAAAAGCCTTAAGAAAAGGTTCAAAAATTAAGAAGTGCTAAACACAACTATCATATCAAAAAGACATTTCTCAGTTTCACTAAAGATTTTTATTACCCCAAAAAATATTTATAACCTTTTTTTCAGGGTTTTGAAAGATAGAGCATTGAGAAATGTACGCTGCCGTACTCTTAATTTTCTTTATGCCATTTTTAGTCTTTGGGAAATCTGTTTGATACTGTTCACTTCCTCTTAAAGATTTCCAAAGCTTTTATTGTAATGTGGCACTTGACTTCTGTGACAGTAATTATTTAACGAGTCAAGTTTCACAGGAGATAAATGAGTGTATGTCACTCTTCTCAGCAGCTTTAACCTTCTCTCAGCTCTTTGCTGGGAATCTAATACCAATAAAAAAGATGAATTGGGTGGTGTGTTTCAATAGCCTCAAAATGTTGATAGAGATTGGAAGTGCAAACGTACAAAACCAAAAGAAAAAAAAAAAGTAGGGAAAGACAAAACACATCTCCTGAGTATTCTTCAGACAGAAGGGTGTGGCCATTACCATTAAATATTGAGGTCTTGTTCATTTAGTTCTGTATCTCCTAATTTTAGGTGGATATGTCTGATTACTAGAAGTTCTATCAATATTTAGAACAGTAGGACAGGCTTTGTTCTGAACTACTGTAAAGCTAAAAACCTGCATGAGACTTCAGTTTGTGTTACTTCATAATTATCCCAGTCCCCTTCCAATCCCTTTCTCCCAAACAAGGAGATAGGAAAACATTCAAAGCCTGATTAGATTATGCAAGGAATGTCTGTTGGGCGAATGTACTACTTGTGCACCTGTGTAAATTTGGAAGCTTGCCCTGAGCAAGTACAAAATGTGGGATTGTCTCTCAGTGACGAATGACAACACATGAATATGAGTGGGAAGTTGTAAGGACTAAGGTTTCAGTAATTGAAACATGCCACCACTTAATATTCTGGGTGGGAAGGGATCTCTCTAGGATCGTGATGAATGTGTGTGTCCAGGACATAGAATCATAGAATCATAGAATATCCTGAGTTGGAAGGGACCCTTAAGGATCATCAGGTCCAACTCTTGACACCGCACAGGTCTACCCAAAAGTTCAGACCATGTGACTAAGTGCACAGTCCAATCTCTTCTTAAATTCAGACAGGCTCGGTGCAGTGACCACTTCCCTGGGGAGCCCGTTCCAATGTGCAACCACTCTCTCTGTGAAGAACCCCCTCCTGATGTCAAGCCTAAACTTCCCCTGCTTCAGCTTAACCCTGTTCCCGTGGGTCCTGTCACTGGTGTTAATGGAGAAAAGGTCTCCTGCCTCTCGACACCCCCTTACGAGGAAGTTGTAGACTGCGATGAGGTCTCCCTTCAGCCTCCTCTTCTCCAGGCTGAACAGGCCCAGTGCCCTCAGCCGTTCCTCGTACGTCTTCCCCTCCAGGCCTTTCACCATCTTCGTAGCCCTCCTCTGGACACTCTCCAACAGTTTCATGTCCTTTTTATACTGTGGTGCCCAGAACTGCACACAGTACTCGAGGTGAGGCCGCACCAGCGCAGAGTAGAGTGGGACAATCACCTCCCTTGACCTACTAGCGATGCCGTGCTTGATGCACCCCAGGACACGGTTGGCCCTCCTGGCTGCCAGGGCACACTGCTGGCTCATATTGAACTTGCTGTCTACCACGACCCCCAGATCCCTCTCTTCTAGGCTGCTCTCCAGCGTCTCATCGCCCAGTCTGTACGTGCAGCCAGGGTTTCCCCGTCCCAGGTGCAGGACCCGGCACTTGCTCTTATTGAACTTCATGCGGTTGGCGATCGCCCAGCTCTCCAACCTATCCAGATCCCTCTGCAAGGCCTTTCCACCCTCATTCGAGTCCACAACTCCTCCAAGTTTGGTGTCATCAGCAAACTTGCTCAAAATACCTTCTATTATATACTATATATATTATATATATATATAGATAGATAGATAGATAGATAGATAGATATCTATATAATATTATATACTATTATATAATATCTAATATACCTTCTAATACCTACATCCAGATCGTTTATAAAAATATTGAAAAGTACCGGCCCTAAAATGGAGCCTTGAGGGACCCCACTGGTGACCGCCCGCCAGCCTGATGCAGCCCCATTCACCATAACCCTTTGGGCCCTGCCCGTTAGCCAATTGCTCACCCATCGTATGATGTTTTTATTTAGCTGTATGGTGGACATTTTGTCCAGTAGGATCCTATGGGAAACCGTGTCAAAAGCCTTGCTGAAGTTCAAAAAAATCACATCAGCTGGTTTCCCTTGGTCCACCATACGGGTGATCTTATCATAAAAGGAAATCAGGTTAGTTAGGCAGGACCTACCCTTCACAAACCCATGCTGGCTGGGACCAATGACTGCTTTGTCCCCCAGGTGTGCCTCAATAAGTTCGAGAACCATCTTCTCCATGATTTTACCAGGCACTGACGTGAGACTGACAGGCCTGTAATTGCTAGGGTCTTCTTTCTGACCCTTCTTGAAAATCATGCCAAGAGGAATGACCACCGTCCTTGGGTGTAAAGTTTGTGGCAGCTTGACAGGGTCAGTGCATGAGTATTCAGCCTGTACTGTCATAGTGTAGCCATTCCCATGGGTAAAACAACAACATCATTGTTTAATGCAGATTGTTCCTATTGCAAAGAAGATAAACTTGGAGCCAAAGAGCTCTCCACCAAGTCTTCCCAGTACAGTTTGCTGTTAAGCTGTCTCATTCCAGGATTTATTTGCCTTTAAAATAAACCCAGTTGACTTGTTTGCTGCTGTATACACACAGAATATTTTTCCTCACTAAAATTCAGTCTGTAGCATTTATTCATGTTTACCTCATGAAACAATTTCTAACATGCAAGTCAAAAAAATGATCAGCATTGACTTGTGGTGCAGTGATTGCTGTAGCCACCAGATGGATGTCTTCTTGAGCATCAACTTCCAGTAGGTGGGCTGGCTGCTTTTGTGCAAGCTGAATTGGCAGTATGGGACTCAGATTGTGTAGTGGCCACAAAAGACCACAGGACTGGCTGTTTTCATGATCTTTTGCATGCTACAGTAGGTCTTTCCTATGGTAGGGAGAGGAAATAAGAAATGTGCCTAACAAGAAATACTAAGACAAGAATCAGAATCACAGAATCACAGAATCACAGAATTTCTAGATTGGAAGAGACCTCAAGATCATCTAGTCCAACCTCTAACCTAACACGAACAGTCCCCACTAAACCATATCCCTAAGCTCTACATCTAAACGTCTTTTAAAGACTTCCAGGGATGGTGACTCCACCACCTCCCTGGGCAGCCTGTTCCAATGCCTCACAACCCTTTCAGATCTGAAGCTCTTCCTAACATCTAACCTAAAACTCCCCTGGTGCAACTTTAGCCCGTTCCCCCTCGTCCTGTCACCAGGCACGTGGGAGAACAGGCCAACCCCCACCTCTCTACAGCCTCCTTTAAGGCACTTATAGAGAGCGATAAGGTCGCCCCTGAGCCTCCTCTTCTCCAGGCTGAACAAGCCCAGCTCCCTCAGCCGCTCCTCGTAGGACTTGTTCTCCAGGCCCCTCACCAGCTTCGTCGCCCTTCTTTGGACCCGCTCAAGCACCTCGATGTCCTTCTTGTAGCGAGGGGCCCAAAACTGAACACAGTACTCGAGGTGCGGCCTCACCAGAGCCGAGTACAGAGGGACGATCACCTCTCTAGCCCTGCTGGTCACGCTGTTTCTGATACAAGCCAGGATGCTGTTGGCCTTCTTGGCCACCTGAGCACACTGCTGGCTCATATTCAGCCGACTGTCCACCATCACTCCCAGGTCCTTCTCTGCCTGGCAGCTCTCCAACCACTCATCTCCCAGCCTGTAGCTCTGCTTGGGGTTATTGCGCCCCAGGTGCAGGACCCGGCACTTGGCCTTGTTAAACTTCATGCAGTTGACCTCAGCCCATCGGTGCAGCCAAGAAGTTGTGTTCAAAGAGCACTTCATTGGGAAATGTAAAGGTTTTGAGTTCAGACTTCTATGTTGTGAAACTGTAAGAAAACTGAGTAATCTAATTAACTCCCCAAGCTAGAAAAATTGTTTGCTTTGAAGAGCATACTCTGAACTAGTACTGTCAACATCAAAAGCCATTGCAAGGAATATTTGAGTTCTTCATTTTCTACTCTTGCTGACTATCACACCTGAATAACCAAGTCAGAATTTTTCAGGTTTTACTGCCTGATGTTTAAAAATTAGACAGTATTTAAAATAAAAGTCTGAAAGGCCTTTCTTTATAAAGGAAAGGTGTTAAATTTTGTTGTTGTTAATTAACTGTTGCTATTGCTATGTGGTTTCACTGTTTGTCTCCAAATCTTTGTTTGTTTGTGTTTGTTTTTTTTTTACAGGTTGCAAACAAAATGGCACTAAACTTGGAGATGTAATACTTCCCCCATGGGCAAAAGGAGACCCTCGTGAATTTATCAGAGTTCATCGGGAGGTAATTTGAGTTTTAATAATGGAAGTAGAAAATGTCGTTTGTGACATTACACTGTGAATGAAGCCTGGCTTGATTCGTGCCGTCACAGCTACCAGCCAGTCCATGTGTTCTGGGTTGATGGCTGTTTGTTACAAATGGCTGCAGAGCTGGTGTTTACTCCATTTCATTTTTGGCTAGAGAGTAAGCTGAGACAACAGGTGCTTCAGATTTAACAAAAAAAAATAATAGAGAATATATCAATGTATTCTGCTTCTTTCTTTATGGCAGGTGTAGTATACTTGACCAATGACTGACATGGCTAGTTTTAATGTATGCACTTTGAATTTCAGGCTCTGGAATGCGACTTTGTGAGTGCACATCTGCATGAGTGGATTGACTTGATCTTTGGCTATAAACAGCAAGGTCCTGCAGCAGTTGAAGCTGTAAATGTCTTTCATCATCTCTTCTATGAGGGGCAAGTGGACATATACAACATCAATGATCCATTAAAAGAGACAGCTACTATAGGATTCATTAATAACTTCGGACAGATACCAAAGCAGGTACACCATTTGCAGAATTTCTATTTGCAAGATGATGCTTGAGTTGAAATACATTTAAGAGAAAAGGAGGAGCAAAACTTCCTGGAAGTGTATGTCCATAAATGTTCTTCCAGGGACGCTGAATCATTTGCATCTCCAAAACAGATACAATTAAGATAAATTTTGAGCTTTGCTCATGAGATGGAAATGTCTTTTTTCCATTTTGCACTCTCAAAATAAAGGTGAAATGAATTATGGTTTGATTAAAAAAAAAAAAAGGGCATGGGAAAAATGAGTACGTTGCTGCTGTGAAGCACACCGCTTAATGTCAAGGGGAACAATGAAAACAACATTTTAAGGTAAAGTCTGGTATTTAGGTATATCAACGTATCCTGTAATAAAATAATTTCTATATGTACATTTTTTAAAGCAGCTGTAGGAGGTACTGGGTTTGACCACATCTTTTATTGAGAGAATTTGTTGAAAAAGCACTCAGTATTTCTTTTACAAGGATTGACACTTAAAGGTCCTGTACTACTCATGCATAGGTTTATCTTTTATGTGCAGTTTTAAAGTTTTTGAGTACTCTTTAAGTGAGATTACACTAAATTAATATACTTAATGAAGTGGTACTTTGAATTCTTGTTTTTTTGGGGAGGATTTTTTTCCCTTGAATTAGATGTTGCTGTAGGATTTTCTGTTTATTTGTCTTTTATTGAATGATAAAAGTTAAATTTTTTTCATGTCATGAGTTAATTTTTCCAATCCTTGATCTGCTGGAAACTACAGATACATTCAACAATTCACTGGGAACACAAATGCAGGTTTGGAGCTCTAGGCTGTAGCAGAAGCACATGATTTCACAGGAGCCACAAGATACACCAGAACAGGCAATGTGGCAAAAATAAACAGCACAGTAGTGATAAGAGTGACAAGAGGGCAAATGTTAGGGTGTTAAATGAGAACCTGATTTTGACCAGTTCACTTGAAATTATTGGAGGAAACCTGCAACAGAATTTGACATCATCTTATGAATCACTTTTGGCATCCTTGCTTGCTTTACGTCATCTGCTTTTGCAGCTGGAGGTAGCTTTAAAAATAATTTGCTCATTATATCCTAGTTGTTTTTTGTATTATTTGGTGAAGTCTCATCAAAATGTTTACTATAATTTATTAATAAACACTGAATAGTGGTGAGTCCATGAACACTGAGGGCAGTTAAGTAGAATTTACTGATCTGTAGAATTTTGATAAGGTGAATGGGACACTACTGATCTTTTTAAGACCTCTTGCAAACCTGTAATTTGTGATCATAAGTAATTTTTTTGATGAATTTCAGCTTTTTAAAAAACCACACCCTCCAAAGCGTGTTAGAAGCCGACTGAATGGAGAGGTTGTAGGAACCTCTGTACCCCCTGGTTCCACAAGTGACAAGATTTTTTTCCATCATTTAGACAACCTACGACCATCTCTTGCACCAGTGAAAGGTAAAACAAACCACAACACTTATTTCTGTTTCTTTCACAGAGCTTTCAGAGTTTCAACGAGAGTGTTTTTCAATATTTTGTTTAGTTTTAACTTTTATTCATAATGCTTGTAAATTTGAGAGAAAGAAATTTAAAATACCCCAATGGTCTAAGGTTATTATTACTTAGCTTAAAGTATATTTGGAAAGTGCCAAATCTGTGCCAGTTGGCAGTAACTTCTTAAAAGACACGGATAAAATGGGGCCTAAGCACCTTTTTCAAGTTTTAATGTGGAAAAAAGTGTTTGAAGCAAATTGCAAAGGTGTCTGAAGGATATTCAGTGTACTTTGTTTCTGGGCCAGCAGAGGCTTCGCTGTTTATTTGCTATAGCAGAAGGATTGTTTTTCTCAGTGCCAACAAATACTGAGAATGTTGGCAGGAATGGTTGGTTGCTGCTGTGAGACCAAAAAAGTGGGTTTTGACCTCATACTTGATATTGCAGTGAACAAAAGTTAATTGTCCATGAGGTAGGTAAATCCTATGCAGTGTTTTATGTCATAGATGTTTAAATGAATGTGTGTATTGTGTAAAAAGAAAAGGATGTACCATTACACAGAACATAGCAGGGCTATACTTGAGGACAGGAAACAGGAAGCCTGTATTTGCAAAATTAGATAAATAAATAGGTAAGTAATTAGGAATGTAGACTGTGGGATATTTGTCCAAGATCATGGAATCATCTAGGCTGGAAAAGACCTCTAAGACCATCTAGTACAACCTCTAACCTAGCATTGTCAAGTCGCCCACTAAACCATATTACTAAGTTCTACATCTACACGTCTCTCAATGACCTCCCAGAATGGTGACTCAACCACTTCCCTGGGCAGCCTTTTCTAGTACCACACAACCATTTTAGTAAGGAAATATCTCCTAATATCCGATGTAAACCACCCCTGGTGCAACCTGAGGCTATTTCCCCCTATCTTATCCCTTGGAGGTTGGGAGGAGAGCCCAATCCCCATCTCACTATGGCATCCTTTAAGGTAATAGTAAAGTACCATAAGGTCTTTCTTGAGCCTTCCTTTATCCAAGCTAATCAACCCCAGCTCCCTCAGCCGCTCCTCATAAGGCTTACTTTCTAGACCCTTCACCATCTTCGTTACCCTTCTTGGGACACACTCCAGCACCTCAATGTCTTTTTGTAGCGAGGGGCCCAAAATGATGTTGGCATCAATACCAAAAAAAAAAAAAAAGTAATATTTTAATTGTGCTGAAAATGGTGCAATCATTTCTAATGAGAAATGTCAAAGAGGTAATGTCTGTGCGATGTTAAGCTTGAAGGACGCTTCATGCAGCATTGCAGGTGGGACCAGAGCAATTGTATAATCTCTGGCTTTTGTAGAGCATCAGGTATTTAATGGGATCAGATAGTTCCTGTCTTCGCATTCAGTAAAAGATAACTCTTCTTTTCTAGAGCTCAAGGAGCCTGTGGGACAGATCGTGTGTACTGATAAAGGCATTCTGGCAGTAGAACAAAATAAGGTTCTCATCCCACCTACTTGGAATAAAACTTTTGCTTGGGGCTATGCAGACCTCAGCTGTAGACTGGGTACCTACGAGTCAGACAAGGTTTGTCATCTGAAATTGGTTTTAGCGCTGAAAGCAATCAACTATTCAATAGTGAAAGAAATCCAGGAATGGAAACTTAGTTTGCATGTCAATGAAATAATATTTGCTTGTACTGTGTATGTTTTATTGCCCCCATCTGGTTGTCTTCATGAGAACATGAGCAGAATGACATAAGCTAATTCATAATAATTTTTAACAAGCCTGAAAAACAAACAAACAAAAAATCAAATTAAAGAATGCCAGTAAAATTCACCAATTCATCTCTTATGTTCTCTCAGGAGCCATTTTATAGCTGAAGCTGGAATTACTTCTGTTTGTGGGAAACGTAAAAGAGGCAGCAATGATATCTTAGTTACTTAATGGTCCAGCATTCATTGGGTGGCACTCGGGCTTTTATTTTTTCCTACCAAGTTCCAATTCTGCAAGTAATTCTTTGTTTTCTTTACTTCCAGGCAGTAATTGTTTATGAATGTTTGTCAGAATGGGGTCAGATACTGTGTGCCATTTGTCCCAACCCCAAACTAGTTATCACTGGGGGAACAAGCACAGCTGTGTGTGTGTGGGAAATGGGCATCTCCAAAGAAAAAGCTAAAGCCCTCACACTAAAACAGGTAAAGTACAATGAAGTTGCGTATTAGGCAAACTATGTTCCAAGATCCAAGGAAGTATGAAAGGAGTATTGTGTGCTCAGTAAGCTTTGGAACAGTGAATCAAGTAGACGTTTGGAAATCTAAGTAGTCACGGTACTGATCTACATTGAAAATTGGCAAACTGTGTCTTTAGAATTGCATTGGTTTGAGGATAGTTGACCACTATGAGCTTTTTGGAGATGCAGGGAATTAGGTAGTAATGTTAACAACAGTATAAAGATGTATTTTGTGTGTAATAATCTGTGTTATTGTAGTGCTGCCCCCATCTGAAAACTGTCAGGGATGGCAGTGAAGGAGACTGTCTCAACTGTTCATTTTCCTTTTTCTAAGTACTTCTGTCTTTTCTTTTGGAGTTGTTATGTTTAAATTAAATTTTTGATCAAAACTTTGCGCTTTCTGACAGTAATATGGTATTTGTTGAGCATAGTATACTTGTTCAGGATAACTTTATATTGTTGTTTCTTTGTTAATTCAAGACATTATCTTTTTATACAACAAACAAGTACCTGTGGTTTTGTCAGTTGCAGTTAAGTACAGAGGAAGTCTTGTGTGTCTATTAAAAAAAAACAAAAAAACAACACAACATAAAACAAAAAACATCACCAACCCACCACCACCAAAAAAATAAATAAATCTCAAAGTATTCTAGAAGGTGTGTGTCATTGTTCTAGGTAGTCAGATTATAAGTGCTATTGTTCCTGGTAGCATCTTAAAAATAGGATTTTCTTTTTCCTAGTGGAAAGCTTCAGCTCAAACTAATCAGAAGAAATTTAGAGAATTTTTAACGATCTTCCCAACAATAGTCTACAACAATAGCTGTCCAAAGCTGTGTTTCCAAACCTTTTTGCTTATGCAAGATAAAACACCATAACCTGAGTTTCAGGGTAGTGTAATTAAGTTGCTTTGCTTTCATCTTCTTGCAGCAGTGGGGTCAGAGTAAATGCAAGACTGGTCGCTGCAGCTTATCTGATGACTTGTAACTTGATAAATGCGAAAAATCCAACTGTATTCCAGACTCCTGTTTCAATGGTTAGTTGAGGCCTAAAATCTAAAAGATGAGTCTTCTCAAAGCAGCTGCTTGTAACTTTCTCCTTGCAATTAACCTTGACTTTTTGATTATAATTTTGGCTTCTCTTCCTTCATCTTCTCTCAAACATCAACAGATGTTTAAATAGGAGCCATTTGATATTTACAGTGAAATCCTGTTTTCAGAAAATGACTCCTATTAATTTCAGTTATGGAAGTAGTCGCAACTAAATACTTCCAGTCTCAGTCCAGTTGGATCTTCTGATAGGTTATTGATGTTTACTTTACCTGAATCTCTTCAAGTGTAATGTAGTCATTTTTGTGCTCTCTCCTGATTGCACTACGTTCCTCCTTGGTTCTGTTTTGCAGGCATTACTGGGTCATACTGACACTGTCACATGCTTAACAGCATCGCTAGCTTATCACATAATTGTGAGTGGATCACGGGATCGCACCTGCATCATTTGGGATTTGAATAAACTCTCATTTCTAACGCAGCTTCGAGGTCACAGGGCTCCAGTTTCAGCACTCTGTATAAATGAATTAACGGTAAGATACAAGCACCATTCACCCAAGTGTGGTGGGAGCAGTAGGCAAGAGTCAGAAATTATTAACATGAAGAAAAGCAGACTAGGCTACTCCATTAATATGGGGAAAATTGATAACTCACGTTAAAATGAATGACCTGGTTTAGGGAATAATCTGCATCTTTTGTCCAGAGGAGCACATGGGTTTGTTCCATGCAGAGCGACTAAAGCTTGGCAGAGCTTGTTAACAGTGCTGGCAGCAGTGTAACTAATGCAGTGTTCAGAGTGGTTTGTCAAACCTGTCATGGGAGCAAGGAGACTATTATATGTGACCTTGGGTGATTTCTGCTCTCTTAGGCTTAATTTAAAGGAAGCAGAAGGTGCATTAGATGAAGCTGTGGTGACAATTATAGCAGAAACAGACATATCCTAAGAGCTTCCTCTCTCTGAAACTCTATAAGTTGCATTTTGCCATTTATCCAGTGCCCATGAGCATCAAAACATTTGCCTGAGATGAAACCTTTCTTAGTTGGTCCATCTGATCTGGATGGACCATGCTTCATCTGGAGCAGTCTAATGGATGAAATCTAGATAAAATGGTGCTGAAATGCCAAGAGGGGGGTAGCAAGAGGTACAGTTTATTAGCTGCTCATCATTGCTGTAGTGTTGCCAGTATAGTAAACCACAGCTACCATATTCCTTTTGCACTAGTTGAAGTTGGGCCTTCTTTTGCTCTTCTTCCAATAGAGAAACAAATTAAATTAAAGGCAGTATGTATCAGTGAAAAAGAGTGAAGGCACCATGAGCTAGGTCATTTAATTGGGAATGGCAAGTACTTAAAATATACTGTTGGCTACTTCTGCTATGAAAAGTGGAGGAATTGGTCTGTTCATTATATGCTGTAAATACAATGGCCTTGGTTGTAACTAGGTCTGCTTTTGTACAAACAGTTTTTAAAAATGCATATTGTTCTCAAGGTTTTTTTAGGTGGTCAAACTCAGGAACTACTGAAAAGTTCCTGGTGAGATGTTTTAATAAATAAATTCAGCTTATATTTTTGCTAATTAAAACCCAAGACTTGTATTGAAACATGAAGATGTTACTGGTCTTTTTAGGGGGATATCGTATCATGTGCTGGCACTTATATCCATGTATGGAGTATTAACGGCAGCCCTACCGCAAGCGTGAACACTTTCACTGGTCGAAGCCAGCAAATCATGTGTTGCTTTGTGTCAGAGATGAATGAGTGGGATACCCAGAATGTCATAGTGACGGGACATTCAGATGGAGTTGTCAGGGTAGGTACCAGGAATCACTGTTTGGAAAAATAAATTTATGCCTTTGTAATAGTAAATAGGTAAGTCATGTCTATCCAAGACAGGGTCTTGGCTAGTATCAAAAGCAGTCCTCCTATACTGGTATGCTCCACCTGTACAGTTCATGCACATGCGTAGATGTCTTCCTATATCCCCTTGAAAACAGGACTTAAAATGGTGATGTGACCTGCCTGTTGTGCTACCAGTGTTTGATTCTCATAACTCCTCTTAACTCTAGAAGTAGCTAGGAAGAACTCTTAAGAGTTCGGTATGTGTCAGTTGCCTTATCCTCTGTCCCTCCAGTTCTGGCGGATGGAGTTTTTGCAAGTACCAGAAACACCAGCTCCAGAGCCCGCGGAGGTGCTGGAAATGCAAGAGGATTGTCAGGAAGCACAAATAGGTACGTCTCCTACCCACAGTTTGGTATTTCCTTCTTAACTGATCACTTCTATATGTAGGTAAAATCCTATGTAGTGCAGAACAGATGATAGATGTTCTTCTCTCAGTGGAGAATATAAGTCCTTTAGGCATAACAGACAATCTGAGTTTTCATTTACCACCTTTCTTATGGTAGTTTCATATTGTAATGAGTAAGGAAAATCATGGCCATCATGCCCTTTATTTTGGGGGGGGGGGAAGTGGGGGGTAAGGTCCTTTCTTGGATTATTTCTCTGTCAGCGAACCCAGCGGATGTATGTTGCCATCGTCTCAAAGCTATACATTTCTTTATCTTGAAATAAAACGATAGCACAACAGCAGAGTTAAGAACAACACAATGTTCTATCAGTAGATTAGACAAATAATGCTGGCTTCTGTGAGCTTAAGAACTTGATCTGTGCTTTATGGACATTGGTTTAACTCATCTTTCTCTTTTCGTCTTCATGTTGAAGATATGATCTGGATGTGGTTCCTATGATACTCATTAGTAATTGTTATATAAATAAAGCTCAGATGTTCAGTGTCACTGGGAATATCAGCATCTGGGACAGTTGCATTTTTACAAGCAAAGCTTGTTGTTAACATGCCTGCATGATGGTTTTCAGTCAACCCGAGTCTCTCTATTGATGTATACTTGTGTAAAGTTTCCTTAGTAGCAGGAGGACCTTTTTTCCTAACTTAAGTAGTTTTGAAAGCTTTGCTCGTTGTTTCTTTCATAGCGTACCGCAGAAGAACTATTGTAGGAACTACCTACAGCTAAGGAATGCTGTATTCTGACAGACCAGTGCAAAAAAATGATGAACAGCATAGTGGTTCCTGCTGGTATTTACAGTGGTGGGAGACTGATCTCTTGCAAAGGCTATGAGATTTCAGCATGTGGTTTCCCTCTGGTCGTGCTGTAGTGGCACCTGTTGGGTTGTCTGTAGTGGAGCAGCAGAACAGGATAAAAGCTCACTTTATAAGCAGTTCTGCTAACAACATCGTCTCTCCTGTTGCATGAATCCAGGGCAGGAAGCCCACGAAGAGGACAGCAGCGACTCTGACGCAGATGATCCGTGCATCGACCAGGATGTGAAAGCTCAGGAGAGCCAGAGTCAACCAGGCAGCACCAGCCACAGACCTAGGTCATCATCAAATAGAGTGGCAGCAGCATGGTCAGCAGACAGTGGCTCTGACGACTCCAGGCGTTGGTCAGACCAGCTCAGCTTGGATGAGAAAGATGGCTTTATCTTTGTGAATTATTCTGAGGGACAAGGAAAAATGCATCCCCATGCTCAGGTTAACCACCCGCACCCCAGCTATGCTGAAGCACGGCACTATAGCAAGCTTAAACCAGGTAAAACAAATTGGGCATGCTTCCTTGGTCAGAAAAATATGCTGTCAGCATTGACCTAAAAGGCAGTGTCTCTGCAGCTTTGAGCAGTGTTGGCTGATAAATTACAAAAGGATCAATGAAGAGAAAAGTGTATTTACTGAGGTTGCATTTTGTTTGATTTTTTTTTCCCCTGCAAAACTTTGGTGGATTTGCCCTAGCTGGCAGCTAAGCTGCTCACTCACCATCCCTGCAGCAGGATGTGGGGACAGAATAGTAAGAGCAAAAGCAAAGAAATTCATGGGTCAAGCTACGGATAGTACAATAAGTAAAGTAAAGAGGAAGAAAAAACAAAACAAGTGGTACAAAGGCACTTGCCAACTCCCACAAGAAGACTGATGCCTGACCAGTCCCAGAGCAAATGGCTGCTTTACTAAAAAGTGCCCTCCGCTCAGTTCTATGGCTGAGCATGGTGTTACCTGACATGCGGTATCCCTTTGGTCCATTGGGGTCAGCTGCTGAGTGTTTGTTCCCTCCCAGCTTCTTGCATACCCCCAGACTATTGGTGGGAGTACACTATATGGTGGGAGGAGGAAGAATGGGGAAAAAAGAGAAAACCTTAGCACTGTGCAAGTACTGCTCAGCAGTAACCAAAACACTGGTGTTTCTTCAATGCTATTTTAATCACATAACCAAAGCACAGCACGATATGGGCTGTTATGAAAAAAAATGAACCACAGTCAGAAATATTAATCTGGGCTATTGCAGGGAAAACACTCTCAGTCCTGTCAGGCTTTGTGTCTGGGTTTCACTGTATATGTCACCTTCTTTGCAACTACCAGCTGGACCTGGGGAAATGCGAGGCTGTTGGCTTTATATTGTGTTCTCTACTTTTGTGCATGCATCAAGGAGCAGCCGTTTTCCCTGAGTGAAACTTGAGTCTCAGAGAGTTGTCAGTCTCTGGAGAGAGAAAGATTATTCCTTTCTCCAAAGTCACATGTCTGGTTATGTTGGGGAGGAAGGGGGTAACAAAAACGAGAATAAGCAAATTTGTTTTTTTTCACCTTCTACTTCCTGCTCACTTCTAGGATACAGATGGGAGCGTCAGCTAGTGTTTAGGAGCAAACTAACTATGCACACAGCATTTGATCGCAAAGACAATGCACATCCAGCAGAAATCACCGCACTTGGCATCTCTAAGTGAGTATCTCTCAAAAGATTACCTGACGCTTTTTTGGGCATTGTTGGGAGATGTAGTATGAAGCAGACAGCATTCTTGGCATAATGCTGTTCTATGGTTCTTTAGGTTAGAGCAGTAGGTGATATCTTGGTCATAAAATGTCATTTAATATTCTGACATCTAAAATCAACTGTTTATGTCTGTGAGCTCTAGTTGTTAAGGGAATGCTTTTCTTTTTTCTTGCAGGGATCACAGCAGAATTCTTATTGGTGATGGTCGCGGCAGAGTGTTCAGCTGGTCTGTGAGCGATCAGCCAGGCCGATCTGCAGCTGATCACTGGGTGAAGGACGAGGGGGGAGACAGCTGTTCCGGCTGCGCTGTCCGGTTTTCACTCACTGAGAGGCGTCACCACTGCAGGAACTGTGGACAGCTCTTCTGCCAAAAGTAAGTCAGCCAGAAGTCTCTTGCAGACTCTTTTTCATATAGAATTTTAGACTGGTTAAAGTTGTTGCATACCACCAAATTCTGCTAACAGACTGACATTTCCCTTACCAAAACAGAACTGATGAATAAAAACCATCAGTGCTTTGAAATTTCCAGGCAGGAGATGGTAAAGGCAGATAAGCCCCTTTATAAAAAAAAAAAAAACAGTTAAGATTTCAGCTGACAATAAGTGTCAACTGAGAATGAAATCTAGTACCAGTTTTGAAAGTTCCCTTTCGCCCATCTAGGGAGACAAAGTCTTGAACTCTAGCCATAGTATCTTAGCAAAGGAAAAAAAAAAAAAAAAGCTTTTTCAGCAAATAGCTCATCTTGTCAGTCTAGAAGCAACACAGTCAAAATGCAAACAGTGCACAGGACTGTAAGGATGCTGATTTCAGTAACATGCAGTCTCAGACAGCAAAGCATGTAACACAGGATATGCTCCTAGCCAGGAGCAAAGGTGGAAGTCTCTTTTCTTGTCCAGGGGGTTGGAGACAGTACTTTCATCTATGCAGCCGTACTTAGAGTCTAAAATAGTAAGGATGATTCTTTGGAAGCTACCTCACGTGCAGAGTCGTATTATTGATGCTGTGGTGACCGTACAAGTTAAATCCTGCTTCTGCCAGGCTGCGTTCTATTTCTACATCAGAATTTGTTTGGATGGTGTTCTGGTATTTGAAGTCATGATAATTTTTTTTTCAACTGGGAAAAAAAATGGTCTGTCTGGGAGAGGACCAGAGATAACAGCAGTGTTTTCCTCTACAGGTGCAGTCGGTTTCAGTCTGAAATCAAGCGTCTGAAGATTTCATCGCCAGTCAGAGTCTGCCAGAACTGTTTCTACAACTTGCAGCATGAGCGGGGTTTGGAGGAGGGGCCCAGGAATTGATAGGGTATTGGCAAACGAAGAGCCCATCCAGCCCCAAAGTCACTACAAGAGCTCATGAGAGTACTGTGCTGTGATCAGAAGGGATTAGAATATTGTCTGTTTACACTTAAGATTATACTGCTTTTTAAGCACTGAAAGTATAAGGGATCACTGAATTGATTTGTGTTGATGGAAGGTGAATGATGAGGTTAACAGCATATTTAAGTGAGAGCAAGGCCCAGTAAGACATAGTTGATAACATCAAATACAATAGAATTGTCAACCTCTAACTCTGTTGACATGGTATAAAGAAAATCCTCACTTATCCTAAACGTCAGTTCTTGTCTTGTTTTTGTAGAGCTAGTTATCTTTACCGGGGCAAGAGGGGAGGGGAAGGCTTTTTAGAAGATAGTTGTAAATCTGCCTTCTTCGCAAGCAACTGTGTAGTTAGATACACAGTTATATTATATGTAAATAGATATAATGGCCTTTTTATCTAAATATGAACTTAACTGCCTGTTACACGGGATTTCAGATTAACCGCTATACTTTGTGTGGCATCTTTATCTCATCTATCAACTTAAATATGAATGTTTAAATAACAACAACAAAAAAAGAAAACTCAAAGGCATTATGTGTATTTCAGTTAAAAATCCAGTCTGTGCATGTTTGTTCTTTCTGTTGCCCACAATATCTTTATTTAAAAAAAAAAGGCTATTCATGGGATTACATGTTTTTCTTTTCAAAAGAAAAAAAAATTTTGAAAATAGTACTTGGAATATTTTATTCTAGCTGTAAGATAACCAGGAACTAAAATTGTACACTTCGGTTGCATTTTATACCAAACTGTTTACGACTTCGTGTTGTTCATATTTAACAAGGCCTCTTTTATACATATGTCAGAGCTAAAGTTTTGTTAATGACTTAATGTTCATTAGCAGCTGATTCATGCAGTGCAAGAACCAGCTTTTACCTTATTTAAATGAATAGCAATTGGCTTGCATACAGGTACAGAATTAATTTCTTGTGCATAGAATTTAACCTCCTGTCCCGTATCTTATTTGCAAAAAAATGTTTGGAACAACATAGTTGTTGCTCTGAAACAGGTTAGTGCTGGTCCTGGCAGAAATGCTTCTCAGAGCTATCTTCACATGTCAGCAAATGGCATGAACTCGAGGACAGCAGTAGATTTCCATTACCATTTTTAAAGTTTTAATATGAATTAAATTGCAGGTTTTGTTTGTTTGTTTTTTACTACTCTCACTTGTTTTGCACTACATGTGGGATAAAGTAGAGACACGGACATCCACTGAGATTGGAACACATGCATCAGATAGGCCCATGGACTACTCTCCAAAGGAGGTCTTGACAGTGTTTTTTTTGTTTGTTTGTTTTGTTTCTTTAATGTATATGTATGTATTTTGTAAATGAGTGATAAACTGATATAGATCTAGGTACGTTGGCAGTGGATTCTTCTAAATAACAGTAAGGATATGACCCAAGCCAACAGAAGACAAGTGGCTCCGCTAGAATGTCATTGAGTGTCTTTGCTCCAGATGGTGAGATTGTTCTTCACTGGAGTGAATTGGGTGGACTCTGGTCCCTGGACTGCAGGTGGTTAATGCTGTTGTTGGAATTGCAGCATGGAAAATACGGGATCCTCTGTGGTAGCATGAGCAACTTCCAGGGGGTTGCCAATGCCAAGGGGGCACACTGTCTTCTCTTGACTGGGGCTTATAGGGGAAAATAATTTGTTAATCCTGACCACTTACTCTTTAACCTGGTATCACATGTTTATGCACTGAAGGTTAAATATGTATTTTGATACAAGTTTGTTTATTATGTATGTGCTGGTCTGTAAAATGAGATAAATTACTGTTTTGGTATGTATACTAGGTCCCCAAATGAACAGAAAGACTACTCAGCAGTGTGCAAGGGCTCTAGAGTAAAAACAGGTTTGATTAAATGAGCTGACCCAAATAGATCCTTCTGGATCCGGACTGTGATGATGATGAAGTAGCTACGTTGCATGGCTCCCTTGGCAGATCTATTGTTAAAACCAGAGGGGGGAAGTCCTCAAATGTGTGTGGAGTGTTTGAATGTCTGTATCCAGATGTTCTCTCTAACATTGCCTTGACCCTTCACAAAATGATGCAAAACCAGCATAGTTCAGAAGATAGGCTGGTAGCGTACATTTTTTCTGTTGGAAGAAAAGGCTATTTTAACAACTACTAAATGCCTTTGAGTACTCAGAGATTCCCTCTCCCTGCCTCCAGTTTTCAAATCAAAACCAAATTTAAGGAAGAATTAATTTCCACAGACTAGAGCTTTTACAGCCACATTATTAAACCCTAATAAAAACAGGGCTACTGTGACAGTAACTCTGATATACTCTAAACATGGAAAGAAAAATCTGAGAGAGAGTATTAGTGCAGGCTGATGAAGATCATGGGCTGTGGGGTGGTGATACGGTTGATGGTGTTTGACCACATAGGCACGTTGTATGGTTGTTGATCTGGGTGTTTTACTTTTGTCAGCGTGCTAAAATCAAGGTTGTTATGCCTTGCAAAGTCTGTAACATAGAGTTTAGTCCAAATTTGCATTTTGCAAACTGATAACCACGGCTTTCTGACTTATTTCTTTGGTTGAGCTGTTCCAAATACACGTTCTTACAAGTAAGAGGTGTGGAAGGGAAAAAAAAAAAAAAAACACAAAACAAAACACCTGCTGGTATTCCCTCTGGCAACTGGTGCTGTGGGCAACCGCTTTGTTCACTTGGGAGTGGTTTTTCTTTTCAAGGTTCTAATGCAAATACTTTGTTTTCCATGTAAAAATTTGTTGCGCAAAAATATACTCATGTACACTAACATCAGTAGACTGTAATCTCTGCAAGTACCTCACACATCTTCACCTGCCTTGTTCTTTGTAGGATATTTACTCATGTACTCTTAACATTCATATGTAGTGTGCAACTGTAATGTCACGCTTATGAGAGGAGTTGGCTGCCTCCAGCCTACAGTCATCAATTCAATAGCAAAACACTTTAGATAAGTTATTTTGCACTTTCTTATGTATAAAATTAGTAGATACTTATATTTGCTCTGTATCATTTAAAGACTTCTTTTGTTTCAGTAAATGAACTGTGTATAAAATATTTATGCAGTTACAACTGTTTTTAGAAAGTATTTTTAATTTCAGCAAGTTTGGTTACTTGTTGCATGACTATTAACAGAGCTGACTTTTTGTGTCAGTACAATGTATATTTTTTTTGTCCTGTTATTAACTTGTAAGCCCTAGTTAAATGACCATTTATTTGTACAGCATCAGGAGTAAATTGAAGATAACTGGCTAAGACTGGAGTGTGGAATTTTGTACTATATTGTAGAATCCAATATCTGTTTTTTGGTGGTTATGTAAAAGGCCTGACGATTTACTATCTAGTGTGCAATCTGTGATATCTGAATGTTCATTGTATATTTGTCTCCAATGCAAAAAGGTAGAGTAACACAATTACAATACATGATTAAATGCAATAGTTCAGGTACTTAAGTATTTTTTTTCATTTCAAATAAATACCTGCTATTTACCACCAAAAAGCTGTTTTGCATTTGTTGGAAAGAAGCAACATTTGCAGCTGAATAAACATTTTTAAAATGGGAGTGGTAATTGATGAGTACCATGTTTCTTTATCCTCAGAAAGAGTAAATTGCTACCATTTGATACAGTTTTGTTTTCTGAACACCGGTACATTCATCCACAATGATGCAGTGTTGATATTGTGAATGTCTGTATAATTGGTTTTGGTTTATGAGTGTCATTTTAGTTTGTGAAGCCAGCAGAATTTGATAGTGTTTAGAAGAGTAAGCAGTACTGATCCAGAGAAGGCAGACAGTAAAGAATGATTAAAGTCAAACTCCATGATGACGTGGCAAGAGGAGGAAGTATTAAAAACTTAAATCATCTTCCTCACGGAGAGGACAACTGCTAAAGCAGAACTTGACCTTATCTGGTGAGATACAGATAAAGATCCCCAAATATATATGTTTACTAATTCTTCAACCCATTTTTAAACTATTTTCTGACTTGGTAATGCTAAAGAAGGCGGGTTTTCACTGTGGTAGTTACTTACATAGCAATGCTGGCTGCTAACATTTTTTCTCTACTTAAAAACCAGGCTTCGATGAAGTTGGACCTACCGTGTTCCTTGGCTGATTAACACATGCTGCATTCTTGGTATTTATCAGTAAGTGTATTATTTGGCTGTAAAAGTCATTTCTACTGATGATTTTAACTGTCTGTGCTTACTGCATTAAATGTGAACTCATTTCATGAAGGCTTGGTGGTGTGTGTGTGTGGGGGGGGGGGGGGGTCAGAGTGTATTTAAGTGTGCTCTTGGGTACTGGTTCTTTTGGGGTCACTGCCCTCTCTGTGGAGGGTGAGATGCCCTCCTACCCTTAGTTCCAGGATGGTCTGTGTGGCAGAACCTCTCGCTGTATGATATTTAAACCTTTTTTTCTCACTGGCAAAAATGAGTTAGCTCTCTTCATAGATTGGTTAAAACTTGTGCTTAATTTCATTTTGGCTGATGCAAAGAACTTGTGGTTAGTTGCATAAAAAAATTTTAGAGCTTTTCTTCTGTCTTCAAGACGTATGTTCCCATGAACTCAATCTAGTCTCTTATGGGTTCTTTTGGGGATAGTCTCTGTTTTGTTTGTTGCTGGTGGAGATGAATTCTTTTGAAAGCTTTTACTGATGGCTGTGTGATAACTTGATGAAACCCCGCTCATAAAATGAGGCTTTGGGTGCTGAAAGTCTTCATCTTGAACCTGGCTGGCTTGAGTATCTCTGCCTGCTTCTCTCAGTCATGCAGTGGAGTAAGCGGTGGTAGGAGTGAGAGATAACACTGGAGCACAGTCACACAGCTGTCTAATTTGTAGTCTTCTCTGTGTGAATATTGTTATTTGAACTGGCTACGTAATCTGATATCAAAGTAAATTAAATAAGAAGAAAGGCTTGAGAAAGGTTCAGTGCATTATAATAGATAGTTTTTTCTAGCTGTGGGAAAGAAGTGTTGTGTGAAATCTGTTGTAAACTTCTTTTTTGACCTTAAACTGAAACTGGTAAGATGCACCGGACTGAAAAGTTGGTGAAAAAATCAAGCTCCTCTGATCAAAATTCAGTAGCTAGTTCTGCAGTTTGCCTAAAAAAGGGCCCTCGTAACCGTAACTTCAGTGGTAGGGCTGAGCAACATGCAAGGATAAATGAAGGTGAGCTAACACCTGCTTTGGAAGGTGCTTATTAGCGTAAGGAAATGTAGCAGGCCTTCCTCTGTGACCAGGGGGATTAGCATTCCTTTGCACTTGCCTGCAGTCAGCTGGAAGGGGTTAGTCAGAGCCGTGCCCATTCAATTAATAACTGAATTTCTATTTCCCTTGGCACTTCAGCTCATTGTGGTGGACAGGCTGCTAGCGTATGCTGAACAGCCAGCTGGTAGGGGACTGAACCAGGCGGTGTCCTTCCAGTGGGATGCGGATTTGCATTACTGCTGGGATTGAGGCATGATGAGTTGCAGTCCTGCTGATGCTGGGCAGCCTATAAAATCCTCATGAGGACAACCACTAGTCTGATCATCCATCAGCAGATGCCTTTAAGGCTACTTGCGTAGGACATAAACCCAAAGGTAGTTCAAGTGCAGTCTCTTGGTCTTCCTAGAAGTTGTATCAAGCCAGAAGTGGAGTTTGGCTGTTTATTTACAGTGAGCACTTTGTCTTTCACAGAATCTACAGAAAATACACATTTCTTTACTATGTGCTTGTGGGATCTTTTTTTCCTTTTAGCCAAAAAATGACAGAGGCAATGCGGGTGGTCACTGGTGTTTGCTGGGGAGTGCACTGGGCATTATTTCTGGAGGGTTAGGGTCCCAGCCCTGTCTTTGCCTGTGCTGGGTGGCCTCAGACGGTGTGTGGCTTGGGCAAGAGCAGCTCTGATGCTCACACCCACCCACCCACAGACCTTGGGAAGACTTCACCATACGGCTTACCACGCTCCCTAGCTTCTGGTGGGGGCCTCCAGTGGCTTTCATGGAAAGCATGCACGTAGCTATGTGTAACAGGCTTTTTTTTTTTTTCAAGGAAAAAGTGAAAAACGTTTTTCAAAGGGAATCAAGGTTTGCAATGGACAACATCCACTGTCCTAATAGTTGAAAACTTTGCATTTCTCTGATAAAGAGTCAAAGTCCTGTTGAGGCATAGTCTGAAGAGAGGGAAAGCATGTGCAGGTTGTGTTTAATTTCTTCCCTCTCTCAGTTTAGACAGTGATGGTGCTCCCCACCTTGCTGAAGGGTCCCTCTTCTCCGTTTTCAGGTCAGCCTCCCGCTGCCAGGGCTGCACTATCTCCTGCTGGTCCCAGGCTGTGTGTAACGCCACCAAAGGTGGAGTGGGAAAGCAGGGCTTTGAACTACCAGGCTCCTGTTGCATGAAGCTCACAGGAAGTTCAGTCTGCAAATGCTGTGGGCTTTGAATGTATTGTTTTTTTTTTCTCCTTACTGCAGTGAAATTCATCTCAGGTTGCTCTGGTCAGCTTACGGTAAAGAGCAGAGAAAGGTCTGCAAGTGGTAAAAGCAAACTGAGTTTGAGCATGAGCCAGAACACTGGCCAGGTAGCTGTTAGTTCAGCTCGCTTTCTGTCTTCCAGGGCCACCCGGTCCTGTCAAAAAATGGCTGTAGTCAATGTGTTGGTGACCAGGGAGAGGAAGTGAAGGATGCTGATATTGACTGCTACCGTGCACGGAGAAGGGTTTGGCAAAGCCAGCCCCCGTCTGGTTTCAAAGCGAGTGGGAATCATAGAATATCCCAAGTTGTGTTACATATGGAGTAATTCGTGTCGAGAAAATGGTTGATATTAATAAAAAAGGGGGAGATTTGGGAATGTGGCCATGCGGGTTGGAAAGCCCCTTGGTTGAGATAACATTAGACTCTTAACAATGAGGCCATCAGGAATGTGAAGAGTTTAGAGGGAACAAAGAAGGGTGATTCAGGAGACTCCATGCAGTCTCAGGGTTGCTTGTTCTCCAGCCATTAAGGCATGGAAGTTTCTGGGTGTTTGCTGTTGCTGTTATATGCAAAGTTGTTTGACCAATGAAAAGTTGTTTTGAAAAGAACTGCTGTGGAGAGAAGGGTATAAGAAGGGAGCCTGTCCTCAAGACAAAAAAAAAAGGCAACGCGATGTAAGGAAGCTATGTCGTCAATGGGGAGGCAGAAAGAAGGAATGAATAGGGACAGGCTAGCGGAACTGAGACCGGGACGGGAACAGGCACATTGATCGCCTCATGAAGATAGGTTCGGCCAAACTCAGCAAACTGCTCAGAGGAGCTCGTACTGAAAGTTGCTGGAAATGGGCGCACCGAAGCTGGGAAGAAGCTCAAGCTGAGAGAAGCGGAGCCGCACACACAACTGCCCCTTGCTGGTAAGCAGCTGCACATTATGGGGAATAATGTCCTTAGGAACAAAGACTGTCCTGGTAACCTTACGGCTTATTCTCTTTATTAACAGACAGTCTATGATCCTGAAATATGGGACCAAATTGATGTCAAGGTGTAGGACTCTGCAACTAAAACCGACAAGGTTGCAATGGAATTGCTCGGCACCTGGCGAGCAGTCTCTGAGGCCTTAAAGAGCCGTGTGAGGCCACAATCACAAATGTGTGGTTTGCCGGATAGTGAGGGAGCTGTGGGCTCCTTTACTGATCTGACTGCTACGCCATCACCCCCCCCCCCCCCCCCCACCGCTACTGCCATCGCAGGCCTTTGCTGTTATACCCCCTGGTGACCTGGACGTGCCTTTTGACCCAGGCCTCATTGGCCTTGAAAAGGAGATGGATACGCTTTTCTTTGATCCAGGAAGAACAGGATACATAAGGCCTGAAGGCCGAGTTGCTTGACAACTTAAAGCGAGACATATGGCTCAAAAGGAATGGAAAATGGAGACTTTTAAGTCGTGGAACTTAAAGGATTGTTTGTTACCTTTCCTGGTTGTATGTATGTATAGGCATACTCGGGTTTAGTATGTAAAGCAATGTTCTGTATATTTAGAATGTTTGATGTTTGTGTGTGCGTGTTGGTGGAGCGTGGACTCCCCGCACACCCAGCACTGTTTACTTGCCTTTTATACCTTTTATAAGTATAAATATTACAAAATTCAGATTGAGTTGAGACTTCATTTATAACAGTTGGAAGGGACCCATAAGGATCATCAAGTCTAACTCCTGGCACCGCACAGGTCTATCCAAAAAGCTTTAGTCTGGGATTCAGCAATGTAAGTTCACGATGGGATGGAGGAGATGGCTTAAGTTGGATTTTTCATTGTATCAGGCAGGTTTTAGTATAACCAAATACCGCTCTTAGGCTGCAGAAAGAAATGGATGCTACTCCTTTCAGAAAATGTTATTAATTATTGCCCTTACAGCTAGAGTAGTATTAAAAGTGATTGTGACTGTATAGTGCAGAGAGGTGACAAGTAGCTGTTTTGGCAAGAGGGGTACTGTCTGGGTGAGAAGGATAGCTGCTGGGACAGGAATAGATGTGGCAAGTTGTCTTGGAGCCGAGTGATTCTCTTAGAGCCTCATCGTTCATTCCTGGGGGGCGGGGCGGCTGGTGGGGAGAGGGAAGGCACTGAAACCTATTTTGCTTAAATCAGTTCTCTTCTGGGATGCAAAGGCAGAAGGGTGGAAGGAGTCTTATCCATCCAAGCAGCACGTCCATGTGGGGAGCAGTGATGTGTTTCCTGCTGTGTTTGGGGGCTTGAGGGGTACTGGGAGTGGGGGTAGGGGGGCGGGCTGAGAGAGACTGGCTTGTGGCATGGGTCAAGCAGACCTACAAGGCAACATCCTGTGTGGCACAGGGGGCAGCTCTGTGGCTGTGGTGTACAAAAGCCCTGCTAAGGATGCAATAGCAAAGCCACAGCCTTCTGTGAACTCTCCACTGTAAACCTGGGTCCGTGAGAATAGTGTCTTGCAAGATTGAGGGCAGCTCAAATGCTGGTGTTGGAGCCATAAAATCCTCAACAGGCACCCAGCATCCAGCATCCAGTTCTCCAGCACAAGATCACAGTTGGTGAGAGACATGACAGCTCGCTGCAGTCATGCCTGCCTTGGGCTCCATTGCAGCTCTGTGGGGCAGAGAAACCTCCCAGGGGCAGGGATTCAGTTCAAGGGAGAGCTGCAGAGAGGTTAAAGTGCTGCATGACAGGTAACGTCCTCTGGGGGAGCATAGGTTACAAATGCAAATATTGATGTATGTCTGTGCTTGCACACAGAGCGAGGCTCTTGCGCAACAGCAGTGAGGAAACCATGTGTCATCAGCCACGACCCCTTGTGCAGGTGGGCTATGGAGGGTACGTTGATGCAGGCTGCCCTCTGCTCCTGTGAAAAGCTTCCAGCCCTTCCCAGTGGCCCAGCTTCTCTGAATGTGCCATGCCAGAGCAAGCACTGCTTTTTTGCTCTCCCACTACTCCCACTACTATCTTGGTGAGGTTGGGCAGGGAACTGCCATGGTGCTGCTGGAACACAGCCACCTCCTTCCTCTCCAGATGGTGTAAATTAACCAGCAGGTCACAGGGACACTCATTATGGGACAAATGCTCTGATTACAGACTGACCTGGCAGCCATTTCGCAACTACTTCAAAAGGGCAGGTATGAGGAAAGGGCAAAACTGTCCACCAGGTTTCTCAACACCGTGTCTGAGCTCCAAAAATTTACTTACTTGGAGCAGTGATTACAAGACCCTTACTACTGTTGTATATGGAGTGGTAATTCGTGTTGAGAAAATGGTTGATATTAATAAAAAAGGGGGAGATTTGGGAATGTGGCCATGGGGGTTGGAAAGCCCCGCGGTTGAGATAACATTAGACTCTTAACAATGAGGCCATCAGGAATGTGAAGAGTTTAGGGGGAACAAAGAAGGGTGATTCAGGAGACTCCATGCAGTCTGGGGTTGCTTGTTCTCCAGCCATTAAGGCATGGAAGTTTCTGGGTGTTTGCTGTTGCTGTTATATGCAGAGTTGTTTGACCAATGAAAAGTTGTTTGAAAAGGACTGGCCCTGACAAAATAAAGCCGGCAGAGGATGCTGACAGCACAGAGATGTTTTGCACAGCCTTTGCACGGGCTGTTGCTGGCTGAATGCCTTTGTAGGCATAGCTTTGCTTATCTAAAGCTTTTTATGGCAGAGGTTAAGGCTTGGGGTTATCATGACAGTCACAACAGAGCTTGAAAACAAAACAAATAGTTGGCAGTGTGTAGTGGGGAAAAGAATATTACATTTGTGGTGATACAACTCTGGAAGCAAATTCTTTATTTAAAGATCTTTTTCAAGCATTCCAGTACATCCTTTCTGTCGCACTGTACATTTGAGTATATGAGTTACAAATTTGAAGACAGATGTTGTTTAAAAAAAAAATCAAATAATGAGGGAGGTGGGGGAAGGGAAATTAATATTTCAATAAAATGAAGTAGATTAATCATGGACAATGATTACACCAAACATAAACATCAAACCTCAGGAATTACAGACAGTCCTAAGGCAAACTGTGAAATGAACATTCTACTTGTCTGTAGAAAGTTATGACACACGCCACTGCCCAAGCATTTGATGTGCTGGGTAAAGGGGGAACTCCAGTGAGTATTTGTGCATTGAGAACAGCAGCTTCAGAACCAAGCTGGGGAGTTGCTACCATGTATGTTCATCTGGTTCGGTACGTGATCAATGGACCTGTAAGTGCATAAGTGATCTTCCTTAACAGAAATGACTATTATACCAGTTTAACTACTGTTTCGTGCTACTGCCTTAGCTAGAAACCCTGATGCCTTTGACAACAGCACATATGCCTGCTGAGACAGAAAAGGTCATCTGATACCCCAATTCATGTAGAATCCTGTGGTGATTCTCAGATCCTCAGCATTTTCATTTCCCCAAATACATAAAAGGCAGTAATGTCTAAATTCTCTCTCATCCCCACTCTCAACCACAAACAGTGCTACATGGTTATTCACCAACCCTGAACTTTTCAAACAAAACAGGACTAGTTGTTAAGAGGGCAGTGCATTAAATAAGCTGTTACAGCTCACCCTCATTTCTATTTCTTGCACTACCATCACCTTCCAGACAGACCTGCTTTCCTCTATCATGGCTGCAAATGAGGTTCTACTGTAGAGAGTTCCCTCTATGAAGCATGAAATCCCACTTTCTGGGTGGTAGAGAGACCAGGCTGCAACTCCAGTTGCAGTCTGAACAGCTCTCCTAGTAAATCCTCCATCAACAGGCTTCCTGTGCCTTCCAAGTCTTCACAATAAAAACAAGTAACAAGCTGGACAACATTTTTTGCTTTTCCATACCTGCAGACCACCCTCCTGCAGTACCTGTATGTTAGAGAAGTAGCACTGTTCCAGGAGGAGTGTTCAGGCAAGAAAATAATGCTTACTAGATAGATCTCACAGAGTTCAGAATCCAGCTCAAAAAAGGCAGGAAAAAATAAAATAAAATAAACTTGCTGTGGTTTGTTCAGTAGGTAACCTTTAATGTTCAGTTGAGCTTACAATTTAAGAAAAAAAAATAATTCTTTTAATTGATACAACAGTTGAAAGAGAGCTAGAGAGCAAATTGAGATTCTGTTGAATTTCATTCATAATTTAAGATACAAGTAGATCCTGCAATAATAAACCCCTTTGATAGGCAACTATTGTTGTAGACAGTAGATAATTAGCTTTTTGTTGTAGACAATTAGCTTTTATTCCCTCAGGTTAAAAGAAACCCTCTACTAGGCAAGATAATTTTGCATGTTCTTGTGGCTTCAATCTGATCATTTGTAGAGCTGCTGTAAGTAGCAGGAGGCCTGCTGACTAGGGAGGAAAAAAAAAATACAAGCACACCTTCATTAGAGCAGATCAGTACGTATTTCTGGTGGGGGGACCAGGTGCTGAGAGGTTCTTTTGCTGGGTATTATCCAGGGTGCTGCTAATTTGATCCCCTGGTACCACGACAACAAGACAGTTGTGTTTACCGTGACATAACTTGATTCTTCCAACTTTCATAGTCCATGCAAAAGATTTTCAGTGCCATACACTGAGTCCCACTGAAGGCGTTGGCGAAGCCCACTGTTTATGTGCTATTGGTGCCCAAATAGCCCCAAAACTAAAATGGAAATGCTGAGACTATTTGAATGACTCTTCAGTAAGAAGTGTCAAATGACTGAAGAACCCATCACTGAGGACACTGCAGGTTTTGCCTGATTTCCTTGAAAAAAACAAAGTTTGGCACAGTTGCCATTTAAATCCCAAGGGAGTTTACTGTCATGGTTGCAGGAAAAGGCAAGGATGTTGTTGAGGAGAAAGATCCTGGTAGGGGCGTGTCTGTACAAAATGATGATTCTGACTGGCACTTAAGAGTCTGGCAGTGCAAAAAATGAAGTCAGAAATCCCCACAAACCAGTGTGAAGGTGCCTCTGTGCTTAATGGAGAGAGGACTGGGCAGAATACTGTGCCACTTGGCAAGGAGTTTTGTCTTAATTGGTAGTTTTTTTACTTTAGAATGAGACGCAGAAAACTAGAGGGAACAGGCAGGGAATAACCTGTGCATAAGAAATGCATCTTTGTAGTCTTTTGTCAGTTGCTCATTAACTTTTGCGTAGAGCAAAACAACTAGTATCTGTTAGATACATGTGCTAATTGATTTGTGAAATTCACTGGTAGCTATACAAAGTGCCTGTTGTTTTTCACCTACTGGTAATCTTTCAACTTCAATGTGTTTTAGTGGTTCAACAGGCAGGTTGCACTGCATGCTAAAATCTTTATTCCCATCCACTTTCAGTCACTACGTTTCAGTGTCGGGAGATGCCCCTTTGCAGCAGGATATAACTCTGAAATTAGCTCTGCTTTGAGCAGGAGGCTGCACTAGATAACACTGAACATTCCTTTGTAGCCAAAGTTTTCCTGTGATAGTATAAAGGCAGTAATATCTAATCACCTCGTATTTTGGAAAGCTTTGTCTTATCCCTTCCTTTCTATAATACAGAAGCAGTTATGGATGGATCTTTCCTCTGAGATGACAACCAGTCTGTTAGAGGAAATAAAAGTGCACAACAACTTCGTTATCTATGAAATTTTCTAACAGATAGGGAAAAAACAAAAAATGCCCCCAAATCTCCAGTTAGTATAAAAATGATTTCATTTTACATATAGGTCAATGCTTGGAAGTTATTTTAACTGCCAGGATATTCCTCAGAGCACCTGCTCTTTATTTGCAGTGTTACTCATTACCAGCCTGCATTTCATACTACGCATTCAGCTTGGCAAGTATCCAGTACTGCTCAAAAAAACAAACATGTACTTGTCACAAACACCCCCGGCGCCCTTGACATCTTCTGTCTGGATACTGGCGTTTGCCATCGAATGTGTTGATGGGGCTTGTCCAAATCCCTATGCTGCTGCTCATGCCTGTCTGACACTTGACACCAAAACTGCCCCCACAGCAACTCCCTCTGCAGAACAGACTCTAACCCTTCCTCTGCCCAGAGTAAGATGGCTACATGCTGTGGCTAACCCTCAGCTGAGAGCTATCGCACTTGCTACTTCAGCAGGTCAGCTCCTCAGTGGGAGTCACCAGTTCAGGTTGCAGTGCAAATGGGTCAAAACCACACTGCCAGCACAGCTCTCCAAACCTCTGTTAGGTGTTTCCTCTCTGCAAGTGCTCAGGATCAGGAGAGGCTGTCTCTTGCTGGTTTTACTACAAACAGGCTGTGGCGATTTTCAAACCTACCACAGGCTGGGAACTAGAAGTTCTCAATCAAAAGTGACCTTTTGCCTCAAGTAAAACAAGGCTGAGCCCAGGATGAAACATGTTGATCTCAGGTGAAGACTGAACCCCAGTGCTGGGGCAATTCTGGGGAGAGAGAAGGGATTATAATTGTAAACCAATGACACACTCATTCAAGATGCCTGGGCAACAGCAACAAATACAATAGAGATTTACAAATACTGATTCATGAGTTTTTTATACTTATGAACCGAATATTGACACTATACATACCATATAATACACCAAGCAATGGGACAAAATGAGCATACTCTCTAAACACAGAGAATTAATGCTGTCGGTACAATGCTGAGCTCTGCAGGGTGCTCCTAGGCCTGCAGCCAGAGGCGAGGAAGAACATGTGGAATGACTATCTGTGTTGTAACCCTGGGCCTGCAAAGGGCTAAAAATAATGAAGATGCCTATGTCACACTCAAAAATGAGAATCAGACCAGGCATCTCAGAAATATTTTTCCTTGTTGTAAGGTGGTTTAGTATCAGACAATTTTGCTCACTTCTGTTCATTTCGTTTGGCTGGTTTGTTTGGTATGTAAAATGGCATGGTTGGAAACAGCTAAAATCTACTGTTGCAAATGTGGGAAGAGCCTGATTTTTCCTCTGCCCTTATTTCCTTACAGCAGGGTGATTCAGACGCCACAGGAATTGCATGCCTGATTTGGAGCAGAGGAAGAATGAGGTCTGACAGAGCCATGCTGGGACAGCTCTTCGCCTGCTGCCAACACGCTGACACGTCACTTGCAGTCTTGTCACAGTGGCGAGCTGAGCTGGCTCAGAGCTCTGGCCTTGCTGGACACAGACTCCCAACAGAAAGGAAAGCAGATACATTTCCTTTAAGTACAAAACTACCTTTTGGTGTCCTAATATCTGACACCCACTAGAAACAAATCCCCCAAACTTACAAAGATTACTGTACGTTACTAAAATGCTCACTCATTTCTCTAGCTTTCTTGCTTTGAGCATTTTACACCTCTCTGTATACCACGAGGAGACCCAGGACATCCTGACTAACTGAAAAAAAACTTCAGCAGAGGGCAGGAAAATGCTCATATATTTATGAAGAAATAATAAACAAACTCATTTCTTAGACATCCGAAGAATCTTGAATAGAAAACTCTTTGAAATGTTTCTTTTTTTCTTAGGGGGAAACAAGGAGAATATTAAAAAAAAAAATAAAAGGACATTGAAATTGATGGGAGTCTCAGCAATTCAAAAAATGTGCTGCGTTTTCCCTCCTACACACTTCTGTTAAGCCACTGGCACACCAAAGACAATGCAGTGCAAGGGGTTGCTGCATGGTCCACAGAGATGGTACAGGCTTTAGACTCAACTGAGAGACGTTCCTCTCTGTCCAACAGCACATGGCTCTAGCCTGCTCTGTCTCTTGGGAGCTGAAGGATGGCAGATAACATCAGTGAGAGCCTAAAGCCCTGCAAAGCAGCACTGTCTTAGGATGTTGTTCAGGAACACTGAATGCCACTGGCACCAGAATATAACCACAGACTAATTGCTTCTGAAACCTCCCCCTTGTGTTTCACCTCCTTCTGGAAACACGGGGAGTTCTGGGTGGCTGTATGGCAGAGGAAAACAACAAAACCTCTTTTTGTCTCGCTAGGAAAACTGTGTGCTTGTTCCCCTGTGGATTAATGTACAAAGAAGATGGCGCATGGCTCAGTCTCAGACTTTCACAGCTGCCAGGTAACTAAGAGTTCTAGGTAATACAGGTTGGTGTGAAACAAATGTGCAATAGCTCCAGCCTCAGGTGGAGGCCTAGAGACTTGTCTATGTGAACCAAGAGGTGTGAAGAGCTGCTGGGACTAGAAACCCAAAGAAATAGCTGCCTCAATGCCAATCTGAATAAACAAGCACAGTAAAATGCAATCAACTGCAAGCAGTAATGTGACATTACGCACCGAGGGAGCGGTGGCATCTTTCGTAACACTGAAGACAGGAGAGATGAACAAGACATTCAGCCAGTTTATGAACAGATGGATGTGCTCTCTTGTAGCACACTGTGTCCAGATTATTGCAGGAAAGGATAGCTGTGGCAGGACTTCATGCCCACCTCCCACTGGAGGCAAAACTGCGGCTGAAGGAGAAGTTGATCTCGCCGTTTTTATACTTTCCCCATGCTCCAAAAGGCACTATGACAACCGTGCTGTTGTCCTCAGTGCCAAATTGCATTGCCTGAGAGAAGAAACAAGTTGTTAGCATCATCATCTTGCTTAGAAAGGGAAACTAGTATCTGACACATGGGACAGCATGACACTTCCTTGCTTCTTCCCAGCTCTAATGCTGCAGGTTCTTGTATACCTCAGAGCTTTCCATGGGATATGCCACCATCCAGAACCCTAGTGAGAAACTGACCATTTTTGTCTGTGCTGATGACATTCAGCACTGCAGTAAACTGCAGTTACTGTCCAGCACAGTTCTGTGGCTCATGAAGTAAGTGCATCAATTGAAACGTCTGTATGTTTCTGGCAAGGATATGGCAAGACCCTGGGAAGGAAAGGCCAGACAACTAGACTACTGGCCATGTAAACCAGAATAGTTCAATTCACTACTGAATGCATGGTTGTGTTTTTTTTTTCCTTTGAAATACAAAAAGAAAAAAAAAACACAAGTGCACCAAGAGTAAACAACCATTTCTTCATAGCTTAGTTTTCTGCTTTTGTCTTTGCCATGTGCTGAAAAGGACCCAACGGAGCACACTGAGCACCTGCACAGTCTGTGTCATCAGTCAGCTGCATTACTTTTGCAGTAGAGCTTTGGTGCTTTGAGAAACCCTGGCATTACCTGCTCAGTAACAACATGGGCAGCTTCAGCAGGATCATGGCACTGGTTAATGAAGTCACAGATCTCCTGACTGTTCACCATGAAGTTAATACCATCTGTAGTAAGGACCAGGAAGCTGTCATCTGCATGATGTAACTGAAATAAAGGCAAAAAGTATGCACAACAGTAGAGCGAGTGCTGCAAGGTAAAACCGTTGCCTTGATTTTTTTCGGTTGATTTTGGTTGGTTGTTTTTTTTTGCATTTGTTTTGTTTTTTACCTTCTGTTGCAAAGCAATTTTTCTGGGAGTTCTGCCTGTTGTGCATGAGAACTAACTGTTCTAAGAAGCAGCCCTCCCAATACACTGAGGCCAAAAGACCAATGCTATATACATTGCCCAGTAAACAAAATGCTTCCTTAAACTAAGGATTTCAGTATAGACACATTAAGTGCTGCGGTCATCTCCTAAGCCCCTCAAGCCACTGCTCTGTGTTGGACTGAGAGCAAATGAACACAAAGTTCCTCATGCCCCAGGATGGGCATTGGGGAAAAATATGAAACAGAATATGACCTAAGATGAGAGCCTTGTTTTTTTCTTCATGCAAACATGAATGCAACTGTGCTGAATACCTAGTTGTTAGCCTGTTTGCTGGACAATTGTAGAGCTATGTTAAGATGCGTGTAACTGCCCTTCCCTCTTCCTTTCCTCCCAGGTGTATGACCCTCTACATATTGCACTGTTCTCAGTGATGACTTTGTATCAGTATTATCCTCAAAATTAGGTATCTGACCGCAAGCTCCAAACCATTTGACACCTTGGTATTTCAGTAATGGATATCACACATGGTCTTTCTTCACTTATCCTATATTATATTGTGATAATTGGGATTTAGAAGTTAACCTGGTTCCTGGTTGAATTTACTACTAGGTCCAAATTGTCTTCTGCCTTTAAGTGTCAATCTGAAATAACTTAATTAGAATGAGTCTTGCATTACTTCACCACTAAAAAAAAAAACAAAGATTGGTTCCACCTGTGTACACTGAGTGGTTACCACTACACGCTTTAAATATCTATGTTGCCCCTTAATCCAAATGGTGCTGTCTCTGTTAACCAGGCCTTCTTTTACCTGAACCCTTTTTGTTTCTGGCTGGGCTATCACGCCACTGTTCTTAAGATCCAAATCTCCTATGCTCCGCGTCATTGCAAGTCTACCATTCACGTGTGGTTGTCCCAAACTGTTCCAGGCAACGAAGCCACCAGACTTCCTGATCCTGTCCAGAGGCACAAAAGAGAAAGCAAATGTGAATTACTGATTCAGACTGAGTTACTGATTCCCCCGTCTGTTAGCTGCAGTTTCTGCCACTCTCTGCTAATGCAGGATGGGGTACTGAGGACCTGAGCGGAAAGACTGAGATTTGTTTTTTGCTGTTTGAAGGGTTCCACAGAAGGAATGAGAAGGCTTTGTCCTGACCTGAGAACCACAGTATGTTCTTCAGGTCTTGGCTTTCACTTGGCACTCTTGCACAAGTCTTTGAACTGTGTGGTCATGGCTCGGTACCCAGCCCTAGCCATGCTGATCTTACTGCTGTGACAGTTTTTGTTCGCATAGGACTTTACAAATACCCAGTCCCCTAAATGGAAGCAAATGACATAATAGAGGCTGTGCCACTTTCTCTTTAGCTTGGAGTGTTATGTTCATCTCCAGTCTTTTTCCCAGGTCCAACCTGGCAGCAGCACAGACTGACTGAAGCTCTTCCCCAAGAAGCCATAATATCATCCACCAGGTACCTTTCCTTCTCCTCCTTCCTTTCTGGCGTATGGTCAATAGTGAGTTTCATAGCCTTTCCTTTTCGACACAGCAGGGCACGGCTGTCTCCCACACTTGCCACAACCAACTGAATACCATCCTGGAGCAGGGCCACTGTCGCAGTGGTCCCAGAGTTCATCAGAGTTGCTACAAACATCAGAGAGAGAGAGGTTTTAACACTGCCTTAAAGCATGGGAACATTTACAAGACAGTAACAGTGCCAATTGGTTAAACCAAAGACTTGTGCTCTACGTTACCAGTAAGTAACTGCTTTTAAGTTTAAACTAAAGCTATATATCTATTAAAAATACAGTGAGTAAACATGCATATAGGATTTAGGTAGGGGAGAGAGAGAGGAAGTGGAAAAGATAAGTATTTCTGTGCAACAACATGGCTCCATGTAAAGAGAGCTAGTGGAGTAAAAGCAGTATAAGGTGCAGTGGCTTCTTTTCAGCCTGTAGCAAATAGGTTTTACTTTCCACTGGTTCTTCTCAAGATACAGGATTATTGTCTTTATCCCTGGACACAGTGATTGCATGGATAGCCCACCATAAAGCTGACAGTTCTTTCCTTCTGTTAGGTGGTAAAGTGGGCAACTGAGTAATTGTGATTGTAGCTGCATGTTGTTCACCAGAAGAGAACCTCCAGATCATTCCTTACAGTCTGTAGGGTTCTCCAGTTGCTGTCAGAATTATTAATAATCTACTTCTAGTTACCCCAGGTTTGACAGGAGACAAAGGGTTCAGCCAGCAGGCACTGGCTTTTTTGAGAAAGGGACTCAGCTCTCTTCAGACCACACAGATTTGTCGGAGGTCACAGTACTAAGCCAGAGCTGCATTCTGCTTTCCTTACATTGCAAACAAGTTTGGTCACCTGGCAGTGGTGATTGCCTCTGGGCAATCTGCCCTTAGCACAGGTGGGATGACTTGGATTTTTGCTGCCTAGAGGGCAAGCCAGAGCTCTAGCTGCTGTCTTCCTCTTCTGACAGGGCAAGGAAGTGATCTTATCTGTGTTCAGAGACCAGGTTGGATTAACTGTTGAATGCAAACATTCTTGTTGCAATTTCTTACAAGGGGTGAGGATGTGGGGGAAGAACATGCTTAAACTAGAAAATACCAGTCTGCCTAATTTCAGAATAGATGTGAGGTTTTATCTGCGGTGAACGAAATGCCAAAAGAACTGCCTAGCTCTCATTTTGGACTTCCATGTTTTTTGAAGGGAAGTGCACTTTTGCAGCTAGTATCACATGCAACACTGGCTAGGGAGAGCTGGCTGGAAAACACGAAGTCCTGCTGACTTGAGCTCTGTAAGTAAAACACCTGGCTGGGAACAGCAATTGCCACAAATTCACAATGCAAATCCCTTTGGAAAGCCCTCTGTAAGCCTCTTGTAGTCTGGCGTTTTCTAGAAATTGGTTTTAAAAGCTAGCCCATTGCACAGAGAATTTTTGTGTTAATTTAGGAATGAAAATCCCTGGTTTATATTCCTACTTTCACATGAGTAATGGTTGAAGGTGTTCCCACCACTGCTTCTGTAGAACTCGGCTGCAACCACATGCGCTCCTCCTGTCCCTGGCCCTGCAGCGCTGGCCCCCAGGGTGGTGGCATGAACCTGAGACAGGACCATACAAGGCCCTGAGAGATGCATGGAGCCTTGTTGTAAGGTGAAAGCAGAGAGCTCATGAAACAAAACAACCTCTCAAAACCATCTAAACTAAGCTTGTGTTATTACTTAAAACAGGTATTATTACTGCTGCGATGGCTTGGTTAACCAACTTAAGCAATAAGTCACTGGTAAACATCCACCATGGTGGCACAGAACACATCTTGGACTACGTTATAGTTGTGATGCAGACTACTGTATTCAAAACCATGCAAATGGCCGTAGCATCTGAGTATTCAGGTCAGCACTGACATCTTGCTTCTAATTGGAAGCAAGGACTAGTCTGGTACAGGCTCACTTTGAGGCATATTATGAAAATAAGGTAATAACAAGTAGCAGTGTGATCAGAAATTTTTGTAGATACAGTAAAATACCTGTTTTAGCCAACAGCAAAAAGTGACATGAAGAACCTACATAAAATGACCTTGTTTATTTCAAAGAAAATAGATTTTATATAGACATCAAAATTAATGCTGCTAGTCTCCCATCTCATTACTTATTTTGGAAGTATGCTGACAAACACATATGGCTTCAGAAATGGTTACCATCCATAGTCATTCATTCATGATTGACTGCAAATATTTGGTCATTCAGGTGAATCTGCATCTTTACAGTGCCAACTATCAAAGTCAAAAGAGCTGCTATGAGGAAGCAGAGGGATGGTACTTGAGAGCAATCGAAGATACCATACAGAATTGCAGTAATGGTCATAGCGACTCATTCCTTAGAAATGTGTACGAGTTAAATGGCTCTTTAAGAAAAATAAATGCCACTCCTGCTCACTTCTCTGGGACCAATTCATGATCTGAGTAAGGTTGAAGAACGTGGATCTAATTAGACTAAAGGGATTATGTGATCTCTTGCACAGTTCCAAAACAAAGGAGTGAGGATGGGGTAACGTTTCTAATGCTTTACTATGACTGCTGCTAGGTTATTTAATAACACAAAAATATATTGCATCAGCACGTCTACTGGTTTTTAAAATTAAAGGGTTTATCTTGTTTACCTAACAGTATCACTATAAAACTAAGATCTTTCAATAGGTTTTTAACACTCACTGGACATTTTTTACTGCAAGTCATCTCAACTAATGTGACAAAGAGGATGTGTGAACCTTCCAGTAGTCCAGGCTAGGAACCGCCAGACTCCTTCACCTGGGACAAAATTCAGCAGATCTCTCTTTCCACTGAAGCCCAGCATATAGTGTCCAGGGCCTCCAGTTCTAGAGCTGCTGACCAGGTACAGTGTCTGCCACAAATAACACGTACACAGAGGCAAATGGGAAATTGACCCAGGGACTTTGTTCAAACAAAATAAACCTGCAACACTGGAGATGAAAGAATAAGGGCTGCAAAACAGGGGAGGGTAGTCACTTTGGGTTTACCCACGCTGTCTTTTGCAGGGTATACAGGAAGTCCTGATGAGCTGTGTGAAGTCCAGTTTGGCCATATTTGAGACTTACACATGCATTTTGTCCAGGGATGGGAATTGCTGCCACTCTTGCTTTGTCACTAAAACTGTGTGTCAAAACCAGTTGTTCTTGAGTCCAAAAAAAAGCTACTTTTTTTTTTTTTTTGGGCAGGGGGGGGGATGTTGGTAAGTAACCAATTGCTAAGTCAACCAAACAAATACATTGGTGTAAGATGTAGCTGTCTCATGTATGGTAACAGCAGCCACTGTACAGAAAATTTTCAGAACAAAATACAACCCAATCTGTTTTCTCAAGGTAGTTTTCTAATAAAAATAGATATCAAACAAAAATGGAGAGTTCAGACCAGTAACAACTAAAATGGAGCCATTTTAATGAAGGGTGCTGAATGACTTATTCTGACCTTTGGCCAAAATGCAAAGAAATACCCCTGTAATATTGTAATTTGCATCTTCTACCTTGATTAGATAAAAGTTTGAACCCTTGGATAAAAAAGCTGTCTTTGTGTTGTTGATGTTATGCAATACTTAGGCAAAATTTCTGCAGCTCTCCCTTTTCCTCAGTGTTGCAGGTTAACATATTAAAAGAAAGAATAATCATGTGCTTGAATTATAAAACAAAAAACTACTTTTTAAATTTAATTATTTTTTAAGACTTTCGCTGTTTACTCAGTAAGTTGCAGGAGTGCCTTTCAAATATAGACTCATCAGAAAATATCTGACTAAGTTTTATTAAGATGGCTATTCCAGAAGTGACTAGCAATGTGATTAGAGTTGGGTGCACTGAATGTGGAGGGCAATGGAAAGCATGCTGGCCTGTTGTTTTCTTTGCATTGGGGGATTGTGCCTGCAGTCAACAGAAGCAGTAGCAGTACCTTAAAGGACCGTATTTGGCTGGGACAGGGTTTGTTTCCTGTTTCTCCAGAATGATGTTCTAATTGCCTCGAGCACATGGTTCACTTGTTTATTTCTGTCCCTGCTCAGGAAAGCTATTCAGCTTTTACGTTTATTTTTTTTTTTTTTTTACTACCAGTCAAAAGTAACAGAAAACCCTGTCCATCTCTGTTAGAGGTTGTCACATGGATAATGATATGGTTGTTCATTGTGAACTCTCTTTACTGTATACTGTACGTTAAATAAGCTGGGATTTAACAGTGACTGGATATATTTGAATGTGTGGAAGTGAAATAAAGGGAGTTTCCAATAAGATATCAAACACTGTGCTTCAAGGCTCAGGCATATCTCTGAGCTCTTAATTATGAGAAATGATTTATGTGGGGGACAGCTTATCCCTGATATGCCAGAGGAAGTTCCTTATGCTTTTGTCTAAAACTGTTGGAGGGGATACTGGAACGGTCTGCAGGTCAGTATAGCAGTCCAGCTGCACTGGACCTGCATGCCAAGCACAGCAGCAATATTGGAACGCATACGTACACCTGTATTTTTTATTGAAAGCTCATAGAAAGTATTACTGCGCATATTTTCCAATTATAATTGCAAATAACTACAAGCAGCAGTGTTCTTGAAGACAGAGCTAAATTTTCTGACAACGCATGTCTCTAGTCCTATTACATGTGTGCCAAATGTTCTCCCCCCCCCCCTCCCCCCCCAAATATTATTATAAACGTTATGCTAGCCAAAATCCATGCAATTTTGGCTCTAGAGGTTTGTCCTAGGAGTCATGGTCCTTGTAACAGCCAGGCACATGTTAGATGTTTTCAAAGCAGAGTAAAGATCATGATCAAGTGCTCTATCTTTCACAGATGCAGTGAAAAGGAGCGTACAAACCCTGGCAGGCATATCAGTGGAAACAAGACTAAGCTATTTTTTGCACTTGATGAGCTCTGGCAGAGATTCATAAAGAGGTTGGTCTTGATGAGCATCCAGCATATCCCAGATACCTGGTGTTATGCAACCAACCACCATTTTCAAAAAACTTGGGCAACTCTCTTGAACATCACTTCTAGAATAGCCATGGTTATTCGGACTTTTTGCCAGGAAACTGAATCAGTTTGTAATTAGTCTTCTAACAAGGATATATGCAAAGCATTGAATCTTATGTAACTTTAAAAACAGAAGCAGCAACAAAAACATAAGCACCAAATAGTCATCAGAGTATTGAACTTTTTATGAAGATAAACAAAAAGCATGCCTTGTTCATAAATCTGCACTTGTCTGTACACAGTGCTGCTCCACTCTTTCCCTTATAGCTTGATTTCCAGCTGGGCAACAGTCCGAGAGCACTGGGCACTTCCAGATCCTGCTGGCTCCTGTGAGAGCACGCAGGCATTCAGTCTACCTAAGAAATGCTGAGTACTTTGCAGAACATGGCCACAGCAGATGTTAAATGATCGCTTTTCCCCTTCATGTTTTTGAACCTCGAACTTTTTTTAATAAAGAGGGTTTGTTTGATGTCTTGATAGCTGTTATATAAATTTGCTGGCATTTGCGTTGTTTCAGTAAGGGGCCCTACTTAGCGAGTTAAATGTTATGATAAAATGCAACAAGTAGTTCCAAAATGCTCAGCTTGCTGCACAATTTGTATATCAAATATTTTCTTTGTTCATTTCTTCAAGTCTCAACTACAAAATGCTATAATCAGAAACTGTGTTCAGAACAACAAAGTATAGTATACTCAGTATGGTTGCCAAACATCTTTGTCAAGGAGTTGCTCTGAAACTTGACAATGGTCACAGGAATGAGGAAAACCAAGAGCTGTCTTAATAACAAAGGGCTGGGGTGGAGTACAAATAAAACTAGTTACCATGTTACTAAAAACAGAAAGGTCCCGATCCAGTGAAGCACATAAGCTTGTATTCAGATGTTTTCTTGAAAATGGGCTTCCAATATAATGTGGAAGGAAACTCTTGGATGCAAAAGCTTATTGGCTCTACTGATAAGCCTCACATTAGCTCTGCAGAAACTGACTTGATAGGTCAAAAATCATTTGGGATTCTTTACCACATTTTTTTAATAATAGAGGTTGTCTTGACTATAAAATATAATATAATGGAGAAAATAACTTGACAGATAAAATTCCACCCTTTTTAAGGGCTGCGTTTCAGAACCTGGGACTTCTTTTCCTGGTACGTTAGTTTGCATCAGGTAAGAGGAAGGATGTACTTCCCTCATAGTGCTGCAACAGCCACGCTTCCTGCCCTGCCAGTAGATGTTTAAGTCTACATAGGTTTGTGTAGAACTTCAAGTGCAGGAAACCACTCCAATAATAGATTATTTTCACTTGCTTAAAGAAGTAGCCCAAAAACATGGTATAACTTTAGTCCCTAAAGGACTTGTTGTTTTTTTGTCTTTCTTGGACAGAAAGCTTTTCCCATTTATGCTCTTATAGAACCACCTGCTGTATCACCAGCATCTGCAGCAGCTCTCTGAGACACTTTGTTGTTGGTGGTGGTTTTTGGTTGGTTGTTTGGATTTTTGTTTGTTTTGTTTTGTTTTGCTTTTACACAGTGGGTGAACTAACTCTTGAAATAGTTATCTTATTGCAGAGGAAACTCTTGTGACAGAAGTGGGACAAGGACCTTCCCAAATTACTCCCGATAAGCCCCAGGAGCTTTAACTGGAATGTCAGACGTGTGTAGTCTCTAGACATATACAGGAGAACTTGATGAACAGCCAGGACTAAGAAATCTAAAAGTGCTAATGCTGGCTTTACCACAGCCAACCTTGTTTTCCTCTTGACTGCTGTTTTCCCTTTCATACTCAGCTACTCTGTTGATTCTCTTTGTGCAGAAGCAGTACTGGTTGTATTAATTGTGGCTTACATTCCTCCTTGACTGCAACGGCCAAGTCAGAAAGGGGAACTTTTGACAGTGTTCCTTTCAGCTCAAGGGAATAACAGCTCTTCAACAGGGGAAAAAAAAAATATGAAAAAATTATCACCCAGGAAAGTTATGCTGCTTGCTAATTTAAATCGCTGCTTGCTAACTTGAGAAATGCTTTTCTGGACAGAATCATAGTAACAAAAAATCAATTAAGATTATACCGAAACTCAGATTAATAACTTCCCCAGTAAATTTGACCTAGACTTCTTACAGCTTTTTCATTTTTAGGCAGGTAAAGCATAATTGTTTCATTTGCAGTAAGTGAATAGAGAAAAAAGCTATGTTAAATAAAACTGTTTTCAAGAGGTTTTTAGGATGTCTTAGTTCAAAACTATTGAGCAGGTAAGAAAATAGTCTTTCCCCACACCTATAAGAGAACAGAGTATTTTTTACCTACCGTCAGCAGACAGATGAGCATGCCTTTCATATGCATTGTTTATTTCTAGAAAAGCATTGTTCAAAACGTTTTCCAAGTTTTCCTCCTGAGCAAGAAATTCTCTGGAAACAAACAAAAAAAATATTTTTTTTTTATGAGAAATATTCACCTTAACCGATCTCTTCTGTAGACTTATTTCCTCCCTGATTAATGCTGGATTACACTGAAAAGGTAATACTGTTTTATTAACAACTTGCACTGGAAGCACCATCTTGTAATTTTGTAAATAGATCAAGTGCTTCTTCCAACAGCCACGCATGTGACATGTAGCTCCAGAGGAGCATCAACAAGCTGTGCAGGTCAGCAATTGCAGTGCCCCCCACCTGACAAGGGACAATTCACATGCTCTGTGTTTCCAGCCGTTTCCTGGAAGGTGGATACAATCACATTTTCTTTTCTCACCTTTGCAGGCTTGTTCCATGGGGCAGGGAGTACACAGAGAAGTACTCGATGCCATGTCTGTTGTTAAGGGAAGTGTTCACCATCTGGTGTTCCTGCTGCCCCTTTCGGACTAAGTGGCTGTATAACAGAGGATGACTAGCGGCAGCGTGTCACCCACAGTTCGTTTTTGGCCCTAAAGAAGGAAGCTCTATGGTAAGTCATTTGCCACATGTTCACTCAACCCACACTTACTTGATATATTTTTCCATGTTCTTAGCACAGAAGTCTGCTGCCGCCACCCCGCCATGTCCATCATAAACTGCAAAGTACAGGACATCCTCTGTCAGCTGAGCATAATCAAAGCGGTCTTCGTTTTCCTTCCGCTTGCCAATATGACTAGCACAGCCCACATTGCTCAGGCTGACTTTGGGAATTGGCGTCCCATACTTTATGCTTGGTGGTAGGAGAATAGGTTCATCAATGCGATTGTCCCAGATGCCAAATGTGTCCCACGTAGCAGGTCGCCCACTCCCGTCTGGATCGAAGCGGGATGCACGACGTTCAGAGGTGGAACTGTAGCACTCAACCGTTGGACGCTTCTCGTCTTGCAAGAGGCGGGACGTCAGAAGGGCTCTCCGTACTTGATACCCTCCGTTTCTTACCAAATGGATTAAAGCAGCTGTTGACATAACTTGTCTTCACAGAGAATTGTAGGAACGAACAAACGTTCAGCAATAAAAGACAGTGGCTGGAATGTCTAAGAACAAAAAGAGAATCCATCAAGAAAGAAGCAGCACAGGAAGGGGGATTTTCAGTTACATCATTCAGGAAACAATTTCACAGTCAGAGGTTGCTAATCATGCATGGCACAGCACTGCCTAGAAGAGACTACAGAACGATCTGCATGACTCATCGAGAAACAATCCTACACAGATCAGCCAACATCTACAGTTCTAATAAGGAATGCTGCAGATAAATCGAAGTAAGGAATCCTCCATCAGGATAGCCTGTATTTTCAGAGGTAGCTAGGGTTGTGATGGAGCTAGTGAGAGTGATAATGACTTTGTTCCAAGAGCTGACTTCCTGCATAAGAGACATGACATTACGTTCTGTTTCATTTCATTAGTACTTGCATTTTACTTGTCAAAACAGACTCGGGAAGTGAATTGTGATTTTTATTTTTTTTCAGGCCAGGAACCACTAAGAGTGTATCCATAGACATGTACAATTACTCACTTGAACTTCACAGAATGGAGTCCATGCAGCTCTGAGCTTTCTGTCTGGCCTGATGTTCTCTACTCAGACCCAACCCTGAAATGAGATCCCTTGGGAAACAAGGAGACCAAGTTCTTCCACTGACTTTTATTTGGATGTCTTTTCTGGTCCAGATGCATTAAACGCACCAGCTGGCTCAGCACAGCTAGAAACTGATTAATGCTTATTCATCTAGGATGCTGAAAAATACAGAGATCATCTTATTTAACCATTTGCAGAATAATGCTTAACATGATGAAAGTCAAACAAGCTGGGGTGCATTGGGTAATAAGTCCACATTGTTGCACCAGATAAGTTTGAACTGGACCACCAGATCCCTGAAACTAAGCGTGCTAGGTTTTCAGCAAGGAATTGCTCTTGTTATTGCTAAATGTTTGTGGGTGTGTTGGGTAGTTACCGAGAGCAGAATTACAAGTGAAAGATGTTCTATACTGTAATGAAGGGATTAAAAATAAACAGGCTTGTGATGAACGCTAATGCATCAAATGGCACAAATATCTGATGTAATCCAGCGGCAAAGAGCAAGCAATACATGTACTCCTGAAACACAGTTATTCAGGGCTGGAGCAGCCTGCTGTTGTATTCCAGACAGCAATTGCAGCTGTGGTTTTGAAATACTGGTTTAAACTATTTTTTTTAAATCCTGCACAAAATCTGTGCTTGCAGAAATTTTCAGTCAAAGGTAGGTTTGTAAGCAGTTGCTTTATTAGAAGATGGCTGTGATATGAGCTTTCTGCAGGCCTACAGTAAACCTGTCATTCACAGCTCAAAGCATATAGTTCTAGACGCCCCTTGGCTTATCGTGAATACACTTCCTTATGTGAGGAAATATATGTATTTATTTATCATTTACAGCGTAACAGTTCACTCAATAAATACCCGACAAGCTGGGAATCAATATTGTAACAGATGAAATCGGCCTTGGCTACCAGCTGAGTGCAACTGACCAATGTCAATTTCGAGTGATCTTCCATTTTATTCCTGGATGTCTGCAATATCTCACCCTTATTTCACTATACTCACGGGTGCTTAATAACTCATTTACTTTCTTGACTGTTTATTTTCTGTTGCCCTTGACTCACAGCAACAGTATGGTGAAGCACAGCATGACAAAATCCAAAGCCTGCCAACTTAGGAAACCCGCACTCAGATTCACTTCCGTCAGCTTGAAAGAACATGAAAAACTAGCTATATTTAAACTTCCTAGTATCCGCATATCCACAGCATGATTTGGAAGATTAATCCAAAATACAGAGCTAATTAACGTGTTTATTCCCATCAAACAGATCTCTCAAAAGTCCTTTTTCTCCAGGCAAGTACAAACAGCAATGGCTGGCTTTTCTCTGCAAGCAAGGAATAGGAAACGGAGCTGTAACTGCCGTGATGTAAATAGTTAGGCTTTCAGCTGGCTGCAGCACAGGCTGTACTTTCCTAGCGGATACGTTGCCAAACCCTGAGCAAGTCTATCGGGGACAAACAAGATGAAGGCATTGTAAAAGGCAGTGCTGGTGCTACAGCCCAAGTGCATGCAGCAAGGCTGTAGATGCTCCATCTGATCCCGATAGTCTGCACCTATTTAACCTACAAAAATAGTTTTTCTAGATAGCCAAGAACGTGCAGTAATTGCGGTTAATGATTAAGCCATAGTTCAAGCTGTATGGTGCCCCTTTGGCAGGGTGGCAGCTTCACGGCAGATGGAAAGTCTCCATACCGAGATGAAAGAAAAAAGGAAAAAAAACACCACAACCCAAGAAGAAAGCATGCATGCCTGGCGCCCCACTAAGCTTAATACCTGCAAACCGGGACGCGAACCCCTCAGCACGCCCTGAATAAGGTGAGCTTCCCCTGCCGCCCCCCGCCGCCCCTCACCGCTCACCTCCTCCCGTGCCCGGCAGCCGGCGGCGACGAACGACGCCTCCCCCAGCCTGCTCCGGACGCAGGGCGCTGCTCCCGACCGCCTTCCCCGAGGCCGCCGAGCCCAGCAGCCCGGCCCCCCTCAGCCCTGCCCCTCGCCGGCCCAATGGCGGCGGCGGCGGCGGCCGAGCCCCCCCCGCCGCCCACACCCTGCCTGTGTCAGCGCCGGGCGCCCGGCCCAGGCGGGGCTGTGAGCAGCTGAAGGAGATCCGAACAGAAAAAGGACGGGAAGGGAGAAACCGTTTTGGTGTCCTTTGAGTGCCTGGTTCTCAGGCTGGTACGCGTGCTGGGCCGGGGTGGCGGTGGTACAGCTTCAGCAGGCGCCCAGGCTGCGGTCTGTTCCCAGTGCTGCCTCTGGCACGGTTTTCCTTCCTAGGAGAAGACGCGTCAGCTGTGCATCAGCCACCGTAGGACTCGCCTCCGTCCATCTTGGACAGCTTGCTTCTGTTACTGGTAAAGCTTAGAAATAAAATCCTGCGTCTAAAAACCGTATAGATTCTGGGAAGGTCAGATAAAAAACACGATTTGGACAGCCGTTTATTAAAGCAAAGGTCATGTTTCTGTACATAGCAATCCCATCTTTTCTGAAAAGATCACTAGTAACCAAATGGTTGTTTCACATGCTTGAAACTTTAAATGGCTTTTGATTTTTCAGGCAGCTTATTGGGAAACAGAAGTAGATTATTGCTGTGCTTTTATGCCCTATTCTTACCTACAGGATAAAGAAAGTTAGGATAGGATGCTCCTAGCTGCTTGCATTCTGCCTTTGGCATTCTCCATTCATAGTGTGTGAGTGGTACAAGCTGAATTTGCCCTGCAACTTGTTACATTGTGAAGCCCCGGTTAGGGGCTGCAGCGCTTGAAAATAGTGCTGTATGTGGATCAGTTGCATGGCATGAGGCATGCATGTTGAAAAGCCACACTGCTTGGCTTGCACACAGTGCCTTGCTGTCCTGCAGCTGTGGGTGTGTGGGAAGCTTGCTGCTGCCTGCCATGCTCACCACTGCAGGGGGGTGCAGGGCTTTTTTCTTCCTCAGACTCCCATGCACCCCAGCTCAAAGGGAAAGAAAGTGATTGTGAATGGCAGTTGTTTTTATAGAGCTATTAAGTGCAGCTCTTAACTGAGCACAGCTTGTATTCCTTTCTGGTCATTGACCTGTGGCATCTGGGGCATTGGATATCCTATCCTTCAGTCTCCTACTGAATATTTAGGATCAGCAGGAATATAAAGTTCTGAGTGGGGTTACTGGTGGAGAATCATTTGCAGAGTCATTAATGTAAAGAAGCACCACTTCAGCCCTTCTCCGCTGCTTTACAGTTATTTATTTTTTTTAGATTTTAGATTGCTGTTCCTGTTTGGAGTGGACATCTGGGATTTAAGTCCACTTCAGCAGAACTGACTTGAGGATCTTAAAAGGAACGTTATTCAGGTGAAAAACACTTCACAGCGAGGGCATTCCCCTAGCATTTGACACCATCTGGCTGCAAGCCTGACTGGATGCCCAGGTCATGCTGGCATCCTTGGGGTTAGACCGCTCCCTCTCTGCTCCTGGCTGCAAGGAACAAGCAGCAGCTTGTTCTTGCTGCTGCAGACACAGGAGTAACTTTCTCCTGACATTACCTCTCTGTTACCTGACCATTTAATTGCTGTAAAGCTTCGGTGTGAGGCTTCTCTCTTAAAGCATTGAGAGGCAGGCCCAGCAAAATTCGTGAAAGCTGCCTGCCATGGCCTCTGAAAGTATGGTGCTCATCATGGGGACTTCTTTCACTCTGCCCTGGCTTGCAGGATGTCTGGCTTTCTGCATCGTTTCTGCATGTCCTACCAGTAGATGCCTAAAGAAAATAAAATCAGAGGGTTTCTTTGAAAGATAGGGCAGCTTTGCTGGCTTCTGGCCTGAGCTAAAATTGGATCAAGTATTCAAGAGGGGAGAAGAGGAAATGCAAGCACCCGTGTCTCTGAGAGTTGCTATGTCTGAAATAGCCCACATGTGTTGACCTTCAGAGCTGGGCTGAAGCACCACTCAGCCATTTGCTCTGGCCACCTGCTGGGTTAAGCTGGAACAAGAACACAGATGCGAAAGAGTAGAATGTGCACCTCCTCATTTGGCTTTCGAAAGAAAATGGACTAACAAGTTACTCTAGCGAACGGTTTGGGGTTGATTGGGCAAGTTCTCCTGATTCTGGGAACTTGTCAGGACTACCTGTCTTCTCTTTCTAATGTTATTTTTCATAATACTCACTGCAAACCGTTGCCAAATCTGAAAAAGTTACAGGGAGGTCGCCTGTGACGTCTTTGCATCACTCTGGAATGGGGAATGCGTTGCACAGAGGTGTGACTCTTTTTCTGTAATCTCTCATCAAAACTTTCCGGGTAAATGGATCCTTCAGCCCGTTGGATATGGATGACCTGCAGGGTTGTCTGCCATTCACATGATAGGGATAGCTGCAGAGCGGGTACTGAGTGGGAAGGAGATCCGAGCAACAGCTAATGTTGCTGTCAAGAGTACTGTGGTATGGGAGCAGCTGGTGACAGGATGCAGAAGGAGAACTCGATGAGAAGGAGCTGCTCTGCAAGGTGGAGGCAGGCAATGACCCAAGAGGAGCAAAATCAGCAGGGGAAGGTGGGATCGGGGCGGGGGGTGGTGGGTTGTTAGGAACGTTAAGAGAGGAGGAGCAGCTGACAGGATGACATTTCCTTTTCCTACGGAGGGAGATGATGGAAAACTGGCCCCAAGGAAACGCTTGCCATTTGCCATTCAGTCTGTAAAGCTGCGCGCATGTCTTCCTGAGAATGGCTGCACATGTGTGGCGTCGCAGTCCATGAGTTGCTTGGGCAGGGATCTCTCCATGCAGGGTGGCGAGTCCCCAGGAAAGCCATCGTCTGGCAGAAGAAAGCTCAGGGGGTCTTCTCAGAGGTAAGAAGCCTTCAAACATACAGGGACCCCAAACTTGTACATGTATTCCAAAGGTGCAAGACAAACATCCGTGGCACGATCAAGGACAGCTTCTCAGAGGTAAGCAGCTTTCCCTTTGTTTCCCTGTCCTCTCAGGAGCCCTCCTTATGCTCTTTGGGCATGCTTGAGGCCCTTAACACTCATTTTCTCCTCTACTTAGCATTCATAGTCCCTGCTGTGGGCAATAATTGCCTTGGTTGAACTGAAAATTAAGCTGATATTAACGTTTTAAAGAAAAGGTACTGAGAGAGGGAGTTAGGAGAATCTTATCAAGTAGAGATAGAGCACTGACAGCATTAAACTAGGATGCTACTTAGTGTCTTTGCTAACTATGGTGCATTGTGCAAATTAACTAAAGCAAGAAGCCCCTTACCAAGGTCAGTCTCCTAAGAAGAGTATGAGCCTATCTTAAGAAACTGGTAGAAACTGGTCCTGCGGATGGACAAGAGCCAAGGAGCAATTGAGTCTGTGCAAAGACAAGAGGTCAACTAGTGGTGACGAGGAAGAGTCATCAATCTTCATCCCCACGACCACCACCAGAATACACTGCGCAAGCGCAGATGGGAGGAATTTATGGAAATGACTCCTTGGAACTAATTTTAATACGAAGCGGGGACAGGTTATGAATATGTATACATGTATTGTGAAACTTCATGCATATGTAACTCTTACCAAGGCAAATTGCTGTGTCAGGTATGCATGACTACCCCCTATGCTGCCCAGTGCTGAATAAGCATACCTACTTTACAATCTTATTGATTGTGTAGTCCATTTTCCACAAGTCAGTATAGCGCTGAAGAAGCTTCCAGGGTGAAGTGTAGCTGCACTACACAAAAGACCTCAAGGTCTCCAACCTTAGATGTTGATCACACCGGGGAACCTGGCGTGCTGACTCCAAGAGGAACAGCAGTACGGAGTGCAGAGCAGAGTGGAGGTGCTGTGGCTAGGCTCTGTGACAAGACGGGAACTTAGGTTGTTCTTGTGCATAACCCAGACTGATTTCCAGTGGAATAACAGTGCTATGGGGTGCACTCAGACCCTGAGAACAAAGATACACTCATTTTGGAAAGACTCTGAAATGGGGCGGAAGGAACAACAGAGATGGACAGTTTTACCTCAGGGCCACCGAATTTATTTGGGCAAGTTCCAGAACAAATTTTTGAGCAATTCCAGCCTCCAGAGGAGGTGTTCCTGTTCCTCTTGCAATATGCAACGAGGACCAAGCATACCCGGACCTTCTTAATAATTAAAAAAAAAAAAACAACACAAAAAGTTTTTTTTTTTAAAAATGGCAACACAGGGGCAACCTCTGCCCTAAGCTGTGCCTGCCGCTCTGCTTCCACCCATGCAGGGAGCCGGATGGCGCAGCGGCGCCTGGTGCCACCTGGCGGCCGAAGAGCGAGCGGCGTTGTAGCCGAAGAGGCGCTGCACGGCTCGTCGCTCTCTGCTGCCTCCTGCTGGCGAGAGGGAGGCACGGCAGGCGGAGAGGATGCGCATAAGCTGTAGCAATTGCCATGATTCGTGCCCCCGCAGCATGCCGGGAGTTGTGGTATTTGGGCTCCGGTTCTTCAAGTTCTTCGTCAGTTGCAGGGTTCTTTGGGCAGGCTGGAGTCTATGGATTTCTGGATTTTAAGTGCTGGGAATTCATTTAACAGAGGCATATTTAGTAGAGGTTGCTGGCTCACTGTTTTTTGGGATGGCAGCAGTGGGCATGTAAGGGGTAGTCTGTTTCAGGTTTAGGGACAGTTTGTTATATTTCTGGAGCTTTTGCCTGTGGTTTTGCTGTCTGTCGAGTCTTTAGACCTTGCAGCCTTCTAGTCAATTCTAGTAAATTCAAGTGTCCTTGAATTTGCATATCAGAAGTATGTTTATGAGGGGTTGCCAGGTACATTGTTTTTGGGAAACCATGGGGTAAAGTTCCTCGAGCGCATAAGTGCAGTACTGCAAAGAGAGTGATCAGGGTCACCTTCTTCATCTCTAAAGAATAAGTTGTGGAGGAATCGTTAAGTGAGGCAGGACATGTGAATGTTGAGCAGTTGGGAGACAATGGGCTGGTGAAGCACCGCACTCAACTCACATGAGCCTTGGCACGTATGCAGCTGGCTGAGGGCCAATCAGGCTCAAGGACACGATGCCCTTGGGCCATCGGGAAAGTCCCTAAGGTGGGACAGGTAGCCAAAAGAAGGAGGGCCAGACTGAAAAGCCCGGGAAGTGTTAACCAATCCTGAGCTTAGTTTCTGCAATATGTATGAGTTGATTATGTTCAAACTAGATAAAAGACGACTGAGCTATCCATTAAAGTTGAAGTTCACTGTTCACTCATATTGAGCATCTGGGTCTTCCTTCCGTCGGCAACAAATTGGCGCCCGAACAGGGACCGGTCTGAACGGGATTTGGACACTGCTGGCAGTGATCCAGGGCCACGGTTGGACGGAATAAAGGAGAAGCCGGTCCTGCAACGCAGCCCAGGAGGTGAAAAGGACAAGAATCCCTGCACCCGCGCCGGGAAGGTGAAAAGGACGTGGAGTCCCCCGCACC